TGTGTCCAAACATTCGATGTGACAGGGTTATAAATTTTGTCAGGGGATCTAAACAGGCCCTAAGAATTTTCATTAAAAAGAAAATCAGCATGAATATAGGATGCTGGTAGCTATAGCCTATATATAGCTGCAGCTGGTATACATGGCCAATAATAATATTTGGAGTGTGTTTAGTTAACGTTAAAATTGGAAGTTTGATTGAAATTGGAACGATGTGACGGAAAAGTTAGAATTTGTGTGTGTAGGAAAGTTTTGATGTGATAGAAAAGTTAGAAGTTTGAAGAAAAAGTTGAGAACTAAGGCCGAGTTTAGTTTCAAACTTTTAACTTTTCCATCACATTGTTTCAATTTTAATTAAACTTCTAATTTTAACATGAACTAAACACACCCTAATCCTTGAAATCAGATTTGGATCTGATTTCCTTGATTTGGAATATTCTGAACCATATATTTATGGGTTCGATACTGCCTAAGAATAGATATTATGCACTAGTGGAATCTGATTGCTTTTCTGAACAGATCAGCTTTCCTTACTGATCACTTTCTGAACATCCTCTTTCAGGGCAGATAAGTGCTTCTTATTAATCACTTTTTGAACAGCCTCTCTTTTGACGGAATTTCTCAACAGCTTTCTTTATCACTTGTTTGGAGAACTTAAGTACGGTTAAGTCGCGTATGATTGCTCTTAATCCCTCATGGAACTACGGGAATGAATCTATTCCGTCCTGCTGATGATGCAGTGGCAACTGGCGACTTAGGATCTCAATTCATAACTCCTCTATAGTTCCGGTTTTCTAACCGGGACTACGAATTTAGGACTAAAAATCGCTATCTTTAGTCCCAGTTCAAATAAGCGGGATTAAAAATGGATCTTTGGTCCCGGTTGGTGTTATCCTCTTTTTAGTCCCAGTTGGTAACCGGGAGTAAAGAGAGAATAGCGGTAGTTCCAGATGGTCTCCTTTTCTTTTTTTTTATTTTCTCCCTAATCTTATCAAGTGGGAAGCATATCCCCAAATCAAAGTAACATCCCAAATCCACATCACAAATAAAGTAAAATCACAAATCTTAAAGTTACATATATACACAAATCAAATACATCACAAATCCTAAAAAATTACACACAAATCAAATACATCACAGGTCATCTCAGATCCATCCAATAAATCACAAAATTATACATGTAAATCACAAACTAAAAAAAAGAGAGAAAACAACGCCGTTGCCGCCGCCGCCGCCCGGCGCGGCCCCGCCGCCCCGGCCCACCGCCGCCTGCCACGGCCGCCGGCCCGCCACCGGGCATGGCCCCGCCGGCCGCCGGCTGCCGGATGGGAAGGGGAGGATGGGCAGGAAGGGGGAGAGGAGGAGGTGGAGGAGAGGGGAGGAGGAAGGGGAGGAGGTGGAGGGGAAGGGGAGAGGAGGTGGAGGAGAGGGGAGGAGGTGGAGGGGATGGATCGGGTTGAGGATGTAGGAAGCGAAGGAGGAAGGGAAAGAACAGGTGGAGGAGAGGATAAGGGATATAGATTATATACTATGCTTTGAATTTTAGTTTCGGTTGGTGTTCTCTCGGTTGGGAACACCAACCGGAACTAAAGTGCTGATCTTTAGTCTAAAGATCCTCAGCCCCCTGACATCAATCAGGGGATGAATCGGGACTAAAGATGATTTTTAGTCCCGGTTGGTAAGATCATAGAATGCCTATGGGGTTTTCAACCGGGACTCCCGGTTCTTTTTAGAACCAGGATTATTGTGGCTTTGGGTTGACCCAGCAAAGATTATTTATCCACCAGTGTAACCTCCTCCGTTTCAAAATATATGATATATTTTATTTTATTAGAATAAGACTCCTGTCAACATTTACTTTATCAGTATATATCAGATTCCTATTCTAAGTACTTAGTTATGATTGTACTTTTGTGTCACATAAATAATATCGTTACAAAATAGTTGATTATTAAAATCTTGTATTAATGAAACGAAGCATTCTATATTTTAAAATGGAGAGAGTACTAATAAGATAAATGAGGATATAATATATTTAAATTTTAATTACCAGGAAGCACTAGCCAATAGAGTACCTTTTAGCTGGAGAATCAGCATTATTTTTTAAATTTGATCGTCTAAATCACACTAAACAAGCTGACGCATCTTCTGAAAGCGACCGGCCAAAACATACTATATTATTTTAATTATTGGTTGCACTGTAGTGTATCACTGAAATTTCAAATATAGTATGTCACTGATTCGTCATTAACCTTCTATATCTTTCTGATGGCACCTTAGCTTTTGTGCTAGATTTGACTAGTCCACAGTATAGGTGCAAATAGAATAACTGGCTAAATTTTTAAAAAAGCGCACACGAATTAAGAAGTCGAAAGACAAGGTGAATATATATTGTTGTGGTGCTAGTGCCTCGGTGAAATACCTCGGCAATCTTAAAATACTAATGCAGTATAACTTTTTTTATCCTGAGCGAGATCAGGGCAGAAAAGATATGTTGCATGCTCTCTCTCTCTCTCTCTCTCTCTCTCTCTCTCTCTCTCTTCACGTACTCCGAGAACTAACCAAACAGTTGGGAATGGCAAATTAAAAGATGACTGAAATTGCACGCCCTCTACGACTCGTGTAGTCATGCAAGAGTAGGTTTAATAGTAGAGCTTAATAAATATTAGCTTATCTTAAAACTAGCATATAGTATAATAGATCATATATAAGATTGATTTTAATTTTTCTTCTCCACTATTTTTCTCTCACTTATATATTAAATATAGTTGTCTTGAGTACGTGTTAAGCTAGCTTCTGCATTCGAGTCAACACCTTTCTTTTTTTATTACATCTCTTCTCTAATAAGTTTATAGTAAGTTTATAACTTTTTTTTAAACATATAGTAGGCTTTTAACTCACTAATATTCTTGCTTTAAGTATAACACACACGTAGGCATACGCATGAAAAACTGAGACCGACAGCGGTTCTAAACTCATTAAAATCATATTAAATTGAAGACATGCATGCATCGCAGTAGAAAAATAAAGCATTACGGCCATGAAACATTTCTAGGTTGTTCCTTTTTTTAAAATAAGATGGTGCTACATGTGTAAGTTTGTATTAATAGTATTTAGATTGGTACTGGATGAGTTATATACGCAGTATAGGTATATTTTTAATAAGTAGTTTCATAAGCAATACATTGCATTTTGGACATTTGGTATTCAAAAGACATCAAATCATTCAAACAGGTAGGCCATTTTACTTGCACACACGTCTTGTGAAGTTGTATCTAGAGAACAAATGCTACATCCATCGATCCATATCTAGTACTCCCTCCATCCACTTTTTTAAAAATGTTTGACCGTTCGTCTTATTCAAAAAATTTAAGTAATTATTAATTTTTTTCATATCATTTGATTTATTGTTAAATATACTTTTATGTATACATATAGTTTTACACATTTCACAAAAGTTTTTGAATAAGACGAACGGTCAAATATGTTTAAAAAAATCAACGGCGTCAAACATTTAGGAAAGGAGAGAGTATATTATTAAGGAAGAATACAAAAGAGCAACCATATTAACTATTGCTACGTTAAAAGATTGTTTTGAAAAGATACTTAAGCAATTTACGTATAGAAAGTTTTTTTTTAAAAAACCGTACCATTTAGAAGAATAGGAAACGATTTCATGATAATTTATAAGAGGGGAGGAAATAGCGGGGCTTAAATGTACTAATTGAATTAAAAAAATATACACTGTTCAATTATATTACAATGAGAGATTAGACTATGACGATGTTGAGCGATCGACATAGTTACACATAAAATTCAGTTATGTTCGAGGAAGAAAATACTCCATAACTTTTGCCAAACTAATAGTAGTACTACATAACTTTTGCAAGAATCTCTTCCCGTGTAAAAGTTGGGACAATCTCACCAGCTTATGTAATCTACCAGGGTGCATTTTTAAGTCGCGCACAAACCGAAAGTTGCCCTTCCTTTTGTAATAATAATAATAATAATAATAATAATAATAATAATAATAATAATAATAATAATAAAATCAAAAACATACTAGGAACAAACAAAACAAAACCTGAATTTATCTAACTAATCTCGCATCTACGTCTCGGTCTTCTCCGAACGACGTGCATAAACACAATCAGAACCCCCAGATTTACATTTACTAAACCTTCGATCGAGAACCCACCCCACGTCGTCTCCCGCACTAATTATATATTTTTTTAATTTTATCTCCACGGTAAAATCAAGAGATATATTTAACTAGTTACAATTAAAAATTTATCACCGGACGCACACGTCATAGGCCGTGTTTAGTTCCTTTTCAATTTTCAATTTTTTTAAGATATACGGATACACATTTGAAGTATTAAACGTAGATTAATAACAAAACAAATCACAGATTCCGCCTGTAAACTGCAAGACGAATCTATTAAGTCTAATTAATCTATCATTAGCAAATATTTACTGTAGCAACATATTGTCAAATCATGGTGTGATTAGGCCCAAAAGATTCGTCTCGCAATTTACATGTAAACTATGCAATTGGTTTTTTTCGTCCACATTTGATGCTCCATGCATGTGTCTAAATATTTGATGTGACATAATTTTTGTAAGTTTGAAGGAAACTAAGGCCCTGTTTTTTCAGTTTGGGATTATTATAATCTAGATTATTGAGTCATATTACTATAAACTTGATTGTTATAATCTGTACTAGAATAAGCGGTTAGTTGTTTCTTTCCTAAATTATTAGAGCCTGGATTATTGGGTTTGCAAGTGTAAAAGGGAGTGGGGGTGGCATGGTGGGTAATTTTTTACCTAATAAGATAATTTAGGATCCACGTATTACAGATGGTGAGATTGGTAATTTCTTAATTGTCACATTTAAAACTGAAAAAAAAAATCGACTCATCTGCCCTCCCCGAGGTGTGAAAAAACAAAATAAAATCCCCAATTCGCCGTCGCGGGCCGGCGGTAAAAAGGATGCGGCGGGTGGTGGTTGCCATCCTCTCGCGGTGAAGTGAAACGTGGGGACGAGACGACGAGTCGACGGCGGTGGCGGTGTCTCCCTCCCGCTGCCTTGCACCGCAAGGAGCCCCCCTCGCCGCCCGCCGCCTTTGACCGCCGCGCGCGCGCGCCTACTATACCACAACCCCCCCTAATTGGCCCATCTGTTGCAGAGCTACACTGAGCCACTCACTCCCCATGCCCTTGGCCGCCGCACCGATGCCGCTCGCGGCGATGGCGGCGAGTGGGCGAGACGACGGCGACGACGTGCCCTTGTTCTTCCTCCACGCGGCGGGCGCCGCGGCGCACCTCGCCGTCGCGGTCGCGGTCGCCGCGCGGATGGTGTTCGGCTGGTGGTGCCGCCGCGGCAAGGATGGGGAGGTGCGGGGAGGAGGAGGAGGAGGAGGCGGGTTTCGGTGGCGTTGGGTCGCGGCCTCCGCGACGTGGGTTCTCGGCGGGTTTGGGGTCATCCTCGCGGCGTACGAGGGGTACCTGGGCGGTGGCGGTGGCGGTGGTGGGTGGTCGCGTGGCGCGGTGGTGGAGGAGGCGGACGCCGCGGCGCGCGCGGTGGCGTGGCTGCTGCTCGCGGCGTACCTGCAGTACCGGTTCGGGTGGCGACGCGAGGAGCGGTTCCCCGCGCCGCTGCGGCTCTGGTGGGCGCTCTTCCTGCTCCTCTCCGTCCTCGCCGTCGCCGTCCACGCCGTGACGGGACTCGACGGGCGCCCCGTGCCCGCGCATTCGTGGGCGCTCGACGCCGTGTCGGTCCTCGCTGGCGTGGTGCTGCTCTTCGCCGGGTTCCTGGGCAGGAGGGAACCGGGCGACTCTGCTATCGAGGAGCCTCTCCTGAATGGTAGCGGTGCAAGCGCGACGGCCGCCGGTGAGAACAACAGTAACAATTGCGCCGCCGATGCGTCGATGTTCACCGGCGCCGGCTTCCTCAGCGTCCTCACCTTCTCGTGGATGGGTCCCCTCCTCGCCGTCGGACACAGGAAGACCCTCGACCTCGACGACGTCCCGGGCCTCGACCCCGGCGACAGAGTCGCCGGTCTGCTCCCGCCGTTCAAGACCAACCTCGAGGCGCTCGCCGGCGACGGCTCTGGGCGGAAGGTCACGGCGTTCACGCTCTCCAAGGCACTGGTGCGCACCGTGTGGTGGCACGTCGCGGTGACCGCGTTCTACGCGCTGGTCTACAACGTCTCCACCTACGTCGGCCCTTACCTCATCGACTCGCTCGTGCAATACCTCAACGGCGACGAGAGGTACGCGAGCAAGGGGCAGCTGCTTGTCCTTGCCTTCATCGTCGCCAAGGTGTTCGAGTGTTTGTCCCAACGGCACTGGTTCTTCCGGCTGCAGCAGGCCGGGATACGCGCGCGGTCGGCGCTCGTCGCCGTCGTCTACCAGAAGGGGCTCGTGCTGTCTAGCCAATCCAGGCAGAGCCGCACGAGCGGCGAGATGATCAACATCATCAGCGTCGACGCCGACCGCGTCGGCCTCTTCTCGTGGTACATGCACGACCTCTGGTTGGTGCCACTCCAAGTAGGCATGGCATTGTTCATCCTGTACTCCACCCTTGGGCTTGCCTCGCTTGCTGCGCTTGGTGCCACTGTTGTTGTCATGCTTGCCAATGTGCCTCCAGGGCAAATGCAGGAAAAGTTCCAGCAGAAGCTGATGGACTGCAAGGATGTCAGGATGAAAGCAACATCTGAGATCCTACGCAACATGAGGATTCTTAAATTGCAGGGGTGGGAGATGAAGTTCTTGTCCAAGATCATCGACCTGAGGAAGACGGAGACAAACTGGCTCAAGAAATATCTCTACACATCGACCATTGTTACCTTTGTGTTCTGGGGAGCCCCAACATTTGTGGCAGTGGTGACCTTCATAGCTTGCATGCTCATGGGGATACCATTGGAGTCAGGGAAGGTGCTATCTGCACTGGCCACATTCCGCGTGCTGCAAGAACCGATATACAATCTTCCCGACACGATCTCAATGTTGATTCAGACCAAGGTGTCTCTTGACAGGATAGCATCCTTTTTATGCCTCGAGGAATTGCCGACTGATGCTGTGCTGAAACTTCCAAGTGGTAGCTCAGATGTTGCAATTGAGGTCAGAAATGGGTGCTTTTCTTGGGATGCCTCACCTGAAGTGCCAACGTTGAAGGATCTGAACTTTCAAGCTCAACAAGGTATGCGTATTGCAGTCTGTGGGACTGTCGGCTCTGGAAAATCAAGCTTGTTGTCTTGCATTCTTGGTGAGATTCCAAAGCTATCAGGAGAGGTCAAGACCTGTGGGACGATGGCGTATGTGAGCCAGTCGGCGTGGATACAGAGTGGTAAGATTCAGGACAACATACTGTTTGGCAAGCAGATGGATAATGAGAAGTATGACAGGGTCCTCGAGTCATGCTCGCTGAAGAAAGACTTGGAGATATTGCCGTTTGGTGACCAGACCGTCATTGGAGAGAGAGGCATCAACCTTAGTGGTGGTCAGAAGCAAAGGATTCAGATAGCCCGAGCTCTGTATCAGGATGCAGACATCTATTTGTTTGATGATCCTTTCAGTGCAGTCGATGCTCATACAGGATCCCACTTGTTCAAGGTATGATATGATCTTCTATTTTCAATAGCATTTCATGATTTATTCCCTACAATATCGACAAGTGCATAACCTTTGGCATGTTTGCTCGTAAATTGCTTAAGGTTTTATACCCTTTGTAGGAATGCTTGCTTGGAGAATTGGCTTCAAAAACAGTTGTTTATGTCACTCATCAGATTGAATTCCTACCTGCTGCTGATCTTATTCTGGTAATGATTTCATTGGAAAAGTTTTCATCTATATTTATTGCCATGAAATGTATGTACATGCCTAATTGACTAACTATAATGTAGGTCATGAAAGGTGGGAGAATAGCACAGGCAGGCAAATATGACGAAATACTTGGATCAGGGGAAGAGTTCATGGAACTGGTTGGTGCTCACAAGGATGCTCTTACCGCATTGGATGCGATAGATGTCACAAATGGAGGCAACGAGGCTTCCTCTTCTAGTAAGACAGCAAGCCTGGCCAGGTCAGTGTCAGTTGAGAAGAAAGATAAACAGAATGGAAAAGAAGACGATGCCAATGCTCAGAGTGGGCAGCTGGTGCAGGAAGAGGAAAGGGAGAAAGGAAGGGTGGGGTTCTGGGTCTACTGGAAGTACCTCACCTTAGCTTACAGGGGAGCTCTTGTGCCATTCATCTTGCTGGCCCAAATACTTTTCCAAGTACTTCAGATTGCTAGCAATTACTGGATGGCCTGGGCTGCTCCTGTCTCAAAGGACGTTGAGCCTCCAGTAAGCATGTCAACCCTGATCTACGTCTATGTTGCACTGGCTTTTGGAAGCTCGCTGTGCATCCTCGTAAGAGCACTCATTCTTGTCACAGCTGCATACAAGACAGCAACTCTGTTGTTCAACAAGATGCATATGTCCATATTCAGAGCTCCAATGTCATTCTTTGATTCCACTCCTAGTGGGCGCATTTTGAATAGAGTAAGTCATGTTCATTTGCACAAATTTTCTAGAAAGCTTGGTTTATTTTCTGCGCTCGTGCTAACAGGTTTAAATTGCCTAGGCTTCAACGGATCAAAGCGAAGTGGACACCAGCATTGCTTACCAGATGGGATCTGTTGCATTTTCCATCATACAACTTGTTGGAATTATTGCTGTGATGTCTCAGGTTGCATGGCAGGTTTTTGTTGTTTTTATTCCTGTGCTTGCTGCCTGCTTCTGGTATCAGGTACTTTTGCTTTGTTCTTCTTGCCGTTTCAACTGCAAGATCAACACTCTTCAATCCTCACCACGTTTATGGTTTTGCAGCGTTACTACATCGATACAGCCAGAGAGTTGCAAAGACTAGTAGGGGTTTGCAAAGCTCCCATCATACAGCATTTTGCAGAATCAATAACAGGATCAACAACCATCAGAAGTTTTGGCAAAGAAAACCAGTTTGTATCAACTAATAGCCATTTAATGGATGCATTTTCTAGACCAAAATTTTATAATGCTGCAGCAATGGAATGGCTTTGCTTCCGCCTGGATATGCTGTCATCCCTTACATTTGCCTTCTCTTTGATATTTTTGGTCAATCTTCCGACTGGTCTCATCGATCCAGGTATGGTGACACTATATGTACTGAAGATGATTCCAACTTTGTTAATATGAGCTTGCAGCTAATGTTGTATCTTGTTTTCAGGAATTTCTGGTCTAGCAGTCACATACGGGCTTAATCTGAACATGCTGCAAGCATGGGTTGTATGGAGCATGTGCAATCTGGAGAACAAGATCATATCAGTAGAGAGAATTCTGCAATACATGAGCATTCCTGCAGAGCCCCCTCTTTCTGTACAAGATGATAAATTGACGCAGGACTGGCCATCAGAAGGAGAAATTATGCTCAATAACGTCCATGTAATAGCTCACTCATCTTATCCTCCCATTTTATTTATTAATATTTTTCCCTTTTTTGAATAAGCTGCATCGTTTCCCACTGCCAATAAGATGAACAGGAGTTCAGGTCCAATAATATGTCAAATTCAAAACCTGGTAGTACATATCTCTGAACATTTCAATTTGATGCAGGTGAGATATGCTCCACATTTGCCATTTGTTCTTAAGGGCCTTACTGTCACATTCCCTGGAGGCATGAAGACCGGTATCGTTGGAAGAACCGGCAGTGGTAAATCAACTCTCATACAGGCCCTTTTCCGTATCATAGACCCTACCGTTGGTCAGATACTCGTAGACAGTATCGACATCTGCACCATCGGACTTCATGATCTGAGATCCAGGCTAAGCATCATCCCGCAAGAGCCAACCATGTTCGAGGGTACCGTGAGAACCAACCTTGATCCTATTGGAGAGTACACTGATAGCCAAATCTGGGAGGTAGTTCCAGTCTTCACATGCTTCACCATTGTCAGCTGCCACATACTATTTGTGGACTTGCAGTGAAGTTCTATTATGATTTATGAATATCTTGCCCTTCCTTTTCAGGCCTTGGATCGCTGTCAGCTAGGAGATGAAGTTAGGAGGAAGGAGCTGCGACTTGATTCACCAGGTCCGTTCGGTTCTCTGCATCTGGACTCATTTCTTTTTCCTGTTCAGAATCATGCAGTTCAAAGTCTACTTTTACACTTGGTAATTCTTGGTGAATATTCTCCCGATTTGGCTTGGCTTGGCTTGGTTGCAGTGATAGAGAACGGCGAGAACTGGAGCGTGGGTCAGCGTCAGCTGGTGTGCCTTGGGAGGGTGATCCTGAAACGGAGCAAGATCCTGGTGCTCGACGAGGCCACGGCCTCCGTCGACACCGCCACGGACAACCTCATCCAGAAAACTCTCAGGCAGCAGTTTTCCGACGCGACGGTCATCACAATCGCGCACCGGATCACCTCCGTCCTTGACAGCGACATGGTCTTGCTCCTTGACAACGGTGAGTTTAGTTCGCCTTCCAAGTCCCAAACCAATCACAGATGCCACTAATCAATCTCCGATTTTATAACGACAATAACCACAGTTCCAACTAACCAATCCCAATTTATCTTACATATTGTATGGGTTTGTCGCGTCTGTCTGACGACCGAAACACCGTGCCAATGCTTTTGCAGGTGTGGCCGTGGAGCGCGACACGCCGACCAGGCTACTGGAGGACAAGTCGTCTCTCTTCTCCAAGCTCGTAGCGGAATACACGATGAGATCGACGCACACGTAGCAGAGAAGGTCAGTGCACCTGTTGACGCGATGGCCGTTTTGAGGCTAGCTGACACGTCGATAATGCCGAAAAATCACACTTACTAGTAGGGGATGAGATTTTAAGTAGCGAGCTGGAAAGTACCCAGTGTTGGTGCTCATAATACAGTGCGCTAATTCTTCGCACGATCTGAAATGAAGCTCACGTTCAAGAGGGGAAAGATGCTTTTAGAGGACAACAGAAGTAGTAGTGCTATTAAACTAGCGTTGATGTCTGAATAAAGGGTGTAAGCTGCTGATCATTAGGGGAACAACCAAATCCTGATCAGTGATCACTACTAGTACGTCGTAGAAAGGGGACTATTACACGAAAGGGAATTAGAATTTTCGGGATAATACCGTGTAACCCGATTGACGGACAGCAGAGACCGATGCCTGGTATATGAACATGTTGACAATAATCTGAATAAAATAGTGGTGATTGCGTGGAAACGGACATCTTGATTATTCTCATGGATCCTGATTTCTCTTACAGGTTCGTGCTTTCAAGTTTCAACTTCCTGCTTCCTGTTAAGATGGTTTTATATTGTGCTTTATGTTGATTCCTTTAAAAAAAACTAATCGCGTCATGGCAGAATTTACTTTTGCTTAACTTTGACAGTCTACAGTTTGAAACGCAGGAATGAGCTGCAATTCCTACCAGAACTGTAGATAAATTCCTTGTTATTATATTATGTTAATAACCAGTTAATCCTAGAAAAGGTTTTCTTTAGGTTTGCAAAGGTTGACATACCCTGGAGGTAAGCTTCGATAGGTAGACTGTAAAAACACATCTAATAAAATACAAGACACAATGTTCAGCAACAGTAATTGCAACCATCACCGAAGCAGTCGACGAAGCGTAGAGTAGAACAGAGAAGAAGAAAAAAAAAGAAAAACGTCAACAACAACAACAACAACATCGATGATGTTTCCTAACAATGGTCAGATCAGATGAACAATTCAATTCCTACCACAACCCTGCCTCCGCCGCCGCCGTCACCGCAGTCCCTCTCCTCCTAGCTCTTGGTGAAATGGTGCTTCTTCCCGCCGCCGCCGCCATCGCCGCCCTTGCCTCCGCCGCCGCCGCCCCTCTTGCCGGCGTGCGCCGTCGTGTTCTTGAGTATCTATAGGAGAGTAGAGGAGAAATCGCCATGAGAGATTGAGAATGGTGAAGCAAAGCTCGAGGGGGCTTTACCTGGCGGAGCGTGTTGTTCTCGTTCTGGAGGGTGGAGACGCGCTGCTCGAGCTCGGCATTGCGGAGCTCGAGGTCCTTGGCCTTGGCCTCGAGCTCCGTCATGTACGCCTTCTTCCGCTCCCGCGCCTGCTGCGCCGACACGCGGTTCCGCAGCAGCCGCTTCAGCCGGTTCTGCTCCTTGTCGCCGGCGCTCCGCCCTCGCTTCCTCGCCGGCGGCGCCTGCTCCTGCCCGCCCCCCGCCGCCGCCGCCCCGCCGCCGCCACCACCCTGCTGCTTCCCGTCCTCCTTCCCCTGCCGCTCGTCCGCCCCCGCCCCCGACGACGCCGACCCGCCGCCCCCTCCCATCTCCGGCACCCGCCGTATCTCCTCGTCGCTCTCCACCCCTGCCGCCACCGAATCGCTCGCTCAATTCAGCAGCAAACAACAAAACAAGCAAAGGAAATCCGGCGTACGGACGGCCGACGGAGAACGTGACGTTACCTCCTCCTTCCTTGAGGTTGTTGGGGGCTGAGCTGGAGGAGCGCTCGCTGCTCGACGGCAGCGAGCTCGTCGTGCTCGTCTTCACCTGCTGCTTCTCCTGCTCCTGCTCCTGCGCCGCCATCTCCAACGACCAGATCAAGATCTCCCCCACCAACCACCACACCACACCACACTCACCCTCCCCCCTCGCCCCTCGCCGCCGCGAAAAAGGGAAGAAAAAAAAAGAAAATCAAATCTAGAAGAAGAAGAAGAAACAAGAGACCACGACGAACACGAAGCACAAGTGTGGAAAGGAGAAGCAGATGCAGATCGGATGAGAGGAGAGAGAGAGAAATCGAGAGAGCGGAGGAGAGAGAAAACGAGTCTGTGTGCTCTGCTGCGGGATGGGAGGAGAGAGAGAGAGATGGGGGGAAATGGGTAGGAGAGGTCGGTGGGGTTGGGGGGTTTTGGAGGGCGACGTGGCCGTCATCCGGGCCGTCCACTCCGGAGCCATCCGACGGTGGGGGTTCGGGGAGCGTGGCGTGCGAAGGCACCATACACGCATCCACCGCATCTGACGGTGACCTCCCCGGAAGCGTAGCGGCATCCCCATCCATCCGATTTCGTAAAAGCGTAAAACCACTTGCCTTTCTCGGACGGAACGGAAGCTGTGAGCCATGTGAGCACGCTGCGGGTAGAGAGGATTCGAGTAATATATATACTTTTTTTTCGAAAAAAAATGGATTGTTACTCCTACCCGTGTAGAGACAAAAATGTTCTTCGAGATCGAATGGGACAAAGAAATCATGGGCTTTTTAAAATAAAATAAGGCGACCGGGCTCTCTCTTTTTTTTCTCCTTTACCGTGTACCACTCAACAAGAGGACATGCCTAATATCTACGAGTGCCATCCACCCGTACTATGCTCCCCGTTCTTTCACGTGTCAATTGTGCCAGACCATGAAATGATGTATATTACTCTCTCTCTCTCCATCCCAGAATACAGGAAATTTTTATTATTCAATATGACATATCCAAGTAATAGTAATACGATTACTAGAATGCATACTATTAAACCAAAATCATTTATATTTTAAAACAGGAGAATACTATGCTCCACTTTATTGATGGGAGCCATATCCACTGATAATGTGACGACTAATGCTAACTTTATCAATCTTCATCATATATTAAACTGAGTCTTCGGACATACTTACAATAGTAGGATGTGTGTGTATAGAGGTGAACATGCACGCGTGTATATAAGTGCCTATGTATGTACCTTTTTTGGAAAAAAAAAACACTATACTCTACCTCTTAAAATTAAAACATGCAAGTTTGTCAATTCGAAATGGTTAACCTTTAACTGAAGTTTTATATTACAAACTTTGAATTTTACAAACTAACTTTAAAATTAATTTAGTGGTTTATCATCGCCTTCTATTTTTCTAGCCATGATTTTTCGGACAGGTAAAAGTAGAAATATAAAGATCATACCCTGAATTGTTGTAATTACTAAATTCAAAAAAATATTGTAATTACGTGTTTTGGTTCATATAGATACAGTAAAAATGGCTCACAAGTACATTCTTCAATTATAGTCAGGCATGTAGGTAAAGAGAACAAGTTCAATGTAGATGACTTAACAAACTATAAGGAATTCTACATGCAGAGGAGTATTTGGTATCCACTAACAATTATTAGAAGTTAAAGCTCAACATGCAAGCATGCCACATCATCACCCACTAGTAATTACTCCCTCTATTTCATAATATAAGGCACAACCACTTTTCTTAGATATTCCATAATATAAGGCATGCATGCAAGCATGCAATTAACTATGACATCTTCTCCATTAAATTATTTTTTAAAAAAATTCTCCACTCTCATGTTATCTAATCATATTAGATGCATGCATTATATTTATTATGATGATCCAAACTACAAGATGATAATAATTATTTCTTGGTCTTTGGGTTAAGGGTGGTTGTGTCTTATATTTTGGAATGGATGGAGTACTATTCTAGCCCATTTAAAATCCCATGCAAGTATGCCACATCTTTACTCACTAGTAATGACTATTCTAGCCTATTTTAAATCCTATGTAAGCATGACACGTCGTCTATAATATTATATTATATAGATCAACAAATATGTGTCAAACCATCTTTCTCACATTATTTTTTAACTTTTATCATTTCAATAATATTTTACATATACCCATCCATAAATCCCGTAGCAAAGCGTAGGGTATCACCTAGTTTGTACTATAAATAAGTCTTTTCCAGCTTCTCAGAAACTGACTACCAACCAACCATTAATCAGAATGTTACGCTCCCCAATCGGATCCTCAGGGTGTGCTTAGTTCATGACAGAATTGGAAGTTTAGTTGATATTGGAACGACGTGATGGAAAAGTTGAAAGTTTATGTGTGTAGAAAAGTTTTGATGTGACGAAAAAGTTGGAAGTTTAAAAAAAAGGTTTGGAACTAAACAAGGGCTTAGTAGCAGATGATTATTGTACAAGCTAGCATTAGTTATAGCTGACATGAACTTGTGCTATAACTAAACTAACACCTGTCCTTCATCTAACTAGGAACGAAAACGGTTGGAATTGTGATCGGTAGCATTTTTTTTCAAAATGATTCTCTGTCGGTCAAAAATTTATCATATTTATTGATTTAACTATTCGGTATCACTAACAATACGACGTTAAAAGAAATTTAAAAAAAAAATTCATATATTTTCAAAATAAAAACAGTCAGGTAATAGTGCCATTTATACGAAAATCACTAGGTCGGTCAAGAATTTCCGTGACCATTTTTATCGTAGATCTAATAGCGGAGAGACCTGTTCGTCAGTCCGTCGATAGCTTATGCTTCCCACACCACATCATGTTTTTTTTTTCATGGATGTCCATGAGAGGGGCTTGAGCTTGAGCCATAATAGTGCCAAAATGATGACAAAATATATTGACACCCTTGCATTGACTGTCACTACCAGCTATTCCCCCATCCAAAAAAAAAAGCCAACCTTTAATATGGATAGGACACTTTCTTATGTCCAAATTTGTTTTACTAGAAAGTGTCCCATCCATGCCAAGGTTAGCCTTTTTTTTTCGGGGGGGGGGGGGGGGGGGGACGGAAGGAGTATGTGTTGCAGTGGTACTATCGGTTAACCGTCTCTCTCCCCTCTTTCCTTCTTGGAAGGCCATCTGGTAATCCAACCCATTTTCCAGTCACACGTCTCATGTCACAATACCACAACCCCTCACAAGTCACAACCACAAGAATTAGAGATAATTGTGTTTAATTAAGAAGATTTAGGTGTTAAGACATGCTCTTGGTAGACCCAAGCAACAATTAGAATGTGTCCACAGATAACTAATGGAAAACAGACTTATGTTTTCCAGAAGGATCCCCTCGTGTTAATGATGAGACAGCAACTTATTCCTGTAATCCGGACCCTACTACTGCCTTTCCCTTTTGAATGGCTGCAAAATTAATCATGGAGCGTGCAGCTGCACATATTGCTTTGACAATTTAGATAGTGCTTCAACATCACTGCTAATCAAGTAGTAGTACTTCCCCAACTAATCTGATAATCCTACCTATGCTTAGCAAGTCAAGCAAAGAACTCCAATGAAACTAAACAAATATTTATATGGCCCAGAATGTCATGTCATATATTAAAGGCCAAAATAAACACGAAATTCTTCAGCACTTAAGTTACAAGTGCCACCAGATATGTCCTTTAATGATTTAGTACAAAGTACTAGACCACAGGCAGCAGCTCACCAGATAGACACAACAGTAATATGAGATTACAGGTTAGAAGGAGAACACAATCTGATCTGCAATTAACTTCAGCACGTACCAACACTAAAATATTGAATAAATGACCAATAATTACATAGCAATAGACCCTAATAAGATATTCATGGTCGCAATTGATTGATTGACTCCAACAAAGCAGCAACTCAGCGATTAAAAGAAAAGGTTCATTTCTGACTTGTCCAAAAGAAAACAGAGATGTTCTTCACAGCAAAAGTCGAAAATTATAATAAGAGCAATCTGTACAGACAGTAACTTTATAGCATGATTGTATTTCCTTTCATTTTGTGCATTCACATCTTTCTCCACAAAACCTGCTTCTTTTAATCAAACAAGATCACATATTTGCATGTCTGCACTGAAGCCAATCATCACCATCAATCATAAAGTAATGCTAACATAGCCAATGCAGATTGGCACTCAAAATTTCACAAGCAAAGATCTGAAACCCAGCTCTGTTCAAAACTAAAAGAACAGACTCGATGATGTAAACATGCACACTGAAAACTGTTGCTAGCAGAAATATAAGGCAATCTTTTTAAACAAAAGGAACAAAAAGGTTAAGAACATAATATCGTACGGCAAAGAAAAAGTTGTATGTGTGGAGATAACTGGTTGGCTTTTCAAGCAATTAAGCTGAGAATGATCGTATTAAGTACCAGAAGACTTAAGGGGTGGCAGGAAGGTCAATAGCTGGTTGCGTGATCCCAAATAGGACACGACAAGGACCTACAAAAAGTAACATACTTGTATGTTTCTTGAATAATATCCTCATGTTTGATTCGACATGCAACAATGTCGCTTTTGTTTGATCTGTATCTTAGATTTCGGAGTGAGGAGGAACTTGATCTAAAATTTCTGTACTCTTTGAAATAACCTCAACTTCAACAGGCTGTCCTGATTCCAGAATTAGGGGCAATCCCTCAGTACTGCTACATATATTGCTTAGTGCTCTCTCTCACATGTTTTCACAAATTTCTGCCCGCAGGTACCCCGGTGATTTAATTATGTCCCACTATTTGCTTGGTATAATGAGTTAAAGCTGTTATTTGTCTCCTTTTTAGCAGGAAAAAAAAGTTCTCATTTTGAATGGAAATAATCAGTTATCTGTCTATGGTCACTTCAAAGTCATTCAATATTTAAACCTTTGTCTGACAGTATCTGGACATCCATGAGATAGGAATACACAAACTTTACTGCCGCATTCTGTTTCTTATATGTTGGCAGTGGAAGCCAACTAATATATCTATTTGCTCCAAAGGATGAAATGAGTTTCTGGAAGTTTAAAAGGTAAGCCCAACACATATCTACACCTTTCATCGTCAGAAAAGAAGTCCATAGCATGCCTATACACGGGCCAAAATCAATCCCTCCAACCAAGTGTAAATGCACTAGGTCATCTAGTCCACCTGGAAACCACTAGTGGAGAAACTTTGCTAGTCCCGGTCCTGTTCTTCAACTATGGGCACGTACTCTTCTATTAACTTAAGTAATGTCTGCATCAAACTCGATACACCCACATGGCCTTTGAGAGTTTCCTATTTTTTCAGCTAAAAGAAAAAGCAATATACCGGAAAATAGTCTGAAATAGAAAACAGAACTTCACTACAAATTCAAAATTAACATTTCTAACAAACACTAGCATTCCAGTTTCTTGTGTGATTTGCATCAGCTCAAAAGATTTGTAGTAGCTAAAGAATTCATTAAAATGAAATGAAATTAATAATGGCAGCACTGCAAGCAATACTAACTTACAAAGTGCATATGCTTTTTGCAAGAATTTGAAATGGTAAGCCAAAAAAAACAAGAGTTAAGGTTTATTAGACAATATTATTGTAGGACATTAAGATTGTTATTTACATCAAGATCTCTAAAATCAATGTAGGACATCAGTAAAGGGAAAAAAAACTCCTAGCTAGCAGCACACACAATGCTTCATCTGCTTCACGAATGTGCTTACCTACATATTTAACTTCTAGAACTCATAATTGTATGGAACTCTTAAGCCACAAGGAGAAAGACGGAAGCTACAATCAGTATAAAATTTGCAAATATTTGGAATGTTCATTGATTCTTATGGATAAGATTAAATATGACCTAATAATTGATAAGCTCACGAATTTTTTTCCTTAATAGGAACATAAACTGTAGCATAACTGCCAAAGATGTGTTTTTAAAATATTTTGAAGTATCCGATAGTTCTTAAAAGAAGTAAGTTCTCGCTGGTTCATGAGGAATGGATGTACTCATAAGGAGTGGCTGTGGAACAAGACACGTACATGAAAAAGGATAGAAAACGCCATACATCATATTATGTATTTATATGTACAAAGGGCTTATACATATGATACAACGATATGCACATACTCTATCAAGTACATGATGGCAGAGGCGGGCATTCTAGAATACAGCTGCTAACTAGTGTTGAGCTAACAAGAGGGAAACCAGTAAAAAAAAAAACAGAACAGTAGCATAAAAAGAAGAAAGCTGACAGCAACTGCAACTATATGACTTACTACTTACATCTATACATGATGGACCTGACTACAAAGCCACAAAGAAAAAAGAAACTGATAGCTCTGCACAGATAGTTGAGAAGAGCACAAAAGGCTAGAACCTTCTTGGTTTAGATGGCTCTGAAAGTACCGGCTTCCTAAAAATTCCACAGAAGATGCATCCGGGAACCTTGGGTGAAGGAGGATCCTGTGCTGGGGGCACACGGCGAGTATGGAACGCCTGGCTGTTGTTGCACCTGGTGTGCCCTGCACCATCGCCATGCCTACGCTGCAGCCCAATCAACCCAACACTACGGGAGTGTCTCAGCTCTAAGGCTCCATCTTCTTGATCTCTCTCGCTATGACCATCTAACATAAGCCTCTCATCCCAGACCAAGCCAGATGAACCGGACCTTCTAAATGTCTGCGAAGATCTTTGTAGCGCGGCCATGTTCCTCACGGTGGTTCTCTATCTAGGAATGTTCTATGGTATGCAATGAGGACTAAGGGAGCAAGAGAATGGTATGACCAAGGCTAAATAGCATATATATCCACAAATTGGAAATATTGCAAGTTGAAGGGATATGGGTCAGGTGATGGTGACAGGCAGATAAGGGCAAGGATGAGGAAGGTTTGCCCGCACACTGAATTAGCATCTGAGCAATTGATTGATAAATCGACAACGCAACAGAATCATTTATCCTCTTAGACTAGTGGTGCTAATATAACTACGTCTTTGGCTCTTGTGCATGTAAGACAAGCAAATAATCAAGCAAACTACTGCCAACCAGAAAAAAAAATCAGTAGTAAATTCTTAATTAGAATTCCTTGTGCTAACACAGCATGGTTTGAATATTTTTTTTATGATATTGTCACCTGGATGTAGCTATCCATACACTACAATCATGCGCATTTTTAATGACGGTTCTAGACATCACAATCACATTGTGACTGAATCACCGGATCACTTCACTACAGGAGAGAAGTGCCAAGCACCAGGATGGAGCAATCTAGACAGGATTATCAGGGCGATTAAGGCGAGGGTTCCAGCTGCCCCCCTATTCCCCAAACCCTAGCACGCAACAAGCCAAAACGAGCGGCCTTCTTCTCTCCTCGCTTTCCACACGAATCCCATCCCAGAAGAGGGAAGAGGAAGCCAAAGCCTCTCCTAGATGCTACCACATGGTTCCAGTTCCAAATCCCACCACCCCGCCGACGGCGACATCCACTACGCCACCGACGACGACGATCCCGAGTTCCCCCTCGGCACCACGACCACGCAGCCGCAGGAGCAACCAGTGGCCGGGCCATTTTGCGGCGGCAGAGCACCATGGGTGCGCGCGGATCCGTGTGGCGGGCATGGGGTTCGCATCGCACGCGTACCTTGGCGGGAAGCGGCCGCGCATGACGGTCCAGCCGGAGACGCGCCCCTCCCTCTCCGTCCGTCTCCCCGCTCCGCCGCGGCGAGGAAGAAGAGATGGGTGTCGCGGCGTGGCCGTGGCCGTGTGGGAGAGGAAGCGGCGACGAAACGAGGCTGAAAAATAATTTGCAAATAAAATTTTGATATAGTACGTGTTTTTAACAATCTTAAAGTAAATGGTGAAAAATAAATTTCGCTGAAAAAAAACCTAAAATCAAATTTGGTTGAAAATAAATAATTTAGCTGATAAGTATAAGTAAAAAGATGATGAAGCTGGATAACTGTTTTGCTTTTAGAGTTCTTTTAGCCGTTTGTTTGGTTTAAATTTTAAAAACAAACCCTCTAAAACTTGGTTTTCAAAACTAAACCTTTCTAATCGTCGTGCTACTGTGGTTCTGCGGCAACTAAAATTCCAAACACATGTTTAATTTTCACCTCTCCAGCTCTCCTTGTATGAATTTGCTGTTTCGTCAGGTAAAAACTCGAAATGCAGTGCACAAGGTAGTCTCAAATCTGTGAATGGATCTATCTCTATAAGATCATCCACGGCAATTCCAGACCATCTCATAAACGGCTGAAGCAATGCATATCCAGGTGCATGGGCCGCAAGAACATATCGCAGAAGCAAACCACGCAAAAAGATGTGATTCTCAATGAACATTATTGAGAAATGTCAAAACTTTCTCAAGTCTGGAACCCAACTGCTGTGGCATAATAAAAGAAGTGTTCAGCTGTGGTTTATTTGATCATTGCCATGGCGCCATTGCAGCAAGCATGTCAGCATTCTAACGTCTTGAAGACGCACTCAGAACTTGTATACCATCTCTGCAGTGTATCCTAACTCTTTCAGAATGCCGGTGAGCTGCAGAGTAACCAAATTGATGATCAGTAAAACATTAACATGGCCAAGCAAAAGAGGGCAATAAAGTGATAAAACGAATGTCATGTTGTAGTGGTTAATGCAAATCTAGGAACTAGGATACAACTGGGATATTTAGATCACTGGAATGCTCCCTGGCTAGCTTTGACAGGTCTGTTAGCTGGAACTTGGCAAGCGAAAATTGTCGCTTTTAGCTAGGAATTATCTTAGTATGTTCATCCAGATATCATTCTACTGTTTTCATCCAATTAAGAAGGATAAGAAATATGGCACTAACTACAATCACAAAAGGTAGATAGTGACTTCACATTACCTCGCCCTGCGATCTATCCTTTGCCTTGTCACCGGATATATGATTCATCATACCTGGAGGACCACAAACCTGACCAAGCAAAAACCATTGAATGACTGATGCTTTCTTACATTCCAACATTAATAATCATGTTTATGCTACACATGAATGAAGATAATGTTGATGGAGATTATAAGCGAGCTTTAAAATTGTACAAACTCTTGTCAAAAGCTTAAAGAATATCAGCAGAACTATAAGCAGAAATGACAAAGACTACTCACAAGGATCAGAGAATCCTCCCCTGGCCGTGGCAAACCTTTCAAGGCAATGTCCTTGGATATGTAGCCAACACCACCCCTCCAATCATTTGATGGTTTGTCCACCGTGTAGAATACCTAGAGAAAAATTACCAGGGCGTGTTACACTAACAAAAAAATCCCATGTAATCAGATCAAAATGAATTAAACCCTGTAGTAATACCAACCTTGAAATTAGGATAGCTACTGGCAAGTCTATCTAATTCCCTTTTCAGCAAGATATCATCTGGTGACACATTGGCATAAATTAAGGAAACCTAGAAATACCAAGAACCATAAATCAGATTAGAACAAAACATTAGTCAAACATTATATAGCTAATAATGTTATTTCTGGTAGCAGTATGAAAGTGGATACATTGATCTGTTCTGTCATGTCAGCATGCATAACAAAGTTACGTGGTATAGCAATATCGTTCACATAAAATGATAGTTTCTCAAAGGGATGTCACAAGGGTGCAAGTCGGTGCAAATAAGTTCAAAAAAATTGTGATGGCAACAGACCTGAGTGTTGTCATCAGGGTTTTTTAGGATAGCCCTGACAACCTGCAGCATTGGTGTTATGCCAGTCCCACCAGCGATCTGAAAGCATATACATACATTTTGTTAAAATTTTTTAAAAAAAAAGACCAGCTTGATAACTTCAGAATTTTTCTAGCTTTGGGCTTGCTAAATTGAATTGGCAAACATAGACACTTGGCTAAGGTTGAAGTCATGTCTTACCATGCCAATTTGTTTCTTCATATTTGGGCTATATCTGAGCTTTTCAATGGGCCTGGAAAAAAAAAAGAGAAAGACATCAATTACAGATAGCCAATAACATGCATAGAAAACTCAACGGATTTTCATTTCACATTACCCTTTGACCTCAACAACATCTCCTGGTTTCAGACTTGCGAAATACTGACTCATTTTCCCATCAGGATAAACCTGCAACATACATATAGCACAAAAATAACTCTCCTTTCAGTACTACCTTACACTGGACTACAAGAACTGCTGATCTAAAAGCAACTAGCATGTTCTGAACTTCAGACATTAAACTTTGTGTTACCTTGATTAGCAGGTCAAAATATCCTTTAGAATCTGGATCAGAGATAGGTGTGTACCTGCAGAAAACATGTTAGATTCCAATAAAAATCTAATCGAACAGTCGTACTAACATATGTTATGTATGCAATAATGGATAACTGTTTTTGTCTCTGCTTACGGGCGAATGACAAATTTTCTTCCTCCCTCCACTTCCTCTCCTATTGGAGCCCTGAGATGAATTAATGGTTTTAGAGTCTCCAAGGTAAGAAATAAATATAAAAAATACTAGCTCATACTATCAGAAAAGTAGATGCAAAATGATTCACGCCTATAAAAGAGTGAGTAGATAGAAGGCCAAAATATTAAACAAGGTGCTGCTGAAATGTACAGAATGGTATATAAAACCCTCTCTTTTCTGAAACGGCTAACTGCTAAACAGTAACATTTAACATGGGGGAAAAACATGAACTATTTATTCATTTAACATAAAGTGGTATTTTGCTTTGCACAATATTTGTTACAGGCTAGTAGCGACAACAATAATAATTAGCTAGAACACTGTTTCAACTAAGGTTATTAACACAGCATCTGCATCTATACACATTCTTTAAAAAAAAACAAATATTCCGTTTAATTTATATAAATGATTCTCACAGTAGAGGTATTCTAACATATGCCAGAAAGTAAAGGGATACCTTGTTATGAGACATGAAGCAACATCAAGACCCAACTTAGTAGATGGGTCAAACGAAAATCTGCAAGATCAAATCACATGCATAAGCCTTCAATTAAGACAGAAGCATGCAAAACAAGATAGAATGATTCGAATTAATACTCAAGACAATAAAATGATTTGAAAATTTCAAACTTGCCAAAAGGGAAAATACGATGCACCGAATAATTTAATATCTTGAACATTGATATATCTGTTTTGAAAGTTGAGAACAATAAACAAAACATGAGGAGGAAAACAAAGACACTAACGTGAACTACGGGAAATTGATAATGGGTGCAATTAGTCAAAATACAGAAGCATTACATAGCAATATACTACATATGCTAGCAGAGAATAGTCTATGGTTTCATGCAACAAAGACAAATTGCAGTGTACGTAGCAGGAAAAAATATTTCAGCAATTTGTTGTCCAAAAATGTATAATTTTACCAATATTACCTAAATAATTGTGAATTGTGGCTAACTGTTGCCTTCTCCTGGAGCTTGAACTCTAGCCACTTGTCTGGGTTAAGCGCTGAAAAGCAAGAAAAAGAATTGTCAGTTGGAAGAAAATGCAGAAATAAAACAGTAAAGAAGTATAAAGACTAAATTGCTAGGAAAATAATTTAGATTATCACAAATTTTGCAAGCTGCAGCCAGGATCTGAAGAGGATTCTCTAACTTTGTACATCAACACATTGGTGATCAGATGAGATTATAGGCAACAGAACCACTTAAAAAACAATATCTAGGAGACAGCAATGTAGAGGATCCAAATTATGGCATGAAAACCATACAGAACCACCACTAGAATGCCTACATGACCCTACACGGTACCATTTTTATCCGACCATGCCAAAATCCATAATCAGATAACATATTGATGTGCATTAAGTATTTGACAGTAGTATGCCTGAAGGAACACATTTACACTTGGCCTTGTCCATAACAAATGGAACATATATGAAAATTTCCATTTGAACTTGGCTGACTATTCTGTTCCTAGAAAGTCGCCTTAAATTCCTATGCTACGAACAATTTGGACTACTGTTCATTCAGGTGTTCGCATCATTAGCCATCCCCAGCCTCTGGTAGGATGCAGGAAATACCGTAACATAACAGACAAGATAAAAAAAAATAGTCCATGAGGACATAAGAACTGTTTCTATTAATCCACACATCCAAGAAATCGAGTCTCACCAACTTTAGCAGCGGCATCCTCGCCCTTCTCCTCCATGAGCGCCTGCAATCATTCGGCACCAGTGAGACAGAGAAAGCAAAGCTGCAGGAGAAATGGAGCCGGTGAGGAGGTTCGTTCGTACGATGGTTGGGGGAGACGAGGCGCAGAAGAGCGCCGCTCCACCGGTGACGGCGGCGGCGGCGGCCAGAGGCACGCGGCCGCGGTGGGTCCCGGCGAGCCTACGAAGCAGCAGCGCCGCCATGGTGAGAGGAGGAGGAGGAGGAGGAGTCGACGGCGAGCTCCGCGGCGGCGGCGGCGGAGTGATTCCGAGATCTGACACAGGTGTGAAGCTCGAGTGATTTCGCCCGGATGGTGGGAGTAGAGGGAGAGAGAGAGAGGCTGACAGTGTGGGCCCACGGCGCAGTGATCTCGCAACAAAAGCGACTCCTCTAGTCCTGTTCTTCGGTCTTCACTCTTCACTGCCTCCGCCGTTATTACCGCAAGTGATGGTTGAAAAATCACAACTTGAGACTTGAGAGTGGAATTTCATATTCTCTTTTTCATTATTCCAAATAATGTATCTTCAGATTATATCAAATCTGTTGGTTGAAAGTCCAAGGTTTGATTCAAACTTTCAAACCAACTACTTACTCTGTCCCACGAAGTATGTCGTTCTAGGTATTGTCAGCCAAATTAGAGTTAGGTGAAAATGACATATTGCTCATGTTTTATAGGATTGCAGCTAATCATGCGGAGGCTTGAGAGTAGCACGCTACAACACTGCAATAATCAGTTATACTGCCACATCTACTTAAAAAAGAACATTTAAATCATGATAAAATTAATAGTTGGTGCTTGCAGCAGCGGTACACATTGGTACCAACTTTATGGATTATAGTAATCCAACCGGTCCCATCATTTAAAAAACTTCATTAGCTACTGTCACTTTTATGCGCTACTACTAGCTGATGGGAAAGTTCAGCGTCGAGTATTTTGGGGCATTTTCTACTGAGCAAAGCGACTTCCTTTGTGGGACGGAGGGAGTAGATAAAGTTATGATTTTTTTTCATATAATATGGAAGTTTTAAGATCTTTCAATTGGGAGTTTAAATCAGTTGGAATTTCAAGTTTCAAGTTTCTAGTCGAGAGTTATAAGTCATTAGAACACTTCTTCAGAAAAATGAAAGTAACTGCTACATCCGCGGTATAGGAAGGGCAAGTCGATCAACTATGAATCGGTATGACAATGTCTGATAAGGGATAAACTCTTTTCATATTAGCATATTTTTTAGAAACCATAATCATTACAATACAACGGTGAAATGTTAAATACATTTTCAAGGAAGAAATGATGCCACAATTAATAAATTATTTATTCAAAAAGCGGGTTGTTTTTTCAACCGTCAGATTATCCCCTAGCGTATGAAATTCATGATGTGTCAACCTAACCCTAATAGGCTACTTTTCCTCTTGTTATTATCCCCTCCCCTCCACCTACCGCCGCCACGGCACCACCGCTCCTCTCTTGCATCTCCATCTTTCCCCTTTCAATAGCCATTGTACCACCACTTTTCTATTCTCGTGTCATTATCTCTTCGTCCCTCGATCCCCTCCATCTATTGCCGTCGCCAATCCTCTCTCCATCTCCATCTCCCCCCCCCCAAGATCGCCGCTGCCACTCGTCTATCACATCTCCATCTACGCTCCATCCGACTACCGCCGCCCCTCCTCTCTCACATCTCCATCTCCATCCTTCCGCCCACCGCCGCCATGGGTCGTACGCCTCGTGCCATGCTACCAATTGAAACGGAGAGGAACACAGATCTAACCTAATCCTTTAGTTGATTATCCGCCGCCATCTATCTCTACCGGTCGTCGCCACCTTCCTTGTCTTTGATGCTATCATGGGTGGATCTATGTCAATCCACCGCCGTGAGAGGTAATCCACTTTCCTTCATATTATTAGATCTGCATCTTGTGATTGCCATGTTAACCGTTAGATCTAGTGTTGCTACCAGTGGGCAAAGCGCTTGAACCTCGCGACTAATAGCATTTTTTAATGTGCAACCACTTTTTGTAGACACCGAAGCCAGTTAGCAGTTGAGAAGCGATGACGGAGCCTAGGCGGTCACCTGACCTACCCGAGAGGTGGCTCCACCACTGGCTGCTACTTTTGAACCCTAAAGATCCCAGAGGGGATGGCCGATGGTGAAGTAGGCATGATAGCCCTCTAAATTTAGGTACTTATCATTGTGATTATTTAAGATTGTTTCAGGCAAAACACTCATATATATCTTATATATGTAGTACGTACAATTTTGAGTATGCATTCACAGAGTATTAGGTAATACCCTTTGAAACTTTCTTCAAGTAGCAAGTTAGTTAATGAATTGAAACAGTAAACTTCAACTAAAATTCTAAGCAAGCTTAGAAATAGGCAAAAATATATGGTAGAAGTGATAAGAATCATCTTTCACTAGGGTGTAATAGAAACACTCATTTAACAACCACTTTTGTATATATGGTCATCTGTTAATTCTCTAGCTTTCAAAGAAATAGATAGATATGGCAAATATCTCCTGTTTTAATATGCAAGGCTTGCTAGCGTTTGGTATAACCTTTTTGTTTGTATAATAGACAAGTATTAGTGTGTAACTCTGTATGTATTGCACATAGCTGTAAGTGGAAATGGTCATAAATAAAAACTAAGGCAGTGGGCTGTAAGAATATCTCCTATAATTTTCTCACTGTATTTTATTTATTTCAGGAGTACAGCCGAGAGTTATAAATGAGGTGCCAACTGCCAAGTATGATGGTGTCTTCACATGGAACGGCAATTTGGTAAGTTACATCTGACGCCTTGCTTGCTTACCATTTCTCATATTATAATTTTCTCGTGATTATATGCTGAAAGAATAAGGTCATTTAACCAACAATATAAGCTACAATCATATCATGATTAATTATGATGTGCATATATCATTATCATCTGATGGAACAAAATTATTTTCCATAATTTGGGAACAGTGGTCAATCCATTAACTCCAAATTAAATTTCCTAACAAACGCAAAGTAAATCATAAAAGAAAAACGGGCAACATATACAGTTTGTTACACCATTCTCTGCCTATGACATCAATATTTCTACTAGCAAAAAATTGCAAAATAATCAGCACACTCGACAGCTCTTTCGGCAAGAGCCATAGTAGTCTGAGCTTCCTATCATAAACACCGGATTCCTGTCACACTCACCACTAGCAGCCCAACTCACACACCTATCATCTTCATCTGTGCACTCATCCTCGGATGCAAGTGATGATTTTGGATAATCAAATTTTCTCAAATTTATATGTTTTATGGCTAGCCATTTCTCTCCTTCGAGGACAGGACATTCTTCATATTGGCTATCCTTATCTGTTTCTCCATCAGGCCTTAAATTGAACAGCAGTATTGCATTGCCCTTGGCTGGTCGCACTGCATAACCAGAACATTGAGATGGTGCCCCCTCCTTAGCTTGAGCATCCTTCATCTAAAATCATAGTTTAGTATAAGATCTTCTGCTCAACTGAATCAAATCACTGAAGAAATTACATGTGCCTAGACTATAAGCAGTGCATAGTTATTCTGATAAGGTGTTCTGAAAAAGTAGGCCTGGTGAGGATATAATTACCTCAGATCTGGGGAAAACAGTTTCACCACCTTGCTTGACATCAGAAAGATACATCAAAATGGTCGCAAGCCTATGGGCACCACTGCTTGATTTAGGTTCCTCCTTGATACTGCCACTTCTGTTCACTCCATACTTCAAGACCTGAATGCTCTCTCCATTTTCTGAAGACCAGCAGGAATGTCAGCAGCCAGTACACGGCATGCAATGTTTCTGTGTTGTCGAGTGAGTGATTACCTTTTGGAAGAAAGCTCCATAGCGATATCCTGTCCTCAATCTTGGAAACAACTATATCCTTCAAGAGTACAACAATATAGGTGTTTAGAAGTAGCACAGTCCACGGCTAATGGTACTTCATACAGTAGATCATAAGTTCATCCTTTTAAAAAATTCCACAAGTTTAACACCTACAGTAAGCTACATATCCAAAAGAATGATGAAGAAATAAATATCAGGAAAGGTATATAACTTCAATTTCATTTAACTGCAGCCACAGCTAACCATCAAATTACAGGCTAAATCATACTAGATTGTCAAATATAGGGATTGGAGGTTTCTCTTGTATTTATTTCAATGAGAGTATATTTTCTGCATGATTCCAAAATACCACAAATTATGAAAGAGGGATGTATGCTCACTTCGCTATTAGCTAGGTACACTTTGAGGCCTACCTCAATGTTGTTATACGAACTATTTCTATCACCATCAGTAAATGCTAAAGATGACTCCATATTACCACGTCCCTGTGATAATGAAAACATAAGCAGATAAGCTTCGATAACACAAATGCAAATAATAAGCTGTGATAACAGTGTTACAAAAATTACCATAGATACTAAATGGTCACACTCCATGTCAGAAAGAAAACCTTCATACAAGAAGATCCTATATTAAGGTAAGAAATGGGATTTGCCCACCACGTAAAGAAGAATAAAACAAGACATATCTGAAAAATTAAGATGTTTAAGAGACAGTTTGAAGTACATGACTATAAGAACCCAAGTTCTCATAATAAGATATGTAAACACATCAGTGGAAGTGGGATAAATAAATATTGATCCTTCCATATCAATATGAATAAATAAAATGGCGCTTGTGAGATGAATAAATATTGATATCAACGCCATTGTGAATTATTTTGCGTGTCACGGATATATGCATAATATATCATATTATTATGCATTATTATGACTTAAGGCATAAATATACGTATTATCATATATCTTTAATATCATATGACTTAAGGCACAGATATATGCATTATATATCTGCATGAATTGGTATATCATATTATTATACTTTACATGAAATATATTTGATCTATGACATAAATTGAATTAAAACTCAAATGCACAATTCATATAATAATTTTTTTTGCTAACATGAAAATTTTAAAAATTATTAAAGACAACTAAAGTAGTACCGTAGTGTTTAGCACAGGCATATTACTAGTCATATCAAGTTGACAAAACCGACCTTGGATGCCATGAGAGTCTCTTTGATTTTGAAGGATCAAAAACAAGGTGTGAGCTTGAAGCAGTTGAACCACCTGTGGAGTTCACTAACTTTTCTTGTGCAATACTCAGATCAAACCTGAAAGGAGTAATACATGAATTCCATAATATAAGTTTCTGCAAAGAAAAATAACTCAAAACCGTGTTTTCCTTTTTACATCTCAGTTTCCTGTTCTTATCAATGTTAGAACATTTTCTCCTCCATTCTCCCCTCCTTCGTATGCTTTTTTATAATTTTCTAGCGCCTTCCAGACCCCCATAAAAAAATTAGAAGGAACATCCATAGACAAAATAGAAGTCTCCCCCTTCTCTCATGGCCCTCATTACCATTCTTTTAGATGACAGGCTTAGCCCTCATTACCATTTCCCCCATCTATGTTGCCCCTTCTCCACTGCCTCTTGATTGTAATCATTTAATTGGTATGGACTCAGTTTTATAATAGGAATCTCACATATGCCACCAAATGGTTGCATCAACCCACGATAATCGAAGCGATTCATCCAAAGTTTTATACTAACAACACCAGCATTCAGATAATGCTCTATTGCTCTTTACATTACATAAGACCTTCTAAATCAATCCTAATGCATCAATACCATGATCATAATCAACACAAGATCATCAGGGAACAATATAAGACAGGCAACATTATACTTTAGACTTCAAAGACATGTTTTTGTTCACTACCACTAGCCTACAATGTTCTTCCTTTTGAGTGTGCGGGTGGGTCAAAATTACCCACAACAGCAACTGTTGCAAAAGACATCGACACTCATGAAAATCCAACCTTGAGAAACTGAATCATGCTATCCATACACAATATTCCTCCCTAAACACAAGCAGATTTCTTGGGCGCCAAATCCAATCAGAGAACCTTGCATCAAAAATTAGCAAGAGCAAGAACAGCAATACCTGCGCGAAGAAGCCAGAGCACCAGGCGGCGCAAATGTTAGCCATGCTGCAACAAGCACCAGCACGGCTCCAATCCCAGATCCCATCCTCCTCCCCCTCTTCCCCTCCTCCGGTCTCCTCCTCTTCACCTGCACTAAAGAACACCAGATCCGCATCTCTCTCGCCCTGCATATACAATTCTCCAACAACCAAACCAAAACCATTTCCTTCGGCAAAGCGATGGTCTGCAAGCCCATTGGGCCGCGTTGCCACCGAACAGGAAACGGCCCAAGCCACCACAGAGGAAGACGGAAGGACACAAACACAATCTCACAAAGATAAAATTGTTCCAGTTCTTACGACACGACGGCAATGCAGGTCTGCTTACACGCACAGAATTCAACAACAGTTTAAGACACATACAGACATGAGTCCGACAGACACGGATGGTAAAATGACAAGATCAATGTTCGGTTTGGGAGCAGATTTGGAAAATAAATTAAATATAAAATTGTTCTGGTTCTTGACGACGATCGATGAGCTAAGGTAGCAACGCGAAACGATCGATCGATGCATGGCATGGCAATTGGCAGGTGGAGCTCGATCAATCATGGCGAGCGAGAGATCGACGATTGGTTTATGGATGCTCATACCCCTCGAGCCAGTCGCCGTAGATGCCGGTCATCTTCTTGAGGCTGAGCATCTCCAGGCGGGTCATCTTCCGGCCTCCCTGCTCCGGCGGCGGCTGCTGGGCGACAAGGTTGGCGTCGCTGGCGGCGGGCGCCGCGGCGGCCATGGATGCCGCGTTGTAGCTGCTGCTGTTGTTGACACGGTAGTGGGGCGGCGGCGGCGGCGGCGCCACCGGCGGCACGGAGACGAACGTCCTGGGCACGGTCACCGCCACGCTCCTCCGTGCCGGCATCTCCCACGACGACGACGACATCGACGACAGCCTTGAGCCCTGGCGGATCTCTGCGTCGAACACGTGAGGACGGGTCAGGTGTAGCCGTGATCCGCGAGATCCCGATCGACGTGAGATCGGCCATGCACGCGCACGTACGTGTGATCGATCGACCTAGCTAAGCTAAGCTATGGCGATCGCGAGCGAGCGTTACCTGCAGCGGAGACGTGGGGGAAGGCGCAGGTCTCCCCGAAATAGCAGATGCCCTTGTCCCTGAACTCGAAGCACACCTTGGTGATGGCGCGGTGGCCGCCGCCGCCGGAGCCGGATCCCCTGGCGAGGAGCTCGTGCACGACCTGCGCCGGCGGAGGCGTCGGCGCCACCGCCACGGGAGGCGCCGCCGCCGACAACGACGGCGAAGGCTTCCTCCAGCCGCCGGCGCACGCGGTGAGCGAGGGGCGGAGCTCCTCGTCGCCGTGGGCGAACGTGCAGCCGTCCTCGAACATGCACCGGCCGCTGGTCACGAACGTCTCGCACACCCTCGTCTTGTAGAACAGCTTCTCCGGCGGCTCGTACGCGAACCCGCCGGACTCCGGCTCCACCGCCTTCACCGGCGGTGGCCGCCTCCTCGCCGGCGGCCCCGGCGACAGCACGATCACGTCCTCCGAATCCCGCCGCCGCCCCACCTCCCACTCCACCATCCCACCCCTCCCCGCCATCTCGATCCAAACCCTAGCTTGATCTACTACTAGCTCCCGCAGCGCCGCCGCCAACCAAGTGAAGAGAGAGCAACACAAGAGAGAGTGGTGGATTTATAGCGAGAGATTAAGTGAGGCAAAAAATGGATCGATTTGGGGGCGCCGTCTCCGTCGCAATCGGGATCGGGTCAGAAAACCTAGCTCCAGATCGATCGATCGGTCGATCCACCGGCTGCGATTTGGCACCATTTGGGGGCGGATTCATACGCTCCAGTACTCCACGCAGTGAAGGTGCAATAAACGGTTGCCTCCTTTGCTCCTTCTCGTGCTCTCTCCTCTCGTCGATCGAATCGATCGCGTGGGCAACGTGACGCTCGCTTCCGCCTCCGCCGCGCGGCGAGCTGGGCTGCCTCTCTCTCGAGCTCTTGGACCGCCTCCGACGAGCTGGGCCGCCGCCGCGGCGGCGACATGGGCTTAGATAGTTCTTATCTTGGGCCGAAGAGCTGGGTATTTTGATGGGCCGGAGAGGTGGGTTTTCTAGAATCTTGGGCCTAGGATTTCATGGGCCTTGATTAGTGTAGCACGTTGAGCAATGATGGGAGGTAGGGGTGCAGGAGGAGAAGCTCATGATGATCCGTTCCGTAGCCGTTCATCATCATTCGGGGCAGTGCAGTGCCCTCTCACAGTCTTCTCACATGCGTGCAGCGAATCATGCATGCGCATGGAGATCGAGATAGAACTACCAATATACAATAATGCAGCTGAGGAAAAGGAGTTGCAAAGCTCTTTGATTCTCGCCATGACCAAAACAAACACAGCATACCGGACTGGAGTAGCACACATGCTACTACATCCGCTACGAAACACTACAAGAGCTCGTTCGTTTTTTGAGGAAAAACTGAGGATTTGATCACTAAGGATTAATTCCATTGAGTATCATTCGGTTTGTAGGATTAAAGTATAGAAAAATCAAAGGAAAAATTATTTTCCCACAAGAAATTAACATATGTACTCAAGCCTCTTGGAAAAATTTCTCTAGATTGATGTGTGCAAACAATGTTATTTCTCCATTTTTCCTATTCATATGGATTCAAATTCCACCGAATCAAATAAACCCTAGGCATTTATGTATATTTTTTCAAAATTTATCTAGACACACTTCTGTCCAAATATATTTTACAAAAACACGCAAAAATAATGCTTTCGAACGTAGGGCATTAACTTGATGAAAGAGAACTGCGAATGGTGTGATTGATATCTCAATCAGCGAACAACCACATTTACATGCATGCATCATATATATCCATGTCATGGTTTGTATATACGCCATCGAATCATATCGTACTCCAATATGTATGGAGCTAGCTCAATCTATACTACTACTAATAATCGATCATCAACTACTCCATCCTCATCATGTCGTCCATATTGAGCTAAATATAGTTCATATTTTCTTAATTAAGCGAATCACACTCACACGTGAGTATAACCATCAAAAAGAGAATCACACGTGAGTGATTTTATCATTTCATCCGATTTGTCTAATCGAATCGAAGGAAGAATAGTCTACTACTACCAGTCCAGTCTACCGACACCGATGGATCGGGTGAGAGATCACATCAACGCACGTATATGCTACACGAGCGAGTGACCGGTCGATGGCTACGCATGCACATGGTAAGCTAGGCAGTTTCGTGGGCGATCGACGTGACGGATCAGGTGGCTCCGAGAGGGTGGAGACAAAGCGAAGGAGGCATCATACTCCATTTTAAGCGCAGTCATTATTTTCCATGCATAATTTTGACCGTTCTTCTTATTTAAATTTTTTTAAAAAAATTGAAAAACATAAGCCATATGTAAAGTATTATTTAAATTTTATTATCTCATAATAACAAAAATACTAATTATAAAAAATTAAATAAGACAGACGATTAAAATTGGACACGAAAACTTAATTGCACTTAAAATGAAACGGAGGGAGTATGTCCGAGAGCTTGTGCTGCTGCTGCGGCTGCTACTCCAGTTTGCTGACTGTTGAGCGAAGACGACGGCGTACGGACGGCGAAACTCCGGCGACTATATATGCAATGCACCTGGCTATTTCAACCCCTGAGCATTCATGATTTCATTAATTCCGGTGTGTGTGTGTCCATTTCTGTATTGCGTTTTCGTTCGGTAAATTGGTGGTACTACTAGTAGCTGTCAGTCGTGAGACGTGGTTTGTTGGTTAGATCGTGCTAACTAATCAGTCAATCAAACCACAGCATTCTCGCTAGCTCTGACCCACCATGACACTTATACTTCCTCCGTACCATAATATAAGGTATTTTGACTTTTTATTTTCACTATTTGATCATTCATCTTATTCAAAAAAATTTGTACAAATATAAAAAACAAAAAGTTGTGCTTAAAGTACTGGATAATAAAGTAAGTAAAAAAATAAATAATAATTTTAAATTTTTTTGAATAAGATGAGTGGTCAAACAATACAAGCAAAAAAATTTAAAATCCTTATATTATGGGACGGATGGATTACGTGCCTATATATATATATTCATTTTGTCCACCAAAATCCATCTTGGATGTGTTTCGAGTTGATTCTTTTTAATACTTTGAACATCACTATTATTTTTAGCTACTCTCCTTACCTATTTACTTGTCATCAGAACTGTTTACAACTTTGGCCATTAGTGACCTCTTAAACTATTGGCAAAATTGCTTCCATAGATCGAAATTCAAGTTCGCATTTTCAATTTTATAGCAAAATTTAGCATTGCCATCATTGGCACCGTTGAACATAAATTGTATGGCTAGCTGACACTCAGCTGGTTATGTTCCGAGTAGTTATATTTATGGTTAATGATTCTTTTTAGCGACATGCTATATACCTATTAATAATAAGCCGTTCAGTCTAATCTTTTACGGAGGCCAGAGAGATAAGATGTGCATTGCATGTGTACAATTATATAGATAGTGAGTGTATATTTATAGAGATAAATGTGAACAAATGAGCAACGTTTGCACTTGGTTTTAGGGGAAAAAAGCCTACCCGAAAATTTTTTAAGCATGAGCAAATTTCAATATAACTAGTATTTACTATAAAAATTTAAATTTTATTATCGATTTACTCGTCAGTATTAAAATTTAACGGAGTTTTCGTCGACTAGCCTGGGCGGCCTAAGAACAGACATGCTTGACATTTTCCATGATGAGTATAGAGTATACTCGTTCTGTCCCAAAATATAAGCATTTTTACCTATAAATTTGGACACTTAGCTAAAAGTTGTTATATTTTAGGACAAGATAAGTCAAAAGTTATTATATTTTAGAAAAAGTTGTTATATTTTAGGATAAGTTACTTAGACACTTCGCGGGGAGGGGGCTGGCTTTATTTCCGCGAAAGGCGGCACAAGAAATTGCGCGCAGGCGCAGCAGCGAGATCGGCTGGGAGATGCGCGCACGGTGTCCGGGGCCACGCAAACAAAGCTGCTGCTTCACCGATCGATCGATCGACCGACGGAACTGGTGGGGGCTCGTGTCTGCCGCGCACGGGTAGCCGACTAGCCCAACCCAGTGACGAACCGCGCGTGCGCAACCGCGCCATGAGAGCAAGCATGCAGACCCCCACCACCCATGGCCGCCTGCCACTCACTCACTCACTGAGAAACTAACACTGGTTACTCATTGATTAGCACTCTATGTACACTACTAATCTCCCCTCTTACAAGTGATTAATTAATTAATTAACCAAGATGCATCATGCATCATGCTCATGCATGGCAGCTACTTGATCAGAAGTAATCGAAGTGGTTTTCCGGTCGGTAGTTGTACGGCTCTTGCCGCTCCTTCTTGCTCATCGTCATCACCTTCTTCGGCGCCGGCGCCGGCGGCGCAGGAACCTCCGGCGGCCGGACGGACCTGACGAGCGCCCAGTTGACGCCCTTGAAGAAGGGGTGCCGCTTCACCTCGGCGGAGCCCATGGTGCTCCCCAGCCGCTTCTTGGGGTTCTTTGCCAGGAGCTGCAACATCAGGTCCTGCGCCGTCTTCATCTCCTCCCATTCGCCGGCGGCGGCGGCGCCGGCGAGGCGAGGGAAGGTGACCGGCTGCTTGATGATGTTGATGAGGGTCTTCTCGTTGCTCTCGCCCTTGAACGGCGTCCGGCCGTACAGCATCTCGTACATGAACACGCCGAGCGTCCACCAGTCCACCGCGCTGCCGTGGCCCTGGCCGGAGATCACCTCCGGCGCCAGGTACTCGTGCGTGCCCACGAACGACTTGGACCGCGCCGCCACCGGCTCCACCACCACCACCTCGGGCTCCGCCGTCTCGGTCTCCGCCTCCTCGTCGTTGCCGTCGCCGTCGCCATTGTTACCCGCCGCCGCGCCGCCACCGGCGCACTCCTTGGCGTGATGGCACTTGTGCACGCCGCGGAAGATGCACGACAGCACCGGCTGGATCGTCGGCGGCACGCACGACGACGGCGGCGGCAGCGGCGGCTTGCCACCGGCGGCGGCGCTCCTGGCGGGGCGGAGCAGCTTCGGGACGACGTCGCACTTGAGGGAGAGGTCGAAGTCGGAGAGCATGATGTGGCCGTCGCCGCGGACCAGGACGTTCTCCGGCTTGAGGTCCCTGTACACCACACCCATCATGTGCAGGTACTCCAGCGCCAGCACAGTCTCCGCCACATAGAACCTGCCATACACAACACAATGTTAATTCGTTTTCAGCAACATCAGTTCACTGTCCGACAAAGATAATCCATCCACAGTAAGAGACTAGGAATGCTAATAACCCCAAGATTCTCTTCTCTCTTTTTTCCCCCTCTTGTGAGTATCAAAAGCTTAAGCTGCACAATGGTTTGGGTTTAAATCTTACTAAATCATTAGCTTAGTATGAACCCCAAGTGGTGCCAACAAATCTGTTTAGATTGGCACAGCAAGACAAAAAGGATTTGGATGAAAGCCCCAATGCAACATGGAAAGACGATCACTAACCTAAAGCTGAGGTCTAAGCTTTTGCAAAAGTGACACTGAAACAAAGCTTGACCCTGGAACAGAGCATTTCTCCCCCACTCTTCAGATCATCAGATACATTCATTCAGACCACAGTAGTAGTAGTGGTAAAACAAAGAAAAAGGCTAGTGGAGCAGTAACTAAACATGAATGGGTCATGGGTGGGGGCACGCATGCATTCACACGTTCGACGTGGGTGTGGAGGTGTACGAGTACGAACCTGGTGGAGGAGACGGTGAAGCGGCGGCCGGGCTGGCGCTGGCGGGCGACGTGGAGGTCGCCGCCGGGGCAGAACTCCATGACGAGGCAGGCGTAGTGCGACGCCTCGAAGTCGGCGTACAATGTAGGCAGGAAGGGGTGGTCGAGGGTGCGGAGGATGTCGCGCTCCACCTCCGCGCGCCGGAGCTTCTTCCTGAACGCCAGCGCGTCCTTGTCCACCACCTTCATGGCGTAGAGGCAACCGCCCGCCGTCGTCGTCATCGACGACGATGACCACGGCTCGCGCAGCCGGCACAGGTAGACGTTGCCGAGGTCGCCGCTGCCGAGGCGGCGGACGAGCCGGAAGTGCTCCAGCCCGACGCGGCCGGCGCCGGCACGGAGGCGCCGGATGGCCTCCCACTCGGCCTGGTTCGCCTTGTGGGGCTTGTACCGGCATGACGACGCCGGTGTGTCGCCGCCGAAGGAGCGCGCCGAGACCGAGCTGGAGCTACCAATGTCACTGATCCAGCTCCGGCGGGAGTCCGGCGCCGTCAGCGAAGACCGGCTACTGTCGTAGTCGGATTCCTCTTTGATGGCAGCCATTGAAACTAGCTGCAGACAAGTGAAACAATGCAGTTTGCAAGTGCAAAAATAAGGAGGCTTGCTAGCTACTAGCTCTTCCAGCTCTCTTCTTTGCTATATAAGCAGCTGTTGTGACCTTGAGAGAATGGATGGCATGGTGGGGGAGTGGATTCTAATCCCTCGAGGGATATCCCCTCGTATACCTTTTTCTTCTAAATTCGATGCAAATAGTTGTGAAAAAATCTGAAAAAAATTGACAATGTAGAGTATAATGATACCTACTAGTCCACCAAAATTCATGTTCAAATTCGATCTACACATCGAGAAACAAAAAAGACAAATTTAGATATAAACAGTACACTACTATTCATACGCTGAATTTGTCTTTTTTATATCTCGACGTGTGAGTTGAGTTTGGACTTAAGATTTTGTGAAGTTGTATATATGTGTTGTATGAATGTTGTCAAATTTTTCCAGAATTTTTCATAACCATTTAGATGGTTTTTGAGCAAACGAGGGAACATCCCCTCGAGGGATTAGAATAGTTTCCCGGCATGGTGGCAAGAGCTCAAAAGACTATAAAGCCACACAGCCCAGCTTTTCTACTGTAGAGTAGTATCTGCTTGCCAAGTATATACTAACTATTCTCCAGGATCTAGAGTTTTGATTGTCACCTTTTTTTTTCTCCACTTGGATGGATGATTATGTGCAAACAATCATTACATCATTGGACCCCCAAGGATAGTTGGAACTACCTGGCTCAGTGTCCACAAGCAGCTGCACCAAGTGAAAGCCAAAGCAGTAAGTATTACATGGGTAAAAGTGTAGTATATATGTATAAATAACAGAACAGAAACTAGAGGGGAAATGGAATCATGCTATGCACAGTGAAGTGTAAGCATGGTGACACTTTGCTTTATGCCTGGATGGAGTCACATGAAGAGGAGCCAAGGGCAAGTAGGTTTGCTTTGGTATTAAAGAAAGAAGGAGATAAGTAAAGCTTTGCAGTTGAAAGTTACAAGCACTGCATGCATCGCCCGTGCAGGCGGTAACGCCAAACTGAAACTAAAGGAGATGCTTCTCCTTTTTCATCTCTCTCTTTTGGTGCATACCTGCTTCAAGGGATAATCACCTCATGTGAGTCCATTTAGTGGCCACGTCGCACTGTACATATCAGCTGCCTTCCTTCCATCTGTTTCTCCCATGCCTTAGATGCTGCCTTGCCTGCCTAAGCCTCTGTTCATCAGCTGTTTGCCTGAAGTTAACAGAAAGGCAAGAACATGAACAGCATCAGGTCATGTCTTGTTCGTGCTAAGTGCTAACAAATGTCCCCTTTGAACCATTGCTAGTGCTGATTCTTGCATCAAGCAGTTTCTTTGGAGGTGATATTGGAGCAAGCAGGCAAAAGCTTTGATATGACCTATATGCACCTGCGAGAAACAAGACAGTCAGATGAGAACAAAAGAGTATATGTACCAGGAAAAAGTTCAAATGTCAAGTCAGACAGAGGTAAGTAGTAGTGGTAGTGGTAGTTCAGTTCTCTATACTTCTACTCCCATATAGCGTACAGGGAGTCAGGGACCATGATGTTTCATTTGCCCAGATTTTCTATGCCTTTTTATAGTGTGTTTTTGCTACTGCCAGTACAAGCACAAGGGCCATATGTCATATTTTCGTCATATCAGGTCAATGTTTTGTACAATCCTGTCTAGCAGGATTCACTAAGACATTTGCAAGTGGAACTGTGGGAACATTCAAAGCCCACATATCTCGATGGCAGATCCTGCCCAGTCACTTTGCAGAAAATGCATTGCGATTGCAAACATATCAGATCATACTTAATTTACGTAGTTACGAGGAGCAGGGGTGCAGCTAACAAGATTATGTATGTATCAGAAGCCACAAAAACTCTTAATTATGTGCTGCAAATACATGTAGATCCCTGCATAATGTTACTCGGTTGGTTTGAATAGAGTCGACCAAAGATAAGAAGCAGTAACCAGTAAAGCACAGGTAGCAATTTAACACTTCACCATATCAAGAATAGTTCAAGTGTTAAGGAGATGAACTAAACTATGCATACTTGTAGTCTTGTACGTGGAAAAAAAGTTTAAACAAAACAAGAAGAAAATGAACATGAAAACTCAAGCTCTATTTGTAACAAACCAAGCCAACCTAGTGATTCCACAGTTTTAAAATGAGCCAAGCTATTCAAGGGCATTGTGCATGGATTGGAACAATGCAAACCTTGCAGTTATGACATAATATAAGCTTGCAAGATACTGTTCAGCACTTCAACTAATATTGTATTATCCAAAAAAAGCACAATGACATTATGCAGAATATACAGTACCATAGCAGTGGATCACTATCTAGTGCTACCTTTTACCTTGGAGACCGAAACCATTGGGTAGCACCAAGAAGAAAAGGGTTCTTACTGTAAAGCATAGCACATTGGAATCATTGCCAAACGAGACCAATTCAAAAAAGGTTCTGATCGGGGTGAAAAAGTTTTGTTTCCCGCAATTATACCAACACTGTAGACAGCCAGATACCATTACCCATGGCTTGGAGAAGAGCTGGAGAAAGGAATGGCCTCACTGCAGGTCCACAAACAAAAGGTAACAAGACAATAATAGAAGGGAATATCCATAGGAGGCGTCTAATCAACAGGATAGTGATATAGACTAAACCTCGCATTCAGGATGGTTATTTGATCGTGGCTTGCCTGCCACCGTTCACCTGTATTAGTATAACAGCATGGATGATTGTTCTCTTAAAATGAAATGGAAAAATGTATGTGATTATTGACAGCTTGAGCAAGCAGGTCCCAGGTTAACAGTGCATAAAGTTTGTTTTTAGTGATGCACAACAGTTATTTGCAAAAAGACTTGAATAATTAGAATCATTCTGTCATGGACCAGTGCTGTAGCCCGTGAACATCAGTGTTCACTTAGTACCACATTTCCGACTTTGTCTGGGTCGGTGGTCCACAGAAGGAAAATGTCTCAATTGCAAACAGGTTTAGAGACTTGCTTTGCCTACAACTCATATAATATCCAGTGCTCCTACCCTGAGGTCCCATTTGGTCAAGGTTAGAGTAATAATATCACTTAACGCATCTCTTGAGCTTGGGTGATTAACACATTTTTTTTATAAGTTAATTCAGTTCTCGCCTTCTCCGCAAACAAATGCATGTCTTCTCGTTAATTTGCATATTCTGTCCTCCAAGAGGTATAGAAGAATGAATAGGACCCCACCCATGTACTCTCATTAGAGTGGACAATGTGGAAGGAGCTCAATGCACGCGGTTTTGAGAAACAAGATGTCACCAATACAGCAGGTTCTCGAGAACATGCTCCAAGAACTTCCAAGAACTCAGAGTTTGGAGGGGCACTGGGTCGTCGAAGTGCAAACCATTATGCAAGATCTAAATCCTTTTTAAAAACTAAATTCTTTGGAGCCTGTATGCTCCCAGTTTTCTTGTTGTGTAATCAACTTTATTTCTACTCTAATGGAATGACATGCAAAGCTTTTGTGTGCCCCCCTGCAGAATTTTTATTATACTCATCCCCTGAAGGCCTGAACCTAAACCAAACACAGATAGCACTGTAGTGCAAATATGCAAAAACAACATCCCTTACGATATATTCACAATGATAAATAGCAGTACTTAGTAAATGAACACTGCTAACGGTATTCAATATATGCAAGAAAAAGGTCCAATGTGGCTGCATTCCAGACAAAGGAATGGAAATTGCAAATCAGGCTTTGCAAGCATGCCCTACGTTATCTCTTGCTGAATGGAAATTGTCGATGATATAGTAACAAGTAATTCTTACTAAATCAATAGAAAAGGATAATTGGCCTAAGTTTTACCTAAATCCATTAGCCTGCAAGAAACAAAGGAATGCACTTAGGTAGAAACCGAGTGCATCAGCAATCAACCAAATGCAAATGTAACACGAGACCAGCACACTAAATACAAGATGGTGGAGCATGTCTGCATGTGTATCATTTTCAACAAAACTGTTGTGTAAAGACCAGCAATGTTCATTTGGCGGCGATTTTTCATATATATGTACTGACAAGCTGCAGCTCTAATAAATTTGTGAACTCATAGCTGAAATCTTTGTATGATACACTTAAAACTGGGAATGCTATAGAACTAAGAACAATCATTCATAAAAAGCATGAAGTATAATTCCTTCGTCATAGGAAACACTTTTTTAGACTAGAGAAGCAGCAGTTAAAAATTGAAACTACATGGCCTCTACTCTCCACAACCGTCTCATGTGGAAACCACATAAGAAATCCCAGTTACAGCACTCAAAGAGATGTAAACTAATCACACTCCGTTAAAAAAGAATAGTGTTCCGCCCTGTCTAATCTACCAATCTATATAACCTATGTGCTGTGTGCATCCCACTGTAACAGTTAGGTTCAGGCTGTTAGTAATTGGAACACTAGTAGTTTCATACTCCCTCCATTTTAAAATATGAGGCATAACCACCCTTTAACCTGAAAAAAAAAAACAATTATTATCACCTCCTCGTTCGAATCACCCCAACTAATACAATACGGAATCAGAAATCTTCCCGATGATAGACTAATACAACTGCTGACAGCTACACAACAAAGACAATCAAGCGCAATATAGCAGCTTCTCGATGATACTCCTGAATATATAAACTGTACTTGTGAGTTGTGACTGTGAGGCACACCAATGGCGGCCCATGGATCACACCGCCACGGCCGGCCACCGCAGTCGCCGGGAGAGGCGGACGGCAACCCTTCCCCCCCTCGCCTCATCCAGCATCAAATCGATACCAACATCGCCGGGATTACACGCGATGCAGAGCAGCGGAGGCGGCAAGGCCACAGAAACACTACGCGCGCCGGCCAGAGCAGAGCACGAACCTGAACACCTGAAGGAGGCGGAGACCGCAGGTAGAGGGAAAATGCCCCGTCGCGCGAGACCTGACCGCGCCGGCCGGCCTCCTCCTCGCCGCCTCACCGACACCGGCGCCGGGGAAGGAAGCAGCCTCGCCGCCGATCCGACGAAGCCCGAGACAAATCCGGAGTAGTTTCAGTAGGCCTCAACATGGGCTAAAATTCGGCCTCGATTTGGGCCGTTGGTAGGCCTAGATTTGGGCCTAAAACTTTTGGGCTTTTGAGGCCCAATGTACTAGAACAGAAGCAGTTGCCGTGATCAAAACAGCAAACCAGCGTTGGCACGAGCATATCCGGCGGCGCGGCGGCGGCGTGCTCTCCCTACCCTCCTCCGGCCATCGCCGGCGGCTCCTCCGACCACCGTAGGGCTCCGCTCCGCCGCTGCCTAGGTACTCGTTGCAACCTTCACACCGTAGCTGCGGGTTCGCTGTGGGTGGGAATGGGGATGGGAGTTGATTTTTGTGCCCTTTTTTTGGTAGATCGAGGGGGGTTCATGCGTTTGATTTAACATTTTTCTTCGTTGTTGTTGCTGCAGGGGATTCATGGCGAGGTTGGTGTCGACCGCTCTCATGAGAGGGCTCGTGAGATCGAGCCGCGCGCCGAGAGTAGCTGTATGTGAGACTCTCTTGCCGCGTCCTCTTAATCGATAGTTTGGTGCATTTTGTCTGCCTTGTCTGTTCATTGAGGTGATTCTGTAATGTAATTACTCCATAATTTCGTTTTGGTCTTCGTTTGCACCCCCAATTTATCTGATGAGAACACTGTATCTAGGATTTGGAGTGTGAATTGCTCACCCAATTTATCTGATGAGAACGCTGTATCTAGGGTTTGGAGTATGGATTGCTGTGCCCTCTTGTCTTGTGCGTCATTAGCTTTTGAGTAAATTTCATAAAACCCCTGGTTTTATTCAGTAACTGTATATGTGCATAGGTTTCAAAAAAAACTGTATATGTGCATAGCTTCCATCTGGTGAACAAAATTGTTTTAATGGGATGTGGGGGCAATCTGTTTAGTTTTCATGTAGTACGTATCATATTCTTCTCACGGTTTAGGTTTGATCCCATGTTAATGCTTTAATTTGGTGCAATGCATATGGTTCTCTGGCCATTGTGTCTTCCAGATTTCACCTGTGTTGTTAACCTTCCATCCCTGTGGTATATAATTCTTAGGTTTTCTTACACTTCCAATGTTTTAGAGACTAATCTTTCACTGCTAAATTTCTGCAAGCAAATTGTATAGCTTTGCCTTTTACGTAGTTATGCAATATGGGGTCATCATTTTGCACTTAAAATGTTAGCAATATTCTATTGGTGTTTATTATGCTACCTGGGTAATAAATATTCCCTATTGATCTCATGTTTGCGTAACAAACTTGTTTTTCATGATAACCGGAATAATAGGCTGTGTCACAACCAGCTATCCAGCAGTTTAGGAACTACTCACCAGGACTTGGTGGTGATTCTAGAGGAAGTGGGGACTCAAGTTCAACACGAGTAGCTGCTGATCCTGATACACATCAAGATTTCCAGCCTACAAGCAAAAGTTCCAACATGTCTTTTGATGACATTGTTGCTCAGGTATTAACATTTATAAATGGATTTTTGGAATATTTAAATTGATGAGATGAGCTTATTTTCTAGAAAGGCTAGGCATATCTTAAATGTTTCATTTTGTGTTTCTGCCATTTGTTAATGCTACAACACAATCATTGGGCAGGATATCAAAGAGAACCCAGTCTTGATCTACATGAAGGGTTTTCCTGAGTCTCCTATGTGTGGATTCAGTGCATTGGCAGTTAAAGTCCTCAAGCTATATGGTAAGTTAACACTGAGTTCTGATTTGTTTGAAATACAGTTGATGATACGTGGGTGCGCCATAAATTCTTAAACCATATATCATAATCTATTGCAGATGTCCCTATCAGTGCTAGAGATATTTTGGGAGACCTCAAGCTCAAAGAGTGTGTCAAAGCCCACACGTAAGTGGCTTCTTCTCATGCCTTCCTAATCTTGCATTAAGTTTCTTTTAGATGATAGACAACTTATGTTTTTCAACATGGGAAGGAACTAGACTGGGAGATTAAATTCTTCATGACATGAACACAGTATGATGTTATGTGGTAAAACTTGAGGTCATAAAAACAGTTTCAAGAAATGATTATGCTAAAAAAATCATATGGCTTAAGCTAACCACAACCCAAGATGAGTTTTGACTATTAGATTGGCATTGATCACCATTGAGGCTTTATATACAGCATTCTATTCCAGAATATATTATCAGAGGCACCAGCCTGTGTCCCATACTACAATATTATGGAGCTCCACTTGCTGAAGGCTTAGTTTTCATTGAGTTGAAATATAGTGTATCATATAAGACATGGATTGGCATGTGCCTTTCAGCTGTTTCTTAGAAACAGGTAACTGTTTATTCTTCGACAAATTCACTACTTATTCTATTTTGCTTGTGCAGCAACTGGCCTACGTTTCCACAAATATTTATCAAAGGAGAGTTTGTTGGGGGGTCTGATATCATATTAGATATGCATCAGGCAAGTGAGCTTATTGTCCCCAGGTTTTATTACCAGGTGTATCCATCTACAATTTAATTCTTAACTCAGTAGTTGATTCCTTATTTTGTATAATTTTCTTCAGAAGGGTCAGCTTAAGGATGTGCTTGGCGATATTGCACAAAAGCATGAGCAAAAAGAATCATCATGAAGATGACAATAGTACGCCATTTTGGTCACGTGAGCTTTAGCATCAGTATGGGAGCTGGATTCTTCCTTTCCAAATTTTCGTTCCCGTTTATGTAGTATGGATTTGCTTTCTCCTATCGTTTGAGCTTTTCATGTCAAAGATGGTGGAAGAAGAATAACCCTCTGTTCCAGTTGTATACAAGCTTTTTCACGATAAATAAATGCCACTTGTCCTTGTATCGTTTCGGGCTAAGCTGCGACTATAAATGATTAGGGTCTCATGTACGGACTGTTGTGTTTTACTCCTTCCGTTTCATATTATAAGTCGTTTGACCCCTTTTTAAATCAAATTTCTTGAAAGTTTGATCAAGTTTATGAAGGAAATATAGTAACATTTATGCCACCAATTTAGTTTGATTACATCTAACGTGAACATATTTTGATAGTTTATTTGTTTTGTATTGAAAATATTATTATATTTTTCTATAAGCTTATCAAATCTAAAGAATCTAAAGAATTTTAACTTGGGAAAAATTCAAAACAACTTGTATATATACAAGGAGGTACTTATATAAACGGTTGATAGTTTATTTGTTTTGCATTGAAAATATTGTTATATTTTTCTATAAGCTTGATCAAATCTAAAGAATTTTAACTTATGAAAAATTCAAACAACTTGTGCATATACAAGGAGGTACTCCCTCCATTTTACAATATAAGTCATTCTAACATTGCCCACATTCATATTGATGTTAAATGAATCTAGATACATCAATATGAATACATCAATATGAATGTGGAAAATGCTAGAATGACTTATATTGTGAAACAGGGGAATTATATTGTGAAACGGGGGAAGTACTTAGATAAACGGAGGTAGTACCACTTTGCCTTGGGATTATTAACCAACCAATTCTCAGCACTAGCGCATATAAGGGTTTTGCTGCGTTATCCGATCTCATCCTTGTGCGACGGTGTGAGTTACACATATCGTATCTCATGTTGATATTTCACCACAACCGAGCACGTATATCGTCTGATTGACAAGTGATGAGAAATATATGCATTGTCATACTAGCTGATGAACCCAAAATCCCAATGCATCTCATAACTCATAAAGGAAACATACAACTGACCCAATCGGAAGAACACACGGCGTACCAAACAAAAACATCCGTGCTAACCAAAACAAATAATACACCACGATGCCGTCCCCTGCTTTAAGAGGGAAGGGAAACAAACAAAACAAAGACCCAAACTGTGGAAATTATAAGAGTTCTAGTTAAGATGCCGTGAGGCATGTCCGCATGATGACACGCCAGGCTACCCCATGGCCGTATACCCAAGCCCCAAGTTCTTCGCTATTCATTCAACCATTTACCTCTCAATTTTGTTTGGAACAACCACAGGTATTATTCGGACAGCTCAATTCTTCAATCAAGCCGACGATGAGCTGCTGACCCCCAAGTTCGCGGTGAGCCATTTGCAGACTTCATCCATCTCCTCCGGAACAGTGTAGTGTCCAAGTCTTCAAGAGGGAGCAAATAGCATGTAAGTGATTAGAACTGGTACATCAATAAGTAAATAGGGAGGGGCATCAAACCTGTTGTAGGACTTGAACACCACATTTGAAAATCCAGTTGTCTTCAGTGCGTCAGCAGATTTCTCACCATGCTTGTAGAGAACTACATCATCAGCTGCATAGAATCGAAACAAAACACTAAATATAGGATGGATGGTTTGTTTTCTGGGAGTAATTCCTTATATGCCTATCAGATGGTGAGAGCATATATCGGTTTCACAGTTGGTGAGAAAAATCCTTGCATATGCCACTAAATAATTACGACCTCCCATTCACTGAGATGTTAGCACACATTGTGAACATCTGAATGTCATATGAATAATAGAAAAAGTTAAAAAAACACCTATATTAATTTAAAATTAACTTTCCAAATTCAAATTTGGGCTGTGGATTATAAGACTCATGTAGCCTTTCTTTCCTAGGAATAGTGCCATGCTATTGTCAAAACTCAGAACCTGGTATATTAGGTTATGCCTTCAGCTAGCATAAAGCAACGAAACAAGTATAAACCCCAAACTACCTCAAGTTGAATGTTAGAACAATGCCAACTGATTTGGTAATGCCATTACATGTAAATGTAACATGTAACAGAAACTTAGTATACTAATGAAGGTCACAGAACAGTTTATGCACCTTTTCCATGACAAAGCAAAAGAGGTATGGATGAAGCCTTTTGTGCAGCCTCCTGTGAGCTTTCAATTTTGTTCTTCAAAGACCTGTGATAACCAACAAGTATATCAGTCAATATCATTTACAGGGCTGAAATTTCAGTGATACCTAAACACGTGAACATACTAGGACAAACCTGGCACAAGGAAGCCAGCCACTGAGACCAACAGACACACTTAAGTTCACAGGATATGGATTGCCATTTCCGTATTTTCCATGAGCATAGCAGGTTGCAGAGTAAAGGGCGGTAGCTGCGCCCATGCTAAAGCCACCAACACCAAGTTTGACTGCAATAGTCAATGTGATAGGACAATGTTAGAGATAAAGGCTGGTCTGAGTGTTGCATTATTGCGGGGCCTCTGTCTGTTGCATTATCAATATAAGAGGTCAAATTAGTTTGTTTCTGGGGAATAATGTGTGAGCTCCACAGTACATCACTTTTTTGACAAAGTTTTACATAGGAGATAAAGTTTTAGCTTTGATATCCCTGGTGGCTGGGTAGTTACTTAATTCTCTTGCATAGCTTCTTTCCATGTCATACGCCATATTCACAAAGGAAACATATGTGATCTCATGTGTCACATTTGCTTGATAAAGTAGGTTAAAAAGATCATGTTATGCCGCAATAAATGAACAAATGGAGAATAACTCGGGAACCATACTGTCAGCTGGCTCAGTTGATAATAAGTTTGCAACATGTGCAGCTGAGGCATCCAACCCCTCAACATCATCAGGAGCGTCTTCTGAAAGATCAGCAACATCAAACCCTACAAATACAAAAAAAGAGGGGGTCAAAGTTATGTATGGAATACCAGTGCATGCATACCAGAGCAATTCCCAAAGGTTGGTAGAAGTATGACCAAGAGGAAAGGAGGAAATTAGACAAAATATGGAACTTACATGCAGTTGATGGGAACCCACCAAAAACTGCCACTGGCCTTGTAGGCGCGGTGGGGCAAATCCATTTTATCTGCGGTTGATACAAAATACATTATGAAGGGGGGGGGGAGCTACTGGATTTAGCGATGTATACACAAAGGAAATAATCACAAGAACAACTTGGAGTAGGATAGATATTTGAAATCTATGTCCAAACTTACATTGGGAAGGGGAAGGGTTTCCAGTAGTTGAGACCAGCTGCAAATATATCCATTATTTATATCAGTATCTCCCAAATTTTAACTTGCAATGATGCAGTAGAGTTTTTTTTTTTTTCGAACGCACAAAAGCTTTGCATGTCGCAATCAGAGTTATTGTTATCTACGCGTGGTTTCATACAATCTACCTCTTTCGCCAATACTAATAAATTGTGTGCGTGTTAAAAAGTTCATTGTACAGTGGTGGTGGAATTTGGGAAGAAACCATCAGAAAAATCACTACAACATAAACAGAGCAGGATATTTGTGTACACGGTACACTACACCAATCAGATTACTTGAGCAATCAGCTTGCAATAACCCGGGGCTATAAGAAAGGAAATTGACAATGAGAAACTGCCATCGTTGGCATTTGGCAGTAAGCTAACCGGATGCCCGGATGTCAATAAATTGACAGTTATTTGTTGACAGTTGGGAAAAAAAAGTGCATTGGCGCTATTGTTCATCTACGCATCCGGTAAGCACATCAATCACAACGAGAGGATCGATCGCGACGAGAGAGAGAGGATGGACGGCGGCGGAATTGGGGAGGAGAGGGTGGGCGTACCTGGCTCCGTTGTCCCCGAGGCCGTGGAGCCAGACGATGGTGGCCTTGTGCGCGCCCTTGGGCCTCACGACATGCGTCCGCCCGTACTCGAGCCTCTTCCCACCTGCATCCAACCATCCAATCCCACCCCCATTTTACGATTCGATCCCAAATCCCCCAACGCATTCGAATCAAAATCAGGAGCATCACGAACGCAATCAAATCACAGCATCAATCCCATCCCATTTCACGAATCAATCCCCCCCTCCTCAACGCATTCAACACCGATCAATGGAACGAAACGTACCACCGGAGGCGACGGAGCTGGTGCCGCCGAAGCTGCTCATCCCGCGAACAATCGCCGCCGCCGCCGCCCCTCCGCGTCCCCTCGCGGCCACGCTCGCTCCACCACCCAACTCTGCAAACAAAAAAAAAATCCAATCCAAACCAAGGTAAACAACCCAAACATCACCACCACCACCACCAGATAAAGGAGAGGCGCGCGCGCGCGTGCGTACGAGGGGGGAGAAGTGGAAGTGGAAGTGGCAGTGGCGACCCAACCCGACCCGACGCGACGCGACGCGATACAAAGGGAAAGGCGGATTTGGGCGGCGGAAAGGGGAGCGACTTTTCCGGGTTCTCTCGCGTGGGAGTGCGTGGAGTAGGGAATCTACCAGAGATCGCAGGAGGAGCGAGCAGGAGGGGGAGGAGGAGGAGGGCACCACCACCACCACTGCGCTGCGCTGCGCCACATGAGCGCGTGATGGCGGTGGCAGAGAGCCCCCCGGTGGCGCCACAAATGGAACAGTGGAACTGTACGAGATTGGGGGAGCCCTTGGCTGCACGGATTTGGAAAAATAACAAAACGAAAAAAAAAAAACAGCAGACCCGCGGCCCGATTGGCTGTGGGAGCGCGGGGGGGGGGGGGGGGGTGAGGAGAGGATGCGTGATGATAGGGCGCACCTCGCCGGCGGCGATGGGGGGAGGTGTCGGTGGTGATGCGGCGGCCGGCGACGAGGTCGGCGAGGGCGGAGTGAATCCTGATCCTTCGGCTCCGCGACGCTGGGGGCCTTCTCGCGATATGGTAGGCCTGTTGCTGTGTGTTGTTGTTGCTGGCCGTGGGTTCGGTGGTGGTCCCGCGCCGTGGTATTTGTTTATCGTGGGGATCGGTAATACTACCTCCGTCCCAAAATAATTGCAATGGTGGATATCTGTGCCCAATATTTAACCTTTCATCTGATTTAAAAAATTTGTGAAAAATTTAAAAATATTTAGTCACACATTAAGTACTATTTATGTTTTATCATCTAATAGTAATAAAAATATTAATCATAAAAAAATTTAAATAAGACGAACGTCAAACGTTGAACATGAATAGCGTAAAACTGTATTTATTTAGGGACGGAGGGAGTAAGTACTAGTACTCGTAAGTCGGTCTCCTGCGAATCTCGATGGAGAATACTACCTCCGTCCCATATTACTTGTCGCTTTGAGATTTTATTTGTAAACTTTGATCATTCATCTTATTCAAAAAATTTTGAAATTATTATTTATTTTATTTGTGACTTGTTTTATTATCAAAAGTACTTTAAGTATTACTTATCATTTTTTATATTTAGACAAATTTTTCAAATAAAACGAATGATCAAACGTTGAAAGGAAAAACCCAAAGCGATAACTATTGCGGGACGGAGGTAGTATATTTTTGCCCTGCTTTTTACTGGAGCCACGAAAATCTATCGTAAAGTTTGTTCACAATATTGTATGATTGCATCAGTGTATCAATATACTGTCAACATTAGCATCAGTATCGTAGCTTTGATAGGTGCAGCTACAACTGATAAGAGAAAAATAAGTCCAAAATTAACTAACCATGTATTTTATTTAATGCGAGTGTGTAGTGAGAAAGAATAAAAAAAAGCATGCATACTATAGCTCCCCATATGCACAAGAAAACGAGTGCTTAACTAGTCCTAAATACCTACTACGTCTATAAAAAAAAAGACATGTCTTGATACAACGAATATGGTCAGAAGTCTATCAGATTCTGTAATATATATTACATTCGTTTTTTTTTACGGAAGGAGTACGTGCATGCACGCATACTCAATTTGCATGCATAGAAAAAACACCGTACGCCAAACGAAGAGACCAAGATTATATGATGATCAATTTAAGTATATGTGATCAATATGGGATGTAAGATTGATAACTCAACAAAAACAGATGATGGTATCCTTATAGAGCTACAACTCAAAGATCAACCAATTTTGAATAATGGGGATTTAATGTTAGGGTTAATTTACATGTTTCTTTACCACTTTCATCGATTGGGTTTGGCTTTTGAATCATAAAAGGTGAGAATATATAAAGTCTCAACTTCAACATTGGTAGTTATTACGATTGATTAAAAAAAAGATAGATGAAGAAGTTGTATTTTAAAACAAATTTTCAAATGTTATAAGTTATTTTTATGACCGTCTTAAAATATAGAAACATTGTACTAGATGAGATACAATCCAGTACTGCGAATGATTTGAATAGATGTGTCATGTTTGTGTTGTATTCAGTTTTATTTCCTCCATTCCATGAAAAACTATAAAGGGGTATGTTACAATAATATATTTTAGGATGAAGTGGAATATTTTAAAACGGAGGGAGCAGATTCGTGCAGGCGCTATCAATGTTGCGCGATAGAGAAGAGATGTGCATAATTGCAAGCTGGCCAGAGACAAAGTTGAGTGAAGTTTGCAAAGTGGCAGTGTCAGAGCAGATGGCATGCCCAAGCTAAGGCAGGCAGGACCGGACAACTAGCCAAATGGGCTGGGCCTACGCTGCTCAAATCCTCATATCACTGCGCCTGCGCCACTCTGAAAAATGGCCCAGTTTCTGCCACCATTAGTGAAGCATAATCACGCGCAGCTTAGACAAAGTTACGAGACGGTCGGGCCTCATATTTTCATCTGTACTTAAACTTCTAAAATTTATACTTTTAACCTTAAATTTAGAGCTAATTTTATTTTTTTAATTATAGTTTGTTTTTCAGCATTTGCTTTTAGATCGTAAGAACATGTATATAAAAGTTTTATTCGTAAATTATTTTTCATTTGCAAATATGACGTTTCGCTTATGCTTATAAACAGCCAACCGATGGGGCCGGGTGTAGATCTCCTCTATCCAAATATACTATTCCCTCCGTTCCTTATTATTATAAATCATTTTAGTTTATCCTAAGTTAAACTATTTCAAGTTTGTTCAAGTTTATATGAAAAAGTAACAACATTTTCAATGCAAAATACATTCAACAGTGGATTTAATAAAACTATTTTGATACTGTAGATGTCGTTATGTTTTCTACAATATTGATCAAATTTAAATAATTTTGACTTAGAACGTACCAAAAATGCCTTGTAATAACATATCACATAAACGTCAGTTTGTTTTGAATTCTACATCCAAGAAATCAAATTAAGAAAAATACAAATATTTTTCCCTTGCTGTCTCTCAGAAATAAATTTCGGTTCGACCTGGCTGACGAGCATTCAAAAAATTAGTGGATATAGCTGCATAAATTTGTTGGTCTTTCAGTTTTACACTGTGCTGTCACAACAAATTAAAAGCGAAAAATGAAGAAGAGCAGCTTTCATCAAGGCCCTGTGTATGTAGGATGTAAGGTCCTGTACGTTAAGGGAAAGCCCAACAAAAGGGCTACACATTTAGGCCTTCCTGGCCCAGCAGAGCCCATCCATTTCTTCCCTTTCCTGAGACTTCTGCTATTGGATCTTGAAGGATGTTTCTGTGAGTAATCAAATAATATAAGCATATATAATGTTAAGTAGTGTACACTAGTCTGATCAAGCAGTGGTAATATGTTAAAAAATACTATTGGATGTTTAATTTCAAACATATACACAAGCTTTTGCTTGTGTCCAACGGTTCGTCGTTTTGGGAGAGTTTCTGTGCACTTCGCGTCGGAAAGGCAAAACCGCGGCGATGATCGAGTTCAACCGCAGCAAAAAATTAAAATAATAATAATAATAATAAAGGGTTCCACGGCGTAGGTGTTCTCGTAACCAGTCTGCCGCCGAACAACGGCTCAGAATTGGTACTGCTACTGCATGTTTAAACTGAAGAATTTAAATTATGAATCTTATGCAGTGCCTATGGACTATGGTTCTTCGGAATGGCTAAATAATTTTGTGATCACTACTGAAGAGCAGTACAACTGAATGGATTTAATTAGTTGCCCACAAAATTCATATACAACAGCGCAACTAGAACGCACCATATAGAACAGCGCAACTAGAAATCATTGTTTTAAAATTTTCGTATTTGATTGGTTTTTCTAACTCTAAAATCTACTAGTGGCCGGTTACGGGATTCTAGAGAAACCAGCATCCAATTCCAGTGGCCGGTTCCTGCAAGTCTGCTCCATTTCTGTCCTTTTTGATACGAGTACTCAATTATTCCGACGGTGCCTTTCTAGATAAGCGGAGCTGACTGCTGACGGGGCTCTTGGTCATGTGGGCCCGCTTGCCTGTGGAAGAAAGAAGCCCTTGACATTGGAGCACACCGTCTTGCCGAATTGCCGTGCTTCTAGTGAACTTGTAGACGAAGCAGTTGATGGCGTCGTCATGTCCAAATCTTCTTCTTTTAGATGGCACTAGTTTAAGTCCCTATCACATCGGATATCACATCGGATGTTTGGATACTAATTATAAATATTAAATATAGATTATTAATAAAACTCATCCATAATCTTGGATTAATTCAAGAGACGAATCTTTTTAGCCTAATTAATCCATGATTAGCCTATGTGATGCTACACTAAACATTCTCTAATTATGGATTAATTAGGCTTAAAAAATTTGTCTCGCGAATTAGCTTTCATTTATGTAATTAGTTTTGTAAGTAGTCTATATTTAATACTCTAAATTAGTGTCTAAATATAGGGACTAAAGTTAAGTCCCTGGATCCAAACACCACCTTAATCTCAAGTTGGAGTGTTCCACTAGCCTTTGCTTGATGTCGGTTTCAGTGTCTCTTTGCTTAATTGAGTGAGTTGAGCCATAGCTTGACAAGTAATAAATGATTAGTTAAATGGAGTAGTATACCACTATGATGTGTGACGTGTCTTAGGCTTCGTTTAGATTCAAAATTTTTTTACAAAAACGTCACATCAAATATTTAGACATATGTATCGAGCATTAAATATGGAAAAAAAATCAATTGCACAGATTGCATGTAAATTGCGAGACGAATATTTTGAGCCTAATTACGCCATGATTTTAACAATGTGATGCTACAGTAAACATTTGCTAATGACGAATTAATTAGGCTTAATAAATTCGTCTCGCAGTTTACAGGCGGAATCCATAATTTGTTTTGTTATTAGTCTATATTTTGTTTGTCGTATACTTTAAAAACTTTACACTAAAAAACTAAACAGACCCTTAGGATAAGTTAGCATAAAATTACTACTCCCTCCATACTTATAAATGAAGTCGTTTAGGACAATGTTTAAGTTTAAGTCAAACCTTAGAAATATAAATCATAAATAACTCTCAAGTTATTGAGTTTGAAAATATAAAAATTATATGAAAAGATTTGTCTTGAAAAATACTTTCATAAAAGTATACATATATCATTTTTCAATAAATATTTTATAGTAAAAAGAAGTCAAAGTTGTGTTTTAGAGACCGTGACGCTGTTCTAAACGACTTCCGAGTACGGAGAGAGTACTTATCTTAGTGACTCACACGGGGACACAAAGTGCAATCATGTTATGTGATCAGGAGGACATCAATTATGCGTACAAAGATGACAAATTTATAGGAGCCTTTTTGATAGATCGAAGTTTGTAGCAGTAGATCAAAAGTGACACCAATTATGCGTAAAAAGATGACAAATTTAGGAGCCTTCGATGATCAAGTTCTTCGATCTTAGATGCTGCACATATCTTGGAGAAGAAAAAGGAATAAAAAAACATTGAATTCTCGAAACTTTCAGAGATAAAAAATGAACACTGAAATTTCTGAAAATTTCAGAGTGATTGTGATGTATAGTACAGAAGAAGCCATGGTTGAAGAAACCAGATTAAATTTCTTGTTACAACAACGTTTAGATGCATTAGCTGCTATACTATGAGTTACAGAAATGGAGATATTAGGATGAAATCATCCCATCTCCATGGAATCAATCCGACAAGCACGCCGCCGTCGAGGCCTCATACTAATACTTCTCCGGCCATTGACGGCGTCGGCGGCGGCGACGTTATTGATACCAAAACGACACAACAACATCATCATCATCATCGGCGTTGGATGGCGGCGCGGTATGGGCAGAGGCGGGGAGCCATGGATGGCGGCGGCGGCTCAGTGCTTGCCGTCGTCGGCGGGGGCGGCGGAGGCGAGGCGGGAGGCGATGGCGGAGTGGTACATGCAGTCGTGGAAGCTCTCCGTCTCCATCATCCGTGCGCGCAGCTGCCGCGCCTTCTCCTCCGTCAGCACGCCGAACCTCTTCCCGCCGCCGCCACGCTGCTCCGCCGCCGCCATCGGATTCGGCCGCGCCTCCTCCCGCGCCGCCGGCTGCGCGTCGATGTAGTCGGGCTGCCCCGACCACCCCAGCAGCGGCGCCCACCACTTCCCGCCGCCTCCGCCTCCGCCTCCGCCACCGCTCCCGTCGCCGCGGAACCTCGCCGCGCCGGCGGCCGACGCGGACGCCGCGACGCACGGCCTCGCCGCCGCCGGCGAAGGCCTCACCGAGAAAGCCGCCCCCGATGCAATCGCCATTGGATTTGCTTCTCTTCCAACAACAAATCAAATCAAGAATATCCCCCCAAGCTTCTTCGATTCGATTCGATTCGATTTGGATTCCTCCCTCCGAATTTTGAAGTGGATCGACGAGGCTGTGGATTGGAGGAGGTGGGATTTTATTGCGGGGGAAGAGGAGGAGGGAGACGAACGAGTGGATAAGGTTGCGTGGGGGGTGGGGGGACACGTGGCGCGCATCGAGCGGTGCGCTTTTTCACGCGGGCCGTCGCTTTTGCGGTGGGGATGGGGGGAGTGCGCTTTTGGGTAAATGGGACCCGCTCCGTTCGTTGGTTTATCCCGTGGGCAACGGCACGGGGTTTTCGGTTGTTTTATTCTTTGGGGATTTTTCACCGGTGGTTTTGTTTTCGCCTTTGGAAATTTGGCTGGAGAGGAAAAAAGAAGCACGTTTATCGGCAGGGGGAAGGCCAAGGATGGGGTTATCTATAGTTTGAAAACCTTTCTTTAGAAATCGAAAACGAGTGTTTTCCTTGTTCTTTTAGTGAATGGTTCACATCTTGATAATGAAAAATGTTCACGTACAGTAGAGTTGTCTTTCTATGATTGCAATGTTCAAATATAGAATAAGTTACTATATGTTTTTTTTTTCTCAAAGTGGATTTTAAAAATATACATGTCAAACGATGCATACCCAAAATGAAAGCTTTTTTATTATTATTTTGAGCACCAAAATGAAAGTGAATATCAAGTGATATAGTAGCAACAGTAACAGTTACTGATGCATCCCATGGCCGAGTTTAGATCCAAAGTATTCCATTACATCAAAACTTTTCTACACACTCAAACTTTCAACTTTTCTGTCGAATCGTTTCAATTTCAACCAAACTTTCAATTTTGACGTGAAACACACCCTTCCTTAAATTCTATTTCGAGAAACTTGAGTCTGGCTTAAATAACCGGGGGAAACAGAAAAGCGTAAAACGGAGGGCGGATAAACTTAACTAATCAAGCAACCAAGTAAGCAGCGCCGCGCCCCTTCGAGATCCCGGCGTTTTGGTCCGTAGCTCGCTCGACGGCGACACCGGCCATCGACGACGCGGACAGATATTTCGGTCCCCGGCGCGCACGCGGGGCGTGAACCGGTCCAGCGCACCCGCGCCACCGGTCTCCCTCTCCTCTCCTCCCCTCCCGCGCGCCGCGAGAGCAACCTCCCGTGTCCACTAGCTCGCTCGCGGTCTTCGCTCGCCGTCGCTGCCAATGGCATAGTACACTTCTGCTCCCGCGCGCCTGGAAGGTGGCTCACGGATCGATCGGCACGCACCGGCCGTTTCCACGTACGCGACCGTTTCCGGCCGCGTCGCGCTGTTCATATGTACGCCTGCCTCGCCCGGCCGTGTCGTCGTCGTCGTGGAACTTGTGGAATAATTCGCTCAGCTAAAGGGGGATCGATCGATGGGCTGGAGGGCGAGGCTCAAGTGGGTCGCGTCGTCGTCCCCGTTTGGAGCCAAAACTGGTGCACCTGCGCGGAAGATCTTGTTTGTTTGTTTGTTTGATTGATTGAATGCTTCTGGTTCATGCATGTGGGTGGGCCGATCACACGCTGTCTGAACCGTACAACTACGGTAGAACCGTGGTATATGCTGGTGGGGGTAGGAGCCGGTAAGGTAAGCATATGCCGCGGTTGGTACAGTGGATCGTGGATCGTCGATCCGTGTGTGTGAGAGAGAGATGGAATGGAATACGTGCAACTCCAAGCCACAGGGGGCGATGTCGCTTTCCAGGATAGATAAGATAACAGCAACGAATTCACGTGCTGCTGCTTGGCAAGTGGCAACGCAACGAGAAGCGACGCTTTCAAGCAAACTTGGAGCTGATCTGGAACGCCCATCTCACACACGCACGGAAGCGGACCGGTGCACTGCACACGACTTGGGCCCTGTTTAGTTCCCAAAACAAAAACTTTTTCATCTATCACATCAAATGTTTAGACACATACATATAGTATTAAACGTGGAAAAAATAAAAACCAATTATACAGATTACGTGTAAATTGCGAGATAAATCTTTTAAGCCTAATTACACAATGATTTGAAAATGTGGTGTTATAGTAAACATTTACTAATAACGGATTAATTAGGCTTAATAAATTCGTCTTACAGTTTCTTAGCGGAATTTATAATTTGTTTTGTTATTAAATTAGACAACGTTTAATACTTTAAAAAATTTGCCATCGGCCCAAGGTTGCCGCCGGCGCAGCGGCGAAGATAGTAGGTGGCCGCCTGGCTGGCCCACGAACGGCACGCCGCCACATAGCTTATTAGGGGCCTAATATCCACAGAGAAATCGGACCGGTGCACAAACGTGCGACGACAATGCAATATACTCCCTCTTCTTCCCTAAATCCCTAAATGTTTGACGCTGTTAACTTTTTTAAACATGTTTGACCGTTCGTTTTATTCAAAAACTTTTGTGAAATGTGTAAAACTATATGTATACATAAAAGTATATTTAACAATAAATCAAATGAAAGGAAAAGAATTAATAATTAATTATTTTTTTAAATAAAACGAACAGTTAAATATTTTTAAAAAAATCAACGGCGTCAAATATTTTGGGCGTCAAATATTTTAGGATGGAGGGAGTCCTTCGTACATGCATAACAAAAATGGTTGTACCTTCTTCGTAAGCATTCAGCAATGTTCTGATAATTGCGTGGAACTGAATCAACTGATACAATGTTCAGGGGTTGTGAGTAGCATCAGATAGATAAGGGAGGTTAGTGTGAGCGTGACAGTCAGCTGGCTGTCGATTGGTGAGAGTTCCGTGAAGTGCATTATTTACATTTCATCACATATCCAACAAAATAGTGCAGCGCTAAGAAAAGTTCCTGCTTAGCTGACGATTATGCGGTTATTCTGCCTCACTGCTCATCTGGAGGTTTCGCCATTAATTCCCTAGCTTTCCTACAAAAGATTTGGACCAAAAAAATGTCAGTTATAACAACCCAAAGCGTAAAATTGACCCAAAGATGGAAGAATGGCATATAAAACCGAAAAGAACAGTTGAGTGTTGAGTTGCTTCAGTTGCAGTAAATGTGGGCATAATCACAACGGAATGCCAGTACTAATGGTCATGTTCCCTGCGCAACCACATTTTTATTTGGAAGGCATACTCGAGCGAAACAGAAGATTACCTTAGTTCCCTCTCAATCTCGACATTCCCAGAATCTAATTTTTGTGCATCCATGAGAGCATCACACGCATGTTTGTACTCCTGGTTTTAGAGTAAATCAGGAGTTCAGGACACCGACCATAATACCAGGATCACAAAACGTTAACTGCAGTGAGTCTTACCTTGAGTAGCATGTGAGCTGCACCCTGACGGTAGCAAGCTTTTGCCCAGTTAGGCCGCATCATTCGGCATCTGTAAGCATCAGAAAGAGCACCTTCACCATCACCCATGAGCAATCTACAGATGCTCCTGTTTGCGTACAAAACTGCAGTCGGTCCATGAGCTATTGCCTATGCTCAAGCATCAGATAAACAAATCATTCCCAAGCTTAAGAATAACATACAAAAACTTTATAACAACAATAATTGATTAGCGTTAACAATCAGAAATAAGGTGCAAGAAATTACCAGATCATATATTTTTGCTGCAGCGGCGTAATTCTTCTGCTTGAATACCAAATCTGCCTGTGCCTTCAAAACGACTTTTCTACTCTCCTTCTGATGTTGATCCTAAACAACGTAAACAATAGTATCTTGATGCAAATCTGAAGTTAACTTTTGAAATTTTGAATATCAGAACATTTATTTAGGATTACAAAGCTAAACCAGTACTATTAACCAGTACTGTTAAGACATGATCCTTCTATCTAGTACTATTAAATGCCGTTGATATGTAAGCTAAACCAGTTTTACAGCCTAACAAGCATCAAAGACGTGAAGTGGGTGAAATAGAGCTCTGCAATGCAAAGTGCATGGTAAGCAACATGAAATATGAGCAGAGAGCATAGCAGGACCTTTAGTACAGAAAGATCAAAAGTGCATATCTGTACGAAACGTACCATTGGCTTTGTATTTTTGACTTTTGCATGAGCGATTATTCCATTAACACTCCAGTTTGGGACATTTGGAATTGGAGAAGTCAATGGAAATAGCATTTCAACTTCTTCCCTGCAATCACGTAATGCAGCATGCTCTATTGGCAACCAACCCAACTGCACAAGCACAACAGAATGAAGAAAAATAGTTTCATACAGCGTAATTCAGCAAGGAACCTAAAACAAACAATATTGGTGAAATCAGTGTATGGCCTATTATCACAATCTGTGGCTTTCAAGTTTCAACCAAACGACTCATTGCGTCCCAAAAAACCATGGTCTGTAGGTTCAAAGCTGGCCATGGGCTTTTTGGACATTGATATGAACTTCTATCAAAATGGTATTTTGGATATAGGCTGGATTTGAGAACTCGTCGGTTGCTGAAAGGTCATCCATGCTTTGTACAACTCGTAAGATATACTTACACATACAATAAAATAAAAGAACACAGGTTCAGATAATCCATAGGAAACTACAAAATATGCAAATCATAAGTGCAATGTTTTTGTTAAATTAGGCCCTCTTAGGATGTGACAAGGATGAATATTAAATATGGGACACGTAAAACAAGAAAACCATTAGTGTATGATTAATTTAGTTTTAATTATTTTAAACTTGAAAATGGATTTATTTGATATTTTAAAGCAACTTCTATATAGAAAGTTTTCGCACGAAATACATAGTTTAACAATTTGAAAATTTTGCTAACAAAAACCGAGGTAAAATCTGTATCTTAATCATAAACTGACATGACCTTAGACAAAACATCCTCAGAGTTGTAATAAAACACAAAAGAATCAGACTTATAGACCAAAGTGGAGAAGCAACAACTGACTCAGAAGAATAGAAAACATACATCATCAGGAATATTGGGGTTTGCTCCAGCCTTCAGAAGAAACTGAATGAAGTTAGTATAGCCTCCCTGCGACGCAGCAAGCATCAAAGGGGTTACAACTGTACCCTTGCCATTAACATCAGCACCAGCCTGAGAAAAGCATTGTGCAATAGAATATTTAGCTCCATATGTTCATGGAACAAATGTCTTGAGTTAGCAAAATTAAAACACAGCATTAGTTGACCAAATATAGACTCAATAAAACACTGACCTTTATGAGTAGCTTCATACACTTCAATGATCGGTAGATAAGGGAACTCATCAGGGGACTACCGGCTCCATTATTGATAATTACGTTAGGCTGAAAGCAGAATATAAGTATTTAGCCTAAATACAGCCTGAAAGCAGAATATGTGTAAGAAAAAGGAAAAGCAATATAATGCTCTAACTTTTTTTTTCTGATTAGCGTTTGCCACTTTTTATAAGTCTAACTGTTGAAGTTAGCAACTTTCGCTGTTGAGAATTAAAGTTGCATTATGTGCATATTTTACAGACTTTTTACTACAATAGAAAAAATATATTACACGTGAAACCATAATTATTATAATCAGAGTTCAGATGTAGGCAATGCCACATTTACTCAAATTTCATGAAGCCAAACTGAAGCTACTGCATTGGAATAGAAGAGATTTTAGTGCACATTTAGTGAAGTCAATATCGAACCAGAAGGTCAGCAATGAGGTAGATGAAGGTACAAATATGCCATCTCTTACTATCGAAATCCGTGCAAGTTATCGAGCGATTAGCGATGCCACGTGGCACAGCGTGGTTCGTGCGTGCGCTCCAAAACGCGAAAAGGACTAAAATATAAAAGACAATCTTACGTTGGAGTATAATGAAAAAGTGCAAAGCCACCTGATTTCTCCGGAAGGGCCACGACTCTTCGTCTTCCTTGATTGACTCTTCTTCTTCTCTGTATATATATTCATTCTCCATCATTCCTCTTTCCTCTCGTCATTGTCTCACATTCCTTCTTGCCGTTCCACCATCCACATTCACCGGCACCAAACACCACCATCAACATCCACCGGCAATACATCTGATCCACCGAGGGATAAAGAAGCAACGACCTCCAGCCAGTACCTCTGCGGCAAGCACATCCTGCGCCGTGCGCGACAACACAACGACGAGGAGGAGCCTCCGAGGCGGTGGCCTCTGGCCGGTAGCTCTGCGGCGAGCAGGTCCGGCGACACCAGGACGAGGTCAGTGAACTGAATCACATGTATTAGTGAACACGAGGACGAGGTCAGGTACACGATCGCCTGCATTACCTTGCACGATCACGAAAGCCCCCAAATTAGCCCAGATCCAGTAGTATTTTGCATTTTGATCGATTGATTTATACCGAATCAAAGAACATCAACACCAGCCTACTGCAACTTGCCCTGATCCTGATGATGTGCACGATGGACAACAAGATATACTATATCTGTTACTTCTCTGACACTATATAGGAGTATTAGACTATTTGTTATAATATAAGTCACTGGGAACGGAAGCAATCGGAAAGAAATCTTACGTCCAGCCACGTCTTATTCTGTCACCTAAATCTCCAATGACAACTTAGTAGAGAGGACATATGGATGTGTTCCTTTTGATTTCTGTTTGATCTTTGCTAACAAGTCAAGCTTTCGTGTACTCCTAATAAATTAACTCATAGTATATTACGATGACCACCATTCCAAACTAACTGTTTTCAATTAAACTTTTTAAAAGTTATTCAAAATACATTGATTTATATAGTGGTACTATACAATGTAGCTGTAGCCTCCACTTCTGATCCAAACAAACCATTAATTGACAAACCTAGGTACTTACATGTAATTATACTAACTTCAATCCCGTAAATCAATTAGTCACAAAGTCTAATCTTTTCCTCTAAATAATTTGCAGCAAGTTACAGCAAATTTTACTTTCTATTTAGAAAAGCTATAGCACAACCAATCAGCTGTGAATAACATTTCGTGTAGTATGGATATTTACCAGAAAAAAAAAACATTGTCTATTCTTTTTAGTATTTTTCATCATTGTACATTGATCATCTGCAATGATATTAGTAAATGTTTATTTTACAGGGGATAAAAGAATAAGGAAAAGAAAAGGAGATAAACAGGAGCAAGACACTGAAGCTAGGAAGTACAAAAAGGTAAAAAACAATAACGAGCTGGAAAATTTTATATATATATGTATATATATATATATATATATATATATATATTTATATTTATATTTATTGTACTGGATGTGTTGTACCAATGACCAAAAAGTTATATTATGCTGGATGCGTAGACATACCAAGATCCTACTACAACCCTTCTGGAAAATCAATGTTCCTATGGAGAATTGGAGAATTGTAGCAACATCAGTGAAGACAGAAAAAATACTTGCACTAGAACCAGTGCAAAAGCTTCACATTTTTTTTGTATTTATTTATTTTTATTTCCATAAGATATTGTTTTACCAATAAATCAGCAAATCCATTTTATCTATAGCCACAAATGCACTGAATTTTAGTATGGAACTAATTAAAAACAATAACCAATCAGAAATATATATAAAAATATCAACACTATCTATTGAAATTTGAAAATTTTGTGCGATGGTTGTAAGAAACTGTAATACAAATGGAATGGATGTACTGTACAAAAGATGTACGCTAGGAATTATTAGAGAATGGCAATAGAATAGCTCTATTGCCCCATTGTATGTATGATCAATAATTGTAGCTCCTATTAATCTTTGTCGTCATAAATATTGAAGTGTTTGTATTAGCTAACACTTTTTTTACTATTCATGTGTAATTTTCTGATTATATATAGCTGTTGAAATGAATGATTAAGTTTTGTATTGATTCAACCAATATCTTTAATTATTCATATTTAATTTTATGCTTATATTCATTTCTGACTTTGGCTATTTTTTGTGCTTATATAATCAGAAGTGTTAATATGCCATCAAAGAGAAAGCAAGATCCAATAAAAATAGCAGAATATGATAAATCAGATTGCAAGAAAAGAAGATATATCAGACTACAAATTCTAAGAGAGAAAAAGCGAAAAAGAGAAGAAGAAAAAAATATGGTGCATAATAACAATAAAAAATGTAATAAAGATGAAGAAGAAACATCAAAAAATAGTAATATAAGAGATATAATATATACAGAAAAGCAAAAAAATATTAAAAATAAAAGAAAAATACAATATAATTTAGATTATCTAGAAAAAATTGCAAAAAAGAAATGTTTAGAGATAGACCATATATCTTCATATTTATCAACTTCACATGGCATGGTGTCCTTTACCCCAGAATACATTAAATATCTAAAAGAATCATATGAAAACAAATCATTTATAGGTATGCCAGAGTATAAATGTAAACATTGCAATGCTATATTTTGTTTTGAAGAAAGAAATAAAAGAGAGACAAAGAAAAGAAAAGGTGAAATTATATATTCAAATTGCTGTAAAAATAACAAAATAAAAATACCACCATTCCAGAACCCACCAGAAACACTTGCTAGGTTACTTAATAATAAAGAAGATAATCTATCAAAACATTTTATGCAGAAGATTAGACAATATAATAGTTTATTTTCTTTTACTTCAATGGGTGGCACAATAGATAAAAATATAAATAATGGCGATGGACCATATGTGTTTCGTGTAAATGGACAAATACATCATCGTATTGGATGTCTCCTACCTAAGCCTAATGAAATTCCAAAGTTTGCAGAACTATATATTTTTGATACTAAAAATGAAATAGAAAATAGAATACATGCTTTAAATAAAGAAGAAATGGGAAGTACAGATATCAATCCGTATATAGTTGAACAATTAAAAAAAATGTTTGATGAATATAATCCATTGGTAAAAACATTTCGCTATGCTCGCGATCTATTTGAAGAACATAAAGGTGTTGATTTTAGTATTCGAATAATAGGGGCTGATAAAGGTGATCCAATACAATATGAAATGCCACATACAGAAGATTTAGCAATTTTAATAGTTGGAGAATTAAATCTAGAAAATTATAAAAGAGATATTATTGTTCAAAATAAAAATAATGGATTACAACGCATATCTATATTCCATCCAGCCTATATGGCTTTACAATACCCTTTATTATTTCCTTATGGAGAAAGAGGATTTCAACTTGGCATACCATATTATAATAGTAATACAAATAAAAAGAGTAAAAAAACAAGATCAACAATTACAGTACATGAATACTACAAATATCATATGCATTATCGACCAAATCAACCAAATCCTTATTTATGTTATGGTAGATTATCAAAACAAGCAATAGTTGATGCCCGTGCAATAGAAGATGAAGATAGACTAATGTTTATTGCTAAAAATCAAAACAAATTACGAGCTGAATGTTTAAAAGGAATATTTGATGCAGTACAAAAAGGTTTAACGGAAGGAAACCAAATAGGAAAAAAAATAATATTACCATCAAGCCATGTTGGTTCTAAACGATATACAATGCAAAACTATTACGATGGCATAGCAATATGTCGTGTATATGGACCTCCACATTTATTTATAACATTTACATGTAATCCTAGGTGGCCTGAAATTACTATGACAATCTTAGAAAACGAACAACCCAATGATAGACCTGATATTATAGTTCGAGTATTTCATATAAAGCTAGAACAATTAATAGAAGATATACAATCCGGCACAATATTTGGACCTACAACAGCTATTTTATACTCGGTAGAATTCCAAAAAAGAGGTTTACCACATGTACATATCTTAGTTTGGTTAGATAAAAAGCCAAGTGAAATAACGATTGAAATGATAGATAAATGGATATCAACTGAAATACCAGATCCTAGAGAAGATCCTCTAGGATACATCCTTATAGCTGAACATATGATGCATGGACCATGTGGAGCCAAGAATGAAAATTGTCCATGCATGAAAAAAGGCAAATGTTCAAAATTTTACCCTAAAGAATTCAATGATCAAACTAATTTTACTGAAAATGGATTTGCACAATATAAACGTAGAAATACTAATATATACATACGTAAAGATAACCATAACTTGGACAATAGATGGGTTGTTCCACACAATTTATTCCTATTAAAAAGATATCAAGCCCATTTAAATGTTGAGTTTGTTAATCAAAGCAGAATGTTAAAATATTTATGTAAATATGTAAACAAAGGAGGGGATAAAGCTAAAATAATTTTCCAACGTATCAAACAAGGAATAGATCATTCTGAAAATGAGCAAACAGAAAAAATAGATGAAATAGAAGAATATTTAGAATGTAGATATATTTGTGATCAAGATGGTATGTGGAGATTACTTGGATATGAAATACATTATCATTGGCCACCAGTGGAAAGAATGCCTGTTCATCTTCCCTTAATGAATATGGTCAAATTAACTAAGGATACAAAACTAAAAAATATTATAGAAAATCCAGATAATCAAAGAACGATGCTTACAGAATGGTTTATGGCAAATCAGTTACATGAAGAAGCAAGAAACTTGACATACTGTGAATTCCCACAAAAATGGAAATGGGATAAAAAAGAAAGGAAATGGGTCAAACGACAACATGGTTTTAAAATAGCCCGTTTATATTATGTCAAACCAACTGAAGGAGAACGTTTCTATCTACGTATGCTATTAATGATAGTTAAAGGAGCAAAAAACTATGAAGATATTAGAACATACAATGGTATTACTTATAAAACTTTTAAAGAAACATGTGCAGCACGTGGATTATTAATGGATGATAATGAATGGTATAAAACATTTGACGAAGCTGCAAGTTGGGCAACATCTCCACAACTACGATCTTTATTTATAATCCTACTATTGTATTGCAATTTAGAAGATGAAAGGAAATTTTTTGAGACAAATTGGGAAAAAATGGTAGATGATATAAAATTTCAATTAATATCAAAATATCACCCAATTAAGTACAACCCGACTGATATAGAATTAAAAGATATTCTAATTGAACAAATAGAATATTTATTATCCAAAAGTGGTATAAGTATAGATAAATTTAATCTTCCTCAGATGACAGTAAGATACAAATTAGATTCAACTAATACACTAATTCAAGATGAATTAAATTATAATGCAAATGATTTAGAAGAGCAAGCTAACAAATTGTACTTACAGCTAAACGATGACCAAAAGAAAGCATTTCATCTTATAGTAAATAGTGTAATAAATAAAGAAAGTAATTTTTTCTTTGTATCTGGCCATGGAGGAACTGGCAAAACATTTTTATGGAATACTATTGTATCATTTTTGAGAGCTAAAAAAGAAATTGTTCTAACAGTCGCATCGTCTGGAGTAGCATCATTATTACTACCAAATGGTCGAATAGCCCATTCAAGATTTCGAATACCAGTTGATATAGATGAACTATCATTATGTGATATTAAACGTGGAACAAAATTAGCTGAATTACTAATAGAAACTTCTCTTATAATATGGGACGAAGCATTAATGACAAATCGCCAATGCTTTGAGGCTCTTGATAGAACATTAAGAGATATATTATCAGAAAAATATATTAATGCTATCGATAAACCATTTGGAGGTAAAGTTGTTGTTCTAGGAGGAGACCCTAAACAAATCTTACCAGTTATAGAAAATGCATCAAAACTGGAAATTATTAATGCATCAATCGTAAAGTCATATCTTTGGGGGTATGTTAAAAAAATATTTCTATTTGAAAATATGCGATTACAAAAAACCAAATCTAATACTTTAGAATATAAAGAAATCAATGACTTTAATAATTGGATTCTGGATATAGGCAATGGTAAAATAAATACCAAACAAAGTACTGCTCAAAATGAAGACACAGATACAACCATTATACTAGTGCCGGAAAATTTATTAATAAACACAGGAGAAAACAAATTAGAAGAGTTGGTAAAGTTTACATACCCAGATTTCAAAAATAGTTTCTTTAATCCAAATTATTTGAAAAATAGAGCAATTCTAGCTACAACTAATGAGATTGTTGATGAAGTGAACAACTATATACTTAGCTTAGTACCTAATCAAGAGAAGGAATATTATAGTGCTGACACACTATCTCAATGTATGGATACAACTAATGATGCGGACATATTATATCCTGTCGAATATTTAAATTCTCTAAATGCCAATAATTTTCCAACTCATGTACTTAAGCTGAAAGTTGGAGTTCCTATAATTTTGCTAAGAAATCTAAACCAAAATTTAGGATTGTGTAATGGAACAAGATTGATAATAACAAATTTAGGAGACAATATTATAGAAGGTATAATAATAACAGGAACTCATATAGGAGAAAAAGCATATATACCCAGAATAAACTTAACAACCCGAGGAAATCAATGGCCATTTACCTTGTGTCGACGACATTTCCCAATAAAAGTGTGCTATTCTATGACTATAAATAAAAGCCAAGGACAAACTTTATCTAATGTTGGTTTATATCTAAAAAAACCAGTCTTTACACATGGCCAATTATATGTCGCAATCTCACGAGTAAGCAATAGTAAAGGTTTAAAAATTCTAATAGAAAATGAAGATGGGACATGTGCAACACAAACAAAAAATATAGTATATAGAGAAATTTTAGATTCATTTAGATCTTAATGTATACTATATTTTTCTCTATATACTATATAAACACAAACACAGTACTAACATTTTCCATTGCTTATAATTTGCAGATGAATATCACTCCAATTGCAGAGCTGCGCCCAGGGCGATATGACTACATGATATGCGTCCGAATATCTAGGATATGGGAATTTAGAGGAACTAATGAAGATGATAACATCAAACATTTAGATCTGGTTTTACTTGATCAAAAGGTAATACTATATCCTTTATTTATATTTTCTCCTAACATATATTTATCATTAAATATATATTATTTTATTAAAATTGCATGGCCATTGCAGGGAGATGCTATCTATGCTGAGATCCCACCTGATGCTATACCTTTATTGAACCAATATTTACAGGAAGGAAATATCGTCTACATCAGCAAGATAACAGTTAACAATGCTAAGCCCAGTTATAGAGCAGTTGGTAATCCATATATGATCAAACTAAACAAAAGAACTTGTATCATTGAAGCCAAAGATCAACCTATGGATTTTCCAAAGTATACATTTGACTTGGTGTCATTTGATAAACTTCATGATTTCACAAGCAAGACTGATCGTTTTCTAGGTACTAAATTAACTTTTATTTCATTACACGTAACCATAATATTCTATATGCAATGTTATAATCAAATACTTTATTCTATCTTTGCAGATGTTATTGGAAAAATCATTGCTGTTTCTAATGCAGCAATGATTTCTACAAGTTCATCAGATTATAGGATGAGAAGAATAGTCAAACTACAAGATTTAAGGTAATTTATGCCAATATCAGCTATATTTCCCCATCTGAACACTAACACTAATCTGAAACTACTTGATACTGACTTTATTGTTTCTTCAAAGTGGAAAAACCATCGACCTCTCATTATCAGGAAAAAGAGCTGTTGAGTTTGATGGAGAGACAATACTGGAAGTTGGTCAAAATAACCATATAATAGCAATATTTGTTGGTACATCAATGAAAATCCTTAAGGGAACATATGAATTTCTAAGTGGAACAACAGCTTGTCGTTGGTATATCAACGAAAATGACATCCCTGAAATCAAGATGTTTCAGAAATGGTAAGTACAATTTAATCCCCTGCATATTTTCTTTTACTTTATGGAATTTCCTATTTCTAACATCTTATATATGCAGCCTTCCACCACATGCTGATCCTATACAAAAGCTATACTTGCAAAGTGATGAAGATATGCAACGGAGCATTGAACACAAAACACTTGCAGAATTGAAGGAAATTGATCCTTTTGTTGACAAGGTTAGACTTATGTACCTAAATTAATATACTATTAAATTCTTTCATTGAACTACAACTTAAACCTTTCATTTATACATTTACATAGGATGAAAAATACCAGTGCACTGCTACTATCATTGGAATTCAGGAAAGAAAAACTTGGTGTTATCAAGCCTGTAAATTGTGCAATTGCAAGATGATATGGGATGGTTCTATATTAAAATGCAAGAAAGAGAACTGCCCATGTAGGCAGTATGAGTACAAGTGAGTATTTCTTTTTCCAATCATACTATTAAGTGTGAATATATATAACTATAATTTTCAAATAACTCTGCACTTGAACAGGTACAAAATACCATTCATTGCAAATGATGGCACAGCTAGCCTTGAACTTGTGCTATTTGAAAAGAAAGGTACAGAACTTATTGGTAGGACTGCTGAAACTATGAAAAGGCAATATGATATCAATCAAACACCTCCAGAAATAAAAGCATGGATAGGACATAAATTCACATTCATAGTGAAGGTTTTGCCGAACATAACTATCAACGCTGATGAACCTTCATTTGAGGTGCTGACAATTAAAGAAAGATTTGGAAGGCAACATTCCAGCCAAGGCTTTAAGGCAACTAAGAATCTTCCCATCAGTTCAAGTTCATCTCAACAACTACATAATTTACCTCCACTGGTGCCTATACTATCCAAGAAAATACAACATGAGGTAAAAGAGTAGTACTCTTTCTTTTATTCATTTTTGTCGGTGCTACATAATCTCTTACTATTTCCTTTCTTTTCTTTCTTATTTACTGCTCATCATCCCAGATAGAACCACCCCAAGATATTCAAAGCATGGAAGTTGAACCATATAATTTAGAAACAAGCACTTTGTCAGGAAAAAGAGCTTATGAAGATCCAAACAGTACAGATCAGGTAAACAACTGATCATATTTAAATTCATTTGTTTTTCATTCTTCAATCATACAATTAACCTACTAACTGTACTGTGCACAAGCTTGGCACCATTTCAATCAAGTGTATTTTTTTAGATAATGGAATGAAATATTCAAGCAAGTGTATACCCTGTGGTCAACAACTATTCTCTATTTACATGTACTATTCACATATATGGCTGACACTAGGGGTCTCATACTTGCCAAACCTACTGCCTGCATTGTGCTAAGTATTGCATGAGAAAGAATTGCTGGTTCCTTAGTAATATACTTTGATAAGGATTCTGTTTTTCTTTTTTAGGAAAATGATGAAGAAGAAAGCACTGACTATGGCTTCATTCAGACAAAGGGCAAAAAGAAGCGTTCTACCTGATAACTTCTCCAATCAAGACAGCCTACTTTTGCTATCTATAGTCCAAGATGGACACTTTTGTTATCCTCTCATCTACTAGCCAAATTACTTTTGGTGTATCTAGCTCTGACTAAGAACCTAGACTGATCTACTAGCCAGTTACTCTAATACAAAGTTGACATGGAGCTTTATTAAAATCTTTCATTATTTAAGCTCTAGATCAACATCTAGAGGATGATGACGATGACGATGGGTTGCTTGGTTCCGGCAAACGATTACGAGGACGTCGGCCGGGTTCTCGAGAATCCTGTCGTCGTCTCCCGTTGTTGAAGATAATATGTCAATACTCTTCAAATGTCTGTCACAAATAGCCACTGTGTTTTGTTCAGATTATACAGTCTATATCACACTATATGTCACAAAAATCTTTTAAATTTTGTAGTCTACTACAGCAATCATGATTGTGCACTGTAGTATCATGCTATAACTTGCGCTTTTTTTTTTAGATAATACTTGCATTGTTGTTAAACTGATTATTCTGTCTCATTAGGGTCAAATAGCATGGCCCATCCAGTATTGCACGCGGCTTTGCCGCGTGTTTTTTTCTAGTGATGATCCTAAAGCATTTCAATCATTAAAGAGATGAGTAGATAAAAGAGCAGGATAATAGCTTATATAAGTGCCATGAATTGAACACCTAAACTCCCATGCTCTTTCCCAAAAAAACATCAGCCAACCTTATTTAGAGCATGCCAAATGGCAATTTTAGGACTTAGGAGTATTACTCAAAGGTCAGCGGTATAATAATAATCACAATGCAGGTGGAAGATGCTATGTACGCGGTGTGGCCGCGTCGATCAGGGGCCTCAGTAGCGTGTGCTACGCGTGGTATCCTAACTCTCATCACAATAATTCATTTCATAACCAAAAAAAAGAAAAGAAATAATCCTTTTTAAGACCTGGAAATCCATATGATCTAAGATCCTCTATAAAATGTCAAAGTAAAAACCAAAAGGATAGATTATGCACTGCAATATCTGAGAATGGGTCAATCCAAGCAAACAGAACAGTCCCATGCAAACACGCATCAGTGCAGTGGCGGAGACAGCGTGGGGGCTGGGGGGTCTATAGACCCCCTACCCCCTAATAGATCATTAGAGCCCCCATTAAGACCCCCCCTAAAATTTAAATCCATATATCTATTAAAGGGGGCTAAAATAGACTTTATCTGAGATTGTTAGAAGGCCCAAAAGTCTGAGGAGCCCCCACTATAATTTTATCCTGGCTCCGCCACTGCATCAGTGTACATCAGCTAATAAGCTAACTATCTAAGTGGAAAGCAAAACAAATATCTATCTATCCAAACTAGCAGTGAGAAAAAGGAAGAGGAAATAAGAAATAGTGGCAACTACATACATCTGCCTTGTGATCCAACAAAATCTTCAGTGTCTTATCCTTGCCATTGTTAGCAGCATGAAAGAGTGGTGTTCCAAGGCCACAGTCTATGTCAACAGGTATCCCTTTTGAAAGCAAGAACTCTGTTACCTTACAGCATCCTGCAGTGAATGAGATGGGCCATAAATCATGGGGAAACAAATACTATATAAATTGAGTTATTTGAATAAACAGTTAGTACCAGTATAATGGACAAATCACAATAGATTACATGTGAGATGTGACCGAGTATAAACAGAGCAAACCTATACAACTTTGAGTGGTGATATATAAACTAAAAGTATCTAGATTAGCAACACAATAAAAGATAACTGTGACGACATGGTTGAATTAAATGTAATCTATTAATAGTAATGCAGTATCGTAGAATCTTGTACAACAATATAATTGGTAATATAACAAGGAATTGGATAGTGTTCATATCAAGGGAGACCTGTGCCAGCAGCATGGTGGAGAACTGTGCATCCTCTAACATCTGCTTTTGTTACATCACCACCATGATCAAGAAAATACTGCACCGTAGGAACATCACCAGACTCAGCAGCGGCCATAAACGGTGTTATATCTGTAATAAACAGCACATCAGTACACTTGGCACATTATACTGCCAAAACATAGACATGGCAGCCGCCAATTTCATGAAAGGATGGTAGAGTTAGATAATAACCTTCTTTTCCAGCAATATTCACGTCACCCCCCAATTCCTCCACCAAGAACTTGCAAACATTCAGATGGCCCTGGCATGCCACGGCGTGCAGCATCCCAATCCCATGCTTGTTAAGAGCTAAGACTGCATACTGGGTCTTTCCTTTCTCGATCCCAAGGCTCTTTAAAATACCTTCTCGCAAATAAGAACAAAAAGAAGTCATCACAGTGAGGAAGATAATCTGCGAATGAACAGATTAACTAGGTAGAACTCGAAAAAGCGACGAATACGTGCAACGTGCAAGAACCTCACTGAGTCATGTGAACCTATACTTCATACTTGCGACTTGAAAAACATTTTTGTAGAGTACTACCTGCTACTCATCACACATTAGCACTTGGAGAGGTAACTGTAATAGAAAGATGATCACAACGTTGTCGCATTTATCCAACGCAAGGACTTGCTACGATAAAAGCCTCAGATCTTGCAATTTCTAGATAAGATGGCATGCATCTCCAGTAATCCATAGACCTGGCTGTTAATTCCTTCACGCAGGGTCAAAAATCCATGCAACATATAAACATTACCGAAAATAAATTGTGGGAAATTCCCAAAGGCAACGAGTGCTAGATACAGAATTTGCATTCCAAAATTCCATGGCCAAATCAATTAACAGTACAGCCATCGCCAAGCGCTCCACACAAGGACACACATGCATCACCCAAACCTAAGGGAGGAAAAGCACGCAACACAGGCGCATGCAAAGGGGGGGCAATGCATACACGCATCGATCGGGGGGGATCGACGCGGCGGAGAAGAAGGAGAGGAGGAGGAGGAGGAGGAGGAGAGGAAGCAAACCTACCTTTGAGGCGTCCGAGGTTCCCGTCGAAGGCCGCCCTCAGGAGAGCGCTCTCACCTGCGAACAAACCGAGAAATCGCCATTAGACCACATGGCCGAGGAGCTAGCAAGCCGATCGAGCTAGGAGGAGATGCGGAGAGGTGGGGGGAGGCTGGACGAACTGGTGCCGTCGTCGGTGGGGCGGCAGTAGACGAACGGCGCCGCCATGGCCGCGAGGAGGGAGGAAGCTTGCAGGAGGAGGAGGACGAGGAGCGGAGTGGGTGGGGGTGGGGGGTTTTGGTTTGGTTTTGGTGCACTGGACCCGGTGCACTCGTGGGACTCGTGGACAAGGTGCACGGAGCCGTTTTGCTACACTACCTCTCGCTGTCTCGCAGATAGATGGTCTATGAGTATGACATGGGTGGCCCATTGCAGGGGTCTAGGCCCTGTTTAGTTTCTGGAAAAAAAATCGCGCTGTTACATTGAATGTTTGGACATATGTATAAAACATTAAATGTAGGCAAAAAAAAAATCAATTACACATATTACATGTAAATTGCGAGACGAATCTTTTAAGCCTAATTGCGCCATGATTTGATAAGTGGTGCTACAATAAACATTTGCTGATGACGGATTAATTAGGCTTAATAAATTCATCCCGCAGTTTTTCTGACGGAATCTGTAATTTATTTTGTCATTATACTACGTTTAATACTTCAGATGTGTGTCCATATATCCAATGTGATAACCAAACCCAAAAACTTTTCCCAACTAAATAGGGCCTTAGTTTCGGGAAAGACGGACTCCCCTGACAGTAACATAAGAGAGAGAAGCGGGTTGTCTATGTCGGACTCTCTTAGGTTAGTCTCTTTTTGTTTAGAAGGGATGGAGTATACCAGTACAGATCTTATTTATGTGCATCCCTCGCTATGACTAATCTTGTCTACAAACCTACGGTGGATTGGAGTTCTGTAGCCCCTCCCCTGTCACGCACTGAAACTTGTCCCCTTTTACCCCATCTCTTTGCTTGCATACATTTGATCCCAAATGCAGCATATCAGAGAGAGAAAGAAATCAGATCCTTCAATCTAAATAGCTATCAAGAACTCCATAATACCCAAATAACACTACCCATGTTTTGGGGCAAACAAAATGCCAAGCCATTCGAGTTTAGAAACGAATCAAACCCTTAACTAGTTGCCTCCAAAGTGTAGAAAAGAGACTCACATTGTCAGTGACGACTATATATATGGCCATCTCATCGACGGTGTCAACCTCCCGTCTCATCGACAGTGTCAACCTCCCGTGGGTGTCTTGGTGGATTCAGAAGGAATGCACTAGGATATTATCTTTTCGCTTATACTTATTAGTCAAATTTTAAAATTTTAACCTTAAATTTAGAGCTAATTTTAAGGGTTTTTTTTATCAAACTTTATTTTTTAGCCTTTACTTTTAGATTGATAAGAACACATATATAAAAGTTTTATTTAGAAATTACTTTTTGTTTGTAAATATACAGTTTCGTTTACTCCGTAGAGTAGAGTAGCTGGAGCGGAGAGACAAAACAGGGTTCAATCTATGCAAAATGGCGACCCCGGATAAAGCACCAATCTTAAACTTAGATGAACGGTCAGGAATTCGGCTGGTAAACAAAAAAAAGACAATCAATCGGACAGTATCACCCCGTATCTGTATAGGGTTGCAACGAAGAACGAGCCAACTTTCCCCGGGCCGAAAACTGATCGGGTGGTGCGGCCTCTCTCGCCTTTGATTTACCCTTTCGCGCACCAAACACCAAACCCTCGCCGCCGCCGGCGCCGCCATGCGGATCCCCACGGAGACGGAGACGGAGACGGGGACGGGGGCACGGATTCCCAGCCACAGGCGGCGCAAGGGATCGTCCGACGGTTCGCGGGCCGTACACCGGCGCAAACCAACGCCGACCAAGGAGACGGAGATTCCCGGCGGCCACGGGCGGCCGAAGCGGTCCTCCTCAGCCCTGTCGTTGGACGGCGCCGGCGACTCCAACCCAACCTGGGTGATCCTGAATCGGGTCGGTGCCCGGAGGGATTCCTTCCGCGGCGACCGCACCACGTCGGTGGCCTCCCGCACCTCCGGCGGCAAGGAGATCTCCGTCTCGTTCGAGCTCGCGCCGCCGCCGGAGACCTCCCTCCTCACCCTCGACTGGCCGCAAGGGCCCCGCCCGTCGGAGGGGACCACATCCTACCCTTACGTCATCGCGGCGCACGGCAACGTCGTGCTGCTCGAGATCATCTCCACCGCCAAGTGCCCTCGCCCCATCGACATCGACTACTTCGTCTACAAGGCCAAGCCCAACGGGGAACCCTCCTTGACGCGGCTGCCCGTTTGCTACTGGAAGGGGGCTTCGGGCAGAGACAATCCTCGGCCACGCATCATGAGTAGGGTGGCCATGGGTGTCCTGTCCTGCAGCAAGGATTCGTTCGTTGTGGCCGAGATGGAGAGAAGGTCATACCAACCTTCTGCAGCTAACATCTACATGTTTTTCTCCGGCTCCGACGGCTGGAGAGTCTTCAGGGATGTGCGGATTGACCATATCAATGGTGCCGGCTGGTGGTCAACTGATGCAGTGTTATCCTACCGCCGTCGCTACTTGATCTGGGTGGACTACTTGAGAGGGATGATTGTTGCCAAATTGGCACATCCAGGAGGAGGAGACCCACAGGAGCCTGCTCTATGGTATGTACCGCTTCCGGTCGATCCGGTTATGGGGAACCCTTATGACAGTGAGCGTGGGCGAGGATGCCCTGAAGCTTCCCGTAATGTGTGTGCCACCCACCATGGCATCAAGTTCGTCAATATCATCAACCAATGTGGTGGCAGTTTTAGCATAACCCTGTGGTCGTGGTGCGAGGACGGAACATGGAGAGAAGATGCGACACTGGATGCTGCCCAACTTTGGGACCTCGATTGTGAAAACCGCCTTCCAAATGTCCAACCAGAATTCCCTATTGTTGACATGGAAAACCCTTACACCGTTTGCTTCTTGTTGAACGAGGGCAACTACATTGTCCCTGAAGCCACAACATGGATGATCAAGGTCCACATGAAGAAGAAGATTCTACTAGGTTGTACTAGTTATTCTAAAAATGGAAGCTTGTCTCATCAGAACACCACCTACATGACTGCCAGAAGGATGTCTGAGAGACTCTCCTTTATCTCCAGTGAAATGCCATATTACCTGTCTGGACAAACCATGAAAAGGTAATAATTTCATGTCTAGTTTGCCAAATGCATGCCATACTGTTCTTTTGGTTGCATGTTGTACAGAATTTTCCTAGTTTGAAGTGAATTGTTCTGCCCATTTATGTTTAGACAGCATTGACGTTGTGGTAGCTTGATCAGTCAAGAGCATGATTTTAGATGAATATAATTGTGGCTAGGATTTAGCTATTTAGCAGCACCAACGTTTCTTGCTCCCTTTAATTACTTGGTCCTGAATCCCTCTATAACTCATCCTATAGTTTATACAAAATCGATGTTTGTTTGCATGTTTTTATTTCGTCTTCTCGACACTTTTTCTAAAAATATCACTGAACCATTTCTGAATCTTAATTTCAAGCAGGAAGTTGATAAACTAGGAATATAACTGGAGATCGAGGAATTGTCTTACCAGTTTGAAGATTGGATCCATCAAACACTGTGTTTGCAAGAGCAAGTTCCCAACACTCCCCTCTCGTTTTCCACGCGCACGCTTTTTAAACTGCTAAACAATATGTTTTTTTAAAAAAAAGTTTCTATACGAAAGTTGTTTTTTAAAAAAATCATATTGATCTATTTTTGGAAAAAAATAGCTAAAATACTTAATTAATCACACGCTAATAGATTACTCCGTTTTCCGTGCGCACTGTGCATGTTCCCATCCTTCCCTAGGATGTGAGCTCCTGCGTCTGCGTGCTACAGTAAGTTATAGGCAAAATTGGTTCGATGCTATATAACCAATTTTGTCAATAATAAAAAGGCTAAAAGTTTATGCCATAGCAAACGAAACATGAAGTGCTACTCCCCACATCTGATTTGCCATGCAATTTTACAATCGAACAGAACAATCAAGGAGCAACATTTCACAGGCTAGAGAACATCGTAAAATCCAGTTGCTTCTGTTTACTCCATGCACAATGTGACAACTGACAAGCATATCATATCATACGGCCGCCGATCTCCTGCTACAGTGCGATGTATAGGAAAGTAGGAATGTATGAGGAAGTGCTATATATGCCTATCGTATACCCATCCGACAGTAAGCCGAAATTCTTTAGCACTCGGACCAGTTTTCTGTATCTCCACACCTGGGCTGAACGGCTTTTGTATGCGCCTGCATGATGGAGATCAACATTTGTCAAACTCAAATATATAAAAAAGATAAAGGGATGCCATGAAATGCGCTTAACGCAAGAGAATTTTGAATTTGCACGTGAACTCTGCCATTTTTCAGGCAGAAAGTACAACAAATCGTGCGTGGTATTTGATCTTCCGTAAAAAAGAAAGAGCTCGATATTTCAACAAGCCTGGCTAGTAGTGACGCTGATAGAAGAGTTAGAGAGCAAATTGTAAGGCCACGCATTGTATCATCTCATCTCTAATCCCGTGCACATTCGGCGCAATATTGTTCATGCCAATAGTTTACCTGCGGGTGCCTTTCTTCACGGTGGTTGAAAGTTCTGTGCTTTAGCTCTCCACGGTTAGTTGTCAGCTCATCTAATATCTCGGCATCGTCACGGCTGCCACAGCTTTCTGAATCAGATGCACCATCCTCCTGTGTGGAACAAAAGATTCAGATTAACAACAGACGTGGGGCATCGGAGAATTAAAGAGTGAAACACAATCATCACTGACAAGTAAATAATCCAAGAATGGGAGATAAATTTATACCAGCGTGTGATCGTGGTGGACACCTTCAAGCTCTTCATACTCAGCTGCATCCAATTCCCGAAGGTCATTTGGCTCAAAAAACTTTGGGAGGACATGCTGCCTGATAAGAATCATAAGGAAGAATGGCAACGGGAACAGGATCCCTGCTATTGGTATCCATGTTATGCCGAAGCATATCAAGAGGTAAACCAACTGGAAGATCGTGAAGACAGTAATTGTTTTTGAAGGCACTGACTCCATGAAAGACGCATGGGGACCCTCCAAAACCCTGCAAATGTTGAAGCATAGTGTGAGCTGTTAATCACTGTTTTGACAAAAAATGGATTATCTTACGATTAATCCAAAAGGAGGCACATAGGCTGCACCGCAAGTAGTCAAGCATGCAATTTCATTGTTCAAATGGGGTAAACAGATGCAGATAGAGATATTACTTGTAGCGTCGGCTTGATGGGATGAATATAAGTCTTATTCTTTCCCAAAACTGGTTGCCAGGTAGACTGTCAATGGCCATATAAGCAAAGTAACCCCAGAGGACCGATGTCGGTATCATCTTGATGACTGGCATAGCTCCAACACAAGCACCAACTAATAAGGATTGCAGCAAGTTACTTAGTCTCTGCTCATTCACTCGAACAGGCAAATGTGCTTCAATATGTTTTATAGGGTCAAATTCTTCAGCCAATGTCCCTTCTTTATCACCTTCTTGCAGCATAGCATCCTTCAAGCTCTTTAACTCCTTGTCAACAGAATCAGTCTGCAGGACAATTTTTGACCTATAAGTTGATTTACTTGAACATTTTCCATACAAGACTAACAGTGGCATCTACATTTTGAATAGTTACTGAAAGAAAACCAAAAGTATGGGGACTCCTCGTAAGGTGAAAAGTAAGGTGTTCAGGCAATTACATGAGCTTAGGACTAATTTTCTTGACAACTGATGTAGTAATTTTGACAGGAACTGGCATTGACAATAGAAGTAAAATGCAACAAATAAATGGAAGAGGAAATTATATGGTAACATACATCAGTAATGAAGAGTACATACTCACATTTTTTTCACAGTCCATCTCAATGAAAACCCCTTGCATCTTGCCATAGATTTCCAAACTGCTAGCACGATTCATCAGGCCTTCGTTGGCAGTTTGAACCATCTTTTTGCGTAGCAGCTAAGCAAACAGAGGAAGAAGATGGGTGAGCTGATGAGCAAATATGGATATTGTAGCAAACAAAACACTTCGGTCTGAAGTTCACCAACCTGCCCCTTAAGGACAGCAAGGCTTCTTGTATGCATCGGGGACTGAGGAAGTACTCCATTAGATGGAGGGATGCCAATCAAACCACAAAGCAGGACCTGCATCATTTTTATACTACTATATGAGAAGAGGAGCATGTCACAGCTTTGGTCTATTACACCACAAAGCAGAATCAGTGTCCAATACTCCTATCAACCATCACCTTGTAGATTGCAGTAGTGCCAGGTTATAATCACGCAAAAAAGAATATAAGATATTATGGATGTTGGATTTTCAATCATACCCATTCAATTGTTGTAACAAATACCAACTCTACTTTAAAATATATGAGAATATTTCTTATTCATTTTTTTTGAACGGAAATATTTCATATTCATAAGACTATACTAAAAGATTTTGGCTAGTTTTAGGCTAGAAGTGATAGAGAAATGAAATGTTCACTGAGGACCAAAAGATGTTAGGTTCCTAGTTAGCCGAGAAAAAAAAACTTAAGAAGGGCCGCCATAAGCAGATAATTTTTTTAGACGGGTATAAGCAGATAAATTTATCATAGAACCATGGCACACACCATGAATCCGAGGACCAAAATGTCATAATGGTAAGCAGAGGGCTTCTTCAAGTTAAACTCCTTTTGTTGCGCCAATTGTGAAGCCACGCTATGATCAAAGAAGTAAAGTCCTGCAATCATCAAAGCTGGCAGAATGGCAGCAAATATGTATGCTGGGGGAACAGAAAACAGGTCCTGGAAATAAAAAAAAAACCCAAAGATATTATCAATGATGCCATGCAAAATAAGCTATACCAAAATTCTAAACCTGAAGACCATAAATATTCACATCTCCAGTATCCCAAGCAAGTTTGATTTATTACCTTTGCTATGGTCCAGTGATGCAGTGAACTTGACTCCCAGGGAAGTGGACTGAACAGCCTCCTAGGAACTCCTGAAGGAACATCCTTTGGTAATGCGTACGATAATGCTGTCCAAACAATCACCATAAGTGGGACACCATAATCAGAAATGAAGCCTCTGAGCCACCCTGCAAGTGTCAACTCAAACGCACAATGATCAGTTCATGTACATGTGCTTCTCAATGGTTATAAAATGTCATCATGGAGTCATTTGCATGCTGATGTAGCATACATAGTAGTAATTTCTTCTCTTTTTACTTGAAAGATGGCAAAAGCTTTGCGTATTTAATAGAGAAGATAGTAGTAATTTCTTGTTTTTGTTTCTAAATGTTAAAAATTTCAAAGAGGGAAAAACACTGTGCAGAATAAGAATCTGTCGATATGGGCTACTAAACACCATCTCAAGCCAAGCCATCCACTCAATAAGGAAAAAAAAGGAGTCCATATGGTTTGCCCCAAAGCTGACAGGCTGACACAACACAAGCTTGCAGCCCAGCCCAACCAACGCCTGATCTAAAGTAGGCCCAGTCCAAACTTCAAAACAGCAAAAGAAATGTTTGGCATAAATCTAACGGTTGGATGGATGACTAATGGAACAGCTATTGCTAATTTGATGACCCAGAGCTCAACTTGCCCCCTAAATTGGACACAATGAGATAAAAGTAAGATGAAAACGTGACCAACCTTGACCATACACCCATGACCTTGCCCTTCTTGACCTTAATGCAGTGTATAACAGCCCAATTGAAAAGATTACACCAAGTAGGCCGTTGACATACAACCACTGGAATCGATATATAGGTGAACTATGGTCGACACCTCCAGGTACCTTGAATTCTTCTATAATTCCCTGCAATAAGTAGGCACCGTTCTAAATATTTTCTTCCAAGATACAAAGCACTGAGCTCGCTAGAAATAGCATACTTTAATAGCTTGTTGCAGGAACAGAACAGTGATCAACATCCCGAAAAGTTCTCCTGCAACCCTTGTAAACCTGCTAATAACATTAGAAGCATTGAACATTGCCAGAAGAAACAACATGATCGCAGTCCAGATGCAGACCCTGTCAACAGTAAGCAAATCAGGAGAGCATTAACTTTTTTTTCTGAAAAGCTAACGTGATAGTATTCAGTTTCAGTTGTTACCATCCAGCCCATGCTAAATACAGTCGTTCCCCCAGAGCTTGCTGGTTCTTGGCAAAGTTGTAGAGATACGTGTACATGATTATAGTTGGCTCTGCAACTCCAACTATCAACAGAGGCTGCCCTCCAAGAATGGAATGGATGATGCCACATATTGCAGTAGATGCCAGTGTTTCTACTGTGGTGAGTATACCATCTGAAATGAACCACTTTCCCTTTGTTAGAGATGTAATTAAAGCCTAAGGACAGCAATTCCAAAAAGAGCACAACTGTAGTATGGCTCATAGTGGCAAGAGGGTAGGTATTTACTTGTTTCTCTGCTCAGTTGCGTTCCGAAGGCTATGACTGGGAGGGCAGAGGCAAAAAATATATACATAGTAGGTGCCAATATCCTGACGATACATCCAGAGGCAACATGAATAATTAAGGAATGAAACTGACAGCAACAAGAGGAGTGAAAACACACACAGTGATCTACTGCAAAATTAATTGTTCGAAACAAAATTAACCTGAAGCCAGAGTGGAATCCCTCAAGCCAATCATGCTTGTACCAAGCTGCTCGGCCTTCGATATCAGCGACGACACCCTTAAAGGGAATCTTTAGTAGTTCCATCAGCTGAATTCCACTCAATACTAACCAGAAGCTGCAACAGTACTTACAATTCAGAAATGGTACATATATATTACATACGTAGTATTTTGAAGACACACATATTGGCATACACACATCCTAGAAGCCCCCATGTTACAAAATTTACAAACTCAGGTTAAGGTGTCAAGCTACCCAGATGAGTCAAATGGAGAGAAACCACGGACCAAACTTGCAATCATCACAAAATGCACGCTTGGTGCTAATACGTATGCAAAGTTTGCAGTATACGTAATTAATTTGCGCTTACTGCATTGCAACATATTTGGTGTACCATAATTAGCATTTGTAATTTGTAATTCGAACTTCTGCATGACGAGGAGACAAATTTGCATTTCTGCATACAATTTCTAGGAAGTTTATACTATACAAATTACTTGGTCACTTGCTGAGCTAAACATCATGCATAAAAGCACTAAAATAAAACCAGCTTGCTGGGTTCTTTCAAAAATAAAAGCACTAAAAAATTGTCGTCAGGTAACCGCGGCAAGTGTCCAACACTTCCTCTCCTCTCATGCCGTCATGCGTGGGGTTCAGTCATAACAGCAAACAACACATACATGTTACTCCAATATTATTACTTAGTGGTAAAAAAAATCAGAAAACAGCAAAAAGAAAAAAAAATCAAGCAGTAGAGACCCAAATCACGAAATATTTACAGATAACTTGTTAGATCCATATGCAAGCATTCCACATCCCGACATCTACATGCGCACGCAACCACCGCACTTGCGAAACGAACAAGCGCCGCGTTTCTCCATCACCTCGAACAAAAAACCCACAAACTTTTACCACCGAAATCGATCAAAAAAAAAACTATGAAAAAACCCAAGCAAATCTCCCCACAAGTAGGAAGAGAAATCAGCCGCAAACACCAGCATGCAACACAAGACTTCACAGTCCGAAAGGGAACGCACGCACACCGTGACTGCAAAACCTCCAAAAACCCATCGCTCACTCAACATCGGCCGAGCAATCGAGGCAGCGGCGAGAGGACCCGTACCTCCGGCGGGCAATGCTGACGGCGGAGGGGAACCCTAGACGTGGAGGTGGCGGAGGAGACGACGCGGCCGCGGCGGGGCGGCGCGGGGCGGGGTTGGCTCCTCAAACCTCAAGGCCCCCGTGATGTGCGGCTATTTATAATCGAGGGCGAATCGAATGGACGCTGCCGAGAAGAAGGGGAGAAAAGAAAAAAAAAAAAGCCGCCGCGGCTGCCTCTGGAAGGCTGGAAAACAAAGGAGACGAGAACCCGTTTACCTAGGAGTATTTTTTTTGAAAAATAAATCGGAGTTGTTAGAAATATGACGCCATATACTACAGTCGATTTTTTCAGCCATTTATATAGTAGTTACACCTCACTTACATATGTAATTAGTATGTAATTTTTGAATTTACATATGTAATTTTATTACTTACATATGTAATTTTGAGATTTACACTGTAAATACACTAAAATTACATATATATATATATATATATATTTAGGAACTTACAATGTAAATACATGCCGACTATTTTTTATGAAAAATATTGTGTTATAAATATAGCTACACCCAAATAAATTCCAAAGGATTTTTTTTCTTTTTGTCTACTCTCTCATCGGCGTCACTCTCTGACAAGTGGGCCCCAGGAGCTGACACCAGTGGGGCTCACCGGTGATACTAGGGGCTCTGCCGCATGGCAGCCGTGACGACGACTCCCTGAGGTTGAAGGGTCAGCGCCAAAGATACTCTACTCCTACATATACCCTCCGTTCTAAAAAAATAACTTCTACGAATGAATCTGACTAATACTTATCTAGATTCATTCACAGAAGTTAATTTTCTGTGGGATGGAGGGAGTACCTACATTCTAAGATAAAATTCGTTTCAAATTAGATATGGTTAAAATAAATAAAATTAAATGGGACAAGTTTATGATTGATTGAGAAATAAAGTTATGAAAAAAATTAAATAATGAAGGATTATGATTGGTTGGAAAAGAAATATTGATGAAGAAAAAAAAATAAAAGATTTAATTATTATATTATATGATAGAGATAGTACGGTATGGCTGTATGGCCTTGTTTAGTTAAAAAAAAACTTTTCACTTATCATCTTGTGTATGAAGTATTAAATGTGAAAAATAAATCAATTACACAGTTTGCGTGTAAATTACGAGACGAATCTTTTAATCCTAATTACGCTATGATATGATAATGTGGTGCTACAGTAAACACTTGCTAATGATGGATTAATTAGACTTAATAAATTCGTCTAGCAGTTTCCTAGCGGAACATATATTTTATTTTATATTATATTACGTTTAATACTTTAAATATGTGCTTGTATATATTCGATGTGATAACCAAACCTAAAAATTAATTTTAAGGCCGGGGTGATGGTGACGTGTACCGATCGTTGCGTCATCGTCAGCTTCCCCCTGCCACCCAGGCATCCACTGCTGCAGGGCACCGCCACGTACGCCGCGCGGCCGAAGGCACGGCCATCACCACCACCAGCAGCAGCAGCAGGCACGGCCGATGTGGGTTTCTCGTCCAACCAACAAGCTAAGCGCAACGAACAGCTGCTACTAACGAGCCTACGATGCCAAAATGAAAAGAAGTTGTGGAGGAGTAAATTGCAGGAGCTTTTTGTTGAGATGCTGACACATTTGCCACGCTGTATTGATGAGAAACAGTAAGTTGTGATTTAGTTTTATAGCGAAAGGTGTAATTTAGTTTTGAGACGTTTACATTAATGTAAAAGATGTCGTACTCTAACAGATGATCGGTTAAAATGAAACTTATTAAAGGGGGACAATAGTGGGTCAGTAGATTCCCTGTATCTATAAATATTATGTATGTGTGAGTCCGTTTTTAATAAAAATTTACGGGTATTCAGAGTCAGGGCTATGCTGAAAATAACTATATGTATGATAAAATTGATAAAATCTTGTTATGATCCTGCCTTGCATGATTAACGATTGGGCCATTAAAACATTATATTGGAGCTCATGTTTGTTGCATGCACTAGTTTCATAGAAGCAACATTAGCAAGAAATTTTATCATATGTATAGTAGGGCTTGGGCTATGCGGCGGTTTTTATCTCTTCAAAACGTGTGTTTTGGAGCAAACTGGCAGGTGAGTGAGTGAGTGGTATGTGTGCACATACGTGTTGTGTGTAATAAAAAAATATATAATTTATTTATGGTTATTTAGATGAGGTTCTACTTCTAATGGCCAAAATATTTTAGTTTTATTCCGTTTCCGTAAGTTGTATAGCTCTATGGTGAAATGGTGACATCATATATTTTTATGTATTGGAGTATTACTGTATTCTTTGTGTAGTCGTACGTGTAAGACTCCTCCATCGTGTTTAAATCATGTGTAATTCCTAATACACATAAATAACCATGAGTTAGCGTAAATTAAGGGTGAGAAATACCCCTTTCTTTCAAAACTGGAAAGTATTTTCCCTACACCTGGCCAGGCGTCACTGAAACTACTCACGGATGTGTTGTTGCATTCAATGGAAAAAAACACCCAAGAAATGCTCGCAGCTGCTAGGAACGTAACGTGAACCTGACGGCAACCTCATCACCACAACCTCTTCTTTTGTCTCTACCAAATAAGGAGAATGTAGGACCTCTCAAGCCAAGAAAGAGAAAAAAACGAATCTCTAAAATTTAAATTTTATGAGACAAGGACTTCTCATATGTTCCCTGATAAAAACTTAAAAGAGACAAGGACTTTTCATGCTCTTGAGTGTACTTCAAAGTTTTTTGTGTGGCCGGTGAGTTCTTGGAGTCTTAGATCTTATTTATACCTATTAGCCAAAGTTTAAATTTTTAACCTTAAATATAGAGTAGATTTTAAGTTTTTTTTTCATCGTTGTTTATTTTTCTTAGATCGTTAAGAATACATGTATAAAAGTTTTATTTATAGATTTTTTTTTGAAAATATATCGTTTCACTTTTTACTCTAATATACCTAACGATTGGGCTGTTAATAATAAGGCGCAACGTAGCAACTGCATGCTGCCTTCTTTGGGGGTTTTCAGTTTGGATCCTGCAGATTGCAGCTGCAGCGACGTCTCGAATTGTTATGATCTGAACAGAAAAACGGAATGGTAGCCTCTTGGTCAGGAAGCAACAAGCGTGGCTGCGTGGGTGTGGCTAACAATTTGTTTGCCGCTCCTTAGGCCGTGTTTATTTCCTTGTTAATTTTTTTTATGTATACGGACAAACATTTGAAACATTTGAAGTATTGAACGTAAACTATTTACAAAACAAATTACAGATTCCGCATGTAAACTATGAGACGAATCTATTAAACCTAATTAATCCATCATTAGCAAATGTTTACTATATTTTTTTTTACAAAAAACATTGTATATATGAATTCATGAAAAAAAACAATTAAAATATATTTCTTAACTTTATAGTATTTAATACATTCGTTTGTGCTATCAAATAATTGTAAAAAAAAAAGAATCATTCAGTCATTGAGCCTTAAAAAGCAGACCCTAGTAGCTAAAATATCTGCATTTTGTGTATAGCAGTACTTACATTGTACTCCCTTTTACCTATGCGTAACAAAATCGTACTACTAAGTACAGTTATAATGTTCAAAAAAAATACAGTTATTGTGTACAAGAAAAATCGTAGCCTTCACAAGATATTTGTTGGTACTTTGCTTGGTATAAATCTTAAACAGGACGTGCTAATACTTTACTGTCTCGTACAATTAATTCGGAGAGCGCTACGTGTCGGACGTACGGCGCGAGACGAAAAATCAGACGCCTCCGCAACCGTCCGATCCATGCACAGATGCACCATCCATCCATCATGCATGTATCAAACGAATTTTAAACTATTTTTTCTCTCAAAATATTTATCCAAATCATGATCCGATTGCACCATTAAATTCGTTGCAATTAAATCTTTAAAACAAGACCACACATGAATATAATCCGATGAAAAAAAATTTTAGCTTATTATTGAATTATTTTTAAATGTTGCACGCAGTTGCACCAAGTATATCGGACTTGTTCCACTAGGTAGATCGAAAATGTTTTATTGGACGCCGTTTCGCCTTATATGAAAATAATGTTTTAGCGAATAGCGAAATGATGTTTCAACTCACTGCAATAGTTGATTCATACATAGTGAAACATTATGAGTACATTAGGTGAAACATTTTTAAATTAAAAAAACGGATGGTCAAATGTTGCAGTTGACCAACAAGTAAAACATCATGTTATATATATGGTGAAACAAAAAAGTCAGCAACTGGAACATTTAAATATTTTATGAAACATAGTGAAGATACATGTTGAAACATGTTGCTGTTACACATGAAACAACAAGTATTAACTGATTGAAACACATGTTTTTCTTTTATGAAAATATAATCAAGCGATATCTTGTTGTAAAGATTTAATTACAACGAATATAATGGTGTGATCGGTTCTTAGATTGAATAGGTAATTTAAGAGAAAAATTATTTTGAAGCTTGCTAAAATACATGTATGTATGCATGCATGAGGTGGAGAGAGAGTAGTAGTAGGTAGTTTCAGGAATTTTGTGAAACACACTTAAAACACATATTGAAACATATCACTATCACGTATGAAACATTTTGTTTTAACGGTTTGAAACATACGTTTTTCTTTTGACATAATATAATCATGTGATATCTTGTTGTAAAGATTTAATTGCAACGAATACAACGGTGTGATCGGTTTATAGATCAGATAAGTAATTTAGAAGAAAAAATATTTAAAGAGATGAGAAAAGAATGAAAAGAAACAACTATGTATATGCATGTATGTTACAGTACGACAGTACCAGGCTGCTGATCTACAACATTTTGTTGACGTCAATAAAGAGAAAGAAGAAATTAGCAAGCAAGGACTGAGCTGACCGTAGGCGTTCGATGTTTTTCATCTGATCGGACGTTCGAAGAGAAGCATTTTCGAATTAATTCTGCTGTAAAATACACACAAAAAAAGATATGATAATCGTGATCTAAGCGATGACGGCGCCTATAGAGTCCAGATTCGCTCATCAAGGCAGTGAAGGCACTGGCTATATGAAGATGACAACGAGACTGACTGTATGAGAATATGAGAGGCCATGTTGAATTATCGATGCAAAAATATTGATTAAGAAAAATGAGTTTTGGAGGGAGAGACGTCCCTCCAAATATTTTTTTATCGAACATGAGATTTTATGGTTAAAATCACACGCTACTTACCACTGCACTATCAAGTACATCTCGTAAAAATGTTGATTAGTCTCAATAAAGTTTGATGCTGCCAGGAATGTTTCAAAGGGATGTCTGTATTTTTTTAAACGAAGTTCTATTGATAGAGTAGAAAAAAATTACAATTTAGGATCATAACTAGAAAAAAGGAATGCCTGTAAATTAAATTTGATGAGTCACTGGGTCAAGATCACTTTTATTTTTTACATTTACCATTTAGCATGCGGCCATGCAAAGCAATACAAATAATGCCCCCTACACCCCTCCGTCATTCTCTTTCCGTTCCACTAAATAAGACATGATGAAATTTAACACAATCTTTAAAACTAATTTTTAACTTTAAATTTCTCATATACACAATGTTTGTAGCAAGAAAATAAAAAAGAACAAGTTTCAATATCAGTCAATTGAATCGATTGATTATTCTTATCAAATAAATAATTAATCCTGAAGATTTTAAACGATATGTACACACACTAAATCCATTACATTAAATTAATCTACACTAGCTCCTCCTTCTGTTTATAAGTTGCTTTAACTATTCTAAAGTCAACATTTTAAGTTTATAGAAATGTACAACAATATTAATATTTATAGTACCAAATTAATTTTATTAAATATAACATTAAATATATTTTGATAGTTTATTTTATATTAAAAATGTTACTATATTTTCTTATAAATTTGATCAAAACTAAAAGAAAAGTTTAACTTGAAAAAAATCAAAAGCGGAGGTGTAGCTCCAAAGTCCAAATGCAATTCTCAGACCAGGCAGGCAGCTGACGGATGAAACAAAAGGATAAAATGCGAATCATCTGAAACATGGCTCAGGTTTAACCTCCAGAATGTTCTCGCTGATTAAAAAGTCTGGGCGAATTAACCAGCTGACACGTACACGCACGTTTCTGATTATATTATCAGCTGGTTTATTATACTAATCTCGATCGGATCATGCAGCATAAATGTCCAATTGTCTGGTCGCCTAATATGCAGAGGAGGGTTGATAATTACTTCCTTTGTTTTATACTCCGACTTGATATGTTTGACCATTCATCGTGTTAAAACATCAATACTATAAATTTGCAGAAATACTACTCATGCATAAAAAGCGTTTTTAATGATAAAACAAACCACACGAAAATAAATAATAATTAGTACATACTCATCGAAAATATCATTATTTTAATATGACGAAGGTCAAATACAATATTAATCGAAAACCACCATTTTAAAAACAGAGGAAGTAATGTTTAAAAAAACAGAGGAAGTATTACGCAGTCACTTTCACTAGCTCAGGTAGCGTTTAGTTAGTCGTACGGATCAGGTGGTCGGCAAGATCAAGATTGTGATTAGAACATAGTACAGTATATAAGTTGGCCATGTGTTCGCTGTTCAGGGGTACAAAGCAGAATAGGCAGCTGCCGTTGCTTGTGAGGAGTTAGCACTAATTATTTGTACTTTGTCACGAGTAAGCATCGTCGAATGCACTCCCTCCGTTCTTAAAAACAACACTGAGGACAACAACAATATATATGACAAAAGTAGTCCATAAAACTAGAACCCACATATATAAACTTTAACTATTATAAATTTCACAATGTATATGGATAGCAAATAGTATTAGTAGAAGAGAAGAGATAGAGACAAATAATATATTTTATTCTCTATAGGCAGGCCATATGTTTATGAGTAGCTTTTGTTATTTCTTTCCTATGGGCTAGTTTCACAATGTTGCTAGGTGGCTGAATCAAATATTATATTGCTTATGGACCATTTTTGGAGTACATTGTGGATGCCCTTAATCGAAGTAAAGATGTAATTTCTTCTAGCACAATGAATCTGACTCACTCTCTATCCAGATTCATTGTACTAGACAGACTGTTTAAATTTATTATAAAAAAAGATTACATCTTCTTGTAGGTTTTTTTTAATGGAGGGAGGAGCACGTACTCCAGTTAATTGGTCGGTGGGAAGTTTCTTTTCTCTGGATCGATAAGGGAAATTTTCAATGGCAATAGAACGTACTAATCCGTAGTTAAGTACGAACTCGAGACATGTACAGGGATATGTATGAGTATGACGTTGGGATCAATATCACAGTGTCATATAGATGATCGGTAGGAGAGTATAGCTAGTACCGACATAGGGAAAAGTATTATTTCTTGACCGATGATATACATAGCATTGGTTGTAAACGAAAATTTAACTATTTGCCACTTCTAGAATAAACAATTATCTAGATGTCATTCTTATATTTGCACTTATTTTTTTGCAAATATTTTTACCCCTCTAAGGTGATGACTTCTTTAACTATTTACCATTTTTATCCATGTGACATACCAATGTGACAACTCGGGGTGAAAAACGGTGTGGAACCCACTAGTCAAACTCTCCACTTCCCTTATCTCTCTCTCAGCTAGTTGACCAGGCCGCGACAGCATGCGGAGAGGCCCAGGCGGCACTGGAGTGGAGGTTGACGGCCGTGACGGCCCTCTCCCCGGCACGCACCCATCGACCTTCATGGCATCGATCAAATTCCACGATGACGACCATTGATGCGGGGCAACGTACCAATCGGGATGCTCAGGCTGCCTTTCCAGTCCGATCTCTCTACCAGCGGTGACTCGCGTGAGCGCTCTTCGGTTCGTTGTCTCCACCATCTCCTCCTCTAGCCCACTGCCCCAGCCTCCCATTCTCCATCTCCGTCCGCGTCAATGTCGGGCCCCTCGGCTCCCATGCCTGCGCCGCACGCCCTTCTCTCTCACCGCCGAGTTCAACCTCGTCTTCGGCAACCCCGTCTTCCCCGTCTTCTTCCTCTTCCTCAAGCTACGGCTCGGTGTTAATTTAGTGGGAAAAAGACATATATGCCTTGCATATTTGCCTTTGTTTTGAGGGTGTTGTGTTTTTGCCATATTTGTGCCAGCGTATCTTGCATATGGCGATGGATATTGCGCGCGCGCGCGCATATATATATATATATATATATATATATATATATATATATATATATATATATATATATATATATATATATATATATACACACACACACACACTCAGCCTCATCGGTTGTCCATATTTTCGAATATGTTAAAACAGTTTATTAGGAAACAAAAATTAATTTACAGTAAAACTTTTGTATATATATTTCTGGCAACTTAAGCCAATATAAAAAAAACTATGTTAAAAATATTTTAAATTTAACATCAAAATTAAGTTTGAAAATTCAAATTTGATAAATCAAACCGATAGAACCCTCAAAATGTTAACTAAAAGACAAATCTTCACACGATTGTATGTGAAGGTGAGGAGAAAAGAGGTGCGACGGGCGAGGTTGGCGGCGAGGCAAGCAGAAGCGGGGGAGGCGACAATTAGAGCAGGTACAATAGCAGAATATTAGCCAGCTACAAATATATTTTAATGAGATAAAAGATGAGAGAGAAGAGCAGCGGGATACAGATCTGTAGCTAGCTGCAGCACGGACTCCAAGATGCAATGTATGTATGACAGTGGGACCATATACTATTAGTATAGTAAACAACTATTGTATAAATTGGCTATTAGATTAGCTATAGATGAATTAGAGCTAGTAGTTGGCTATACTATTAACCTTGCTCTTATAGCGTGCACGATGGCTGCGACGACATTGGGCGCGTTAGGCGGCGACGACGTTGGCTGGGTGCTAGGGTGGGCGGCGATGGCAGAGCGGTGGCGATGAAGTGCCGACGCATGCGGTTGCTGGGAGCCTGCCTGCCTGGAGACTCGGGGAGGAGATGCGGTTTCCGAGAGGAATCAGGGAGGGAGAAGCGTGATAGGCAGAGCCGAGTGGGGAGGTCAGGGATGGGACGTTAGATCGAAAGATCCAACGGTCACAAAATATACGTGCGGAGTCATGGGTCTATGCGGGGTCTGGTGTTACGGAATTTTGTTGGATCCTAGGATTGCACAACTGCACTACTCGATTTAATATCAACCCTCTGCAAAGTGGAACAACTTTTTGTCCATATGTCAGTTTATCGTTTCGTGGTGCAAAATTATTATATTATATTCGTTCCAAAATAAGTGTAGCCATAAGTACCTTTGACCGTTTATCTTATTTAAAAAACTTATTAAAAAGTTGAAAAAGTGCATCAACTTAGCTAATCATATGCTAGGTGAGTTTTTTTTTTCACGATGTCAATATGCCATTACATAGAAATCCTAAGGATATTATCTTTAAAAATTATACTACACATCCAATTACCTTTAAGAATTTTTGTTTTCTTCACCTTCCCAAATCTCAACCGAAATATAATAATTTCTACATCCAGCTTAATTGACTTTCAGTTATTAGTTATTAGGATAAAAATATAAATATGCTTATATACAAATCCACACTAGTATATTGCCAAAATAAGTACTTAAAAATTGAATATGTATAAAAAAAAGTGCTCCAAATAATTAAGTTGTCGCATAACTTCTTAACTTATTATATCAAAATTGTACGTATCTTGCAAGTTCTTATGCGATCACTTATAAAGTTCTTGTACTAAATTACACTTACCTACCAAGTTGTTGCACTAGAACGCTCATTTCACAAGTTTTTACACCAATTTACACCCACCTGCCAAGTTGATACATTGTGGGTGCAATTTACTTAAATATTAATCTAAAAAAAATTAAATCAGACAAATGGCCAAACTTGGACATGACCATCTTGGGAGTCCATCCACTTACTTTTTGCACGAGTGTTTTCTATATAAATAAAACGCTAAAAGCTTATGCCAGATCAAACGAAACATCAAGTGCTACTGCATTGAAAGCCCAAACTCCACATCTATATTCCATATTGATTGCCATGCAATTTTACAATCAAACAGAACAATCTAGGAGCAACAATTCACAGGCTAGAGAACATTGAAATCTACATGTCACACAGCCTTACAGACCTTCAGTAAAATCCAGTTGCTTCTGTTTACTGCATGCACAATGTGACAAGTTGACAACGTACAAGCATGTCATATCGTACGGCCGATCTCCAGCTACAGTACGATGTATATGAAAGTATGAATGTATTATGTATATAATACAACGGACCGCTGCTTGAGGAAGTGCTATATACGCCTATAATATACTCATCCGACAGAATAAGCAGAAATTCATTAGCACTCGGACAAGTTTTCAGTATCTCCACACCTGGGTTGAATGGCGTTTGAATGCACCTGCACGATGGAGACGAAACATTTGTGAAACTCAAATAGGTAAAATAAAAAAAAGGATGCCATGAAATGCGCTTAACTGAAGAGAATTTACTCTATGCCATTTTAGGTCCAAAGTACAATAGATCGTGAGTGGTATTTCAACAGACTGGCTAGTAGCCTAGTAGTTGACCACAGCAGAAGGTTAGAGAGCAAATTGTTAATTAAGCCCACACCCTCTATCATCTCATCTCTAATCCTGTGCACATTCGCTGCAATATTGTTCATTTGCAAATAATTTAATTACCTGCAGGTGCCTTTCTTCACGGTGGCTGGAAGTTCTGTGCTTTAGCTCTCCACGGTTAGTTGTCAGCTCATCAAATATCTCAGCGTCGTCACGGCTGCCACAGCTTCCTGAATCAGATTCACCATCCTCCTGTGAGGAACCAAACTTCAGATTAACAACAGATGTGGGGCATCGGAGCATTGAAGAATGAAACACAAAATCGTCACTACAAGCAAATAATCCAAGAAGGTGAGGTAAATGTATACCAGCGTGTGATCGTGGTGGACACCTTCAAGCTCTTCATACTCAGCTGCGTCCAATTCCCGAAGGTCATTTGGCTCAAAAAACTTTGGGAGGACATGCTGCCTGATAAGAATCATAAGGAAGAATGGCAGCGGGAACAGGATCCCTGCTATTGGTATCCACGTAATGCCGAAGCATATCAAGAGGTAAACCAACTGGAAGATCGTGAAGACAGTAATTGTTTTTGAAGGCACTGATTCCATGAAAGAGGCATGGGGACCCTCAAGAACCCTGCAAATGATGAAGCATAGTGTAAGCTGTTAATCACTTTTCTAACAAAAAAAATGGATTATCTTTTGATTAATCCAAAGGAGGCACATAGGCTGCACCGCAAGTAGTCAAGCATGCAATTTCATTGTTCAATTGGGGTAAACAGATGCAGATAGAGATATTACTTGTAGCGTCGGCTTGATGGGATGAATATAAGTCTTAACCTTTCCCAAAACTGGTTGCCAGGTAGACTGTCAATAGCCATATAAGCAAAGTAACCCCAGAGGACCGATGTCGGTATCATCTTGATGACTGGCATAGCTCCAACACAAGCACCAACTAATAAGGATTGCAGCAAGTTACTTAGTCTCTGCTCATTCACTCGAACAGGCAAATGTGCTTCAATATGTTTTATAGGGTCAAATTCTTCAGCCAATGTCCCTTCTTTATCAACTTCTTGCAGAATAGCATCCTTCAAGCTCTTTAACTCCTTGTCAACAGAATCAGTCTGCAGGACAATTTTTGACCTATAAGTTGATTTGCTTGAACATTTTCCATACAAGACTAACAGTGGCATCAACATTTCGAATAGTTGGTGAAAGAAAAGCAAAAGTATGAACCCTTAATCGTTAGGTGAAAAGTAAGGGGTTCAGGCAATTACATGGAGCAGGACTAAGTTTCTTGACAACTAGTAATTTTGACAGGAACCAGCATTCACAATAGAAGTAAAATGCAGCAGATAAATTAAAGAGGAAATTATATGGTAACATACTTCAGTAATGAAGAGTAAATACCTACATTTTTTTCGCAGTCCATCTCGATGAAAACCCCTTGAATCTTGCCATAGATTTCCAAACTGCTAGCACGATTCATCAGGCCTTCGTTGGCAGTTTGAACCATCTTTTTGCGTAGCAGCTAAGCAAACAAAGGAACAAGACGGATGAGCTGATGAGCAAATATGGCTACCGTAGCAAACAAAACACTTCGGTCTAAAGTTCACCAACCTGCCCCTTAAGGACTGCAAGGCTTCTTGTATGCATCGGAGACTGAGGAAGTACTCCATTAGATGGAGGGATGCCGATCAAACCACAAAGCAGGACCTGTATCATTTATGTACTACTATGAGAAAAGGAGCATGCCACAATTTTGGACTGATAATGAAGTCAGAACACAGGATAGATGCAGGGTGTACATTAGACCAGAAAGCAGAATCTGTATCCTATCTGCCATTGCCTTGTAGATTGCAGTAGTGCCATAATCACGCAAAAAAAATTCAGATATTACGGATGTTGGAATTTAATTTTCTAAGAAATGCAGGTGTATTTTCAATCATACCCATTCAATTGGTGTAACAAATACAAACTCTACTTTAAAATATATAAGAACATTTCTTATTCAAAAGACTATACTAAGAGAAACTTAAGAAGGGTCGCCATAAGCAGATAAATTGTATCATAAAAACATGCCACACACCATGAATCCGAGGACCAAAATGTCATAATGGTAGGCAGAGGGTTTCTTCAAGTTAAACTCTTTTTGTTGCGCCAATTGTGAAGCCACGCTATGATCAAAGAAGTAAAGTCCTGCAACCATCAAAGCCGGCAGAATGGCAGCAAATATGTATGCTGGAGGAACTGAAAACAGATCCTGAAAATAAAAAAAGAGAAGATATTATTAATGATGCCATGCAAAATAAGCTGTGCGAAACTTCTAAAATTGAAGACCATAAATATTCACATCTCCAGTATCACAAGCAAGTTTGACTAATTACTTTTGCTACCGTCCAATGTTGCAGTGAACTCGACTCCCAGGGAAGTGGACTGAACAGCCTCCTAGGAACTCCTGAAGGAACATCCTTTGGTAACGTGTACGAGAATGCTGTCCAAACAATCACCATAAGTGGGACACCATAATCAGCAATGAAGCCTCTGAGCCACCCTGCAAGTGTCAACTCAAACGCACAATGATCAGTGCACATACATGTGCTTCTCAATGGTTACAAATTATAATCATGGAGCCATTTACATACTGATGTAGCATACATAGTAGTTTTTTTTTTTTTTTGAAATAAAGCAAAAGCTTTGCCATGTATATATTAGTAGAGAAGATAGTAGTAATTTCTTGTTTTTGTTTCTAAATGTTAAAACTTTCAAAGAGAAAAAAAACTGTGCAGCAACTATCCACATAATATAAAGGAATAAGAATCTGTCAATATAAGTTCATTAAAAAAAAGAATCTGTCAATATAAAGGCTACAAAACACCATCTCAAGCCAAGCCGTCTACTCAAGAAGGAAAAAAGGAGCCCATATGGTCTGGTCCAAAGCTGAGAGGCTCACAACACAAGCTTGTAGCCCAGCACAACCTAAGCCTGATCTAAAGCAGGCCCAGTCCAAACTTCAACACAGCTAAAGAAATGTTTGGCATAAATCTAACGGTTGGATGGATGATTAATGGAACAGTTGTTGCTAATTTGATTACCCAGAGTTCGGTTTGCTCTCAAAATTGGATTCATGAGATAAAAATAAGATGAAAAAGTGACCAACCTTGACCATACACCCATGACCTTGCCCTTCTTGACCTTAATGCAGTGTATAACAGCCCAATTGAAAAGATAACACCAAGCAGGCCGTTGACATACAGCCACTGGAATTGATATATAGGTGAACTATGGTCTGCATCTCTAGGCACCTTGAATTCCTCTATAATTCCCTGCAATAGATAGGCCCTGGTCTAAATATTTTCTTCCAAGATAGAAAGAACTGAGCTTATTAGATATAGCATACTTTAATGGCTTGTTGCAGGAACAGAACAGTAATCAACATCCCAAAAAGTTCTCCTGCAACCCTTGTAAACCTGCTAATAACATTAGAAGCATTGAACATTGCCAGAAGAAACAACATGAGCGCAGTCCAGATGCAGACCCTGTCAACAGTAGGCAAATCAGGAGAGCATTAACTTTTTTTCTGAAAAGCTAACGTGATAGTATTCAGATTCAGTTGTTACCATCCAGCCCATGCTAAATACAGTCGTTCCCCCAGAGCTTGCTGGTTCTTGGCAAAGTTGTAGAGATACGTGTACATGATTATAGTTGGCTCTGCAACTCCAACTATCAACAGAGGCTGCCCTCCAAGAATTGAATGTATGATGCCACATAATGCAGTAGATGCCAGTGTTTCTACTGTGGTGAGTATACCATCTGAAATGAACCACTTTTCTTTTATTAGAAATGTGATTAAATACTAAGAACAATAACTCAAGAAATAGCACGACTGTAGCATAGACTCATAGTGGTAAGAAGGTAAGCATTTACTTGTTTCTCTGCTCAGTTGCGCTCCGAAGGCGATGACTGGGAGGGCAGAGGCAAAGAAGATATACATGGTAGGTGCCAATATCCTAACAATGCATCAACATAAGCAATTCAGAAATGAAATTAACAAGCAACAAAAGCAGGGAATACACACTCAATGAATTAACTGTTTGAAACAAAAATCAACCTGAAGCCAGAGCGGAATCCAGCAACCCAGTCATGCTTGTACCAAGCTACTCGGCCTTCGATATCAGCGACGACTCCCTTAAAGGGAGTCCTTAGTAGATCCATCAGCTGTACTTAGCTCGAGACTAAACAGAAGCTGCAATAGTAATTAAAATTCAGAAACAGTACATAAATATTACATGGATTTTCAAGACACATATTTTTTTGACTGAATTCAAGACACACATATTGGCATATAAAAACATCAGAAGCCCCATGTCGTCTACAAAATTTGCAAACTCGGGTCAAGGCGTCAAGCTACCTCAAGACGAGTCAAATCGAGAGAAACCTCGAAACAAACTTATAGCCATCAAAATATCAGACGTGTGCTTAATTGCTTGGTGTGTTACTTATATAACATGCACGGTTTGAAGTATAAATATTTATTTTGCGTGTACTACGTACACCGCAACATAATTTTCCGAACTTTTGTATTCGGAGGAGACGAATATAGATTTTCAACATACACTTTCTACGAAGATTTTACCAAGGTGCAAACTAGTTCGACACTTGCAGCACAACTTTTTAGCGTCAGTGCCACAAACCACTTCAAAATTGTCGTCAGGTAAGGTAACCGCGGCTAGCTAGCTTACAAACATGTCCGAGTACAACCGTACGATCCAACACCTCCTCTCATCCCTCATGCGTGGTGGGGCTCGGTTTAAGCCAGATACATGGAAAACCAATGGCACGCAGTAAAAAAAAAAAAAAGCGCAACGCTACACCTACTAATTTTTTCTTACTAAAATTTTGATCATTTGATTTAGGTAGATAGAAGTTAAAAAAAATTAAATGCACACATAGCATGACACAACCGTGTTACTAAGAGTTTAGTAAGAAAAAGTTAGTGAATATAGCCTTTTTCGAAAAGAAAATTCGAAACACAAGTTACTCATCAATTAATAGGCGATAAAAAAATTCAGAAAACAGAAAAAAAAACTCGAGAAGCAGACATCCAAACTGCAAACTCGCAAAGTTTTGACAGAACAACTTGTAGTAGATCCATTTGCAAGCAACCCCACAAACCACATCCCGGCAGCCGCCGCACCTTGCGAACAAACAAACGTAGCGTTCCTCGAAGAAATTTGCCACCGAAATCGATCAAAAAAAAAAACAGCCATGGAAAAAACCCAAACAAATCCCCCCCAAACCCAGCGCAAACACCGGCAGGCATGCAACGCACAGCCACCACCACCAGTCCACCACCACCACCAACGCGACCAAAACCCAAACCCAAACCCAAACCTCGCAGTTCAGTTCAGTTCGAAATAGAGCGGACACAGTGCGAAACTCCAAACACCATCACTCACATCAGTCGTCGAGCAAATCGATGGCGCGCGTGGCGGCGGCGGCGGCAATGCTGGCCGCTCGACGGCGCGGGAGCGAAACCCTAGAGTTGGAGGGTGGTGGCGGAGACGCGGGTTTCTGCGCCGCCGCGGCGGGGGAGGGGGTATTTATAATCGAGGGCGAATCGAATGGACGCCGCGGAGAAGAAGAGAGGAGGAGAAGCCGCGGCGGCCAGGAAAACGAACACGTTTACCTAGAATAAAAATAATAAATAAATAAATAAATTCCTCCATTATTTTCTAGTACTACGTCGTCACTCTCTGACATGTGGGCCCATGTCTGACATGTGGAGGACCACAAAGAGATACGCGTGGGGCCCACTAGCGATGACGTGGCGGGGATGGGAGGCTCTGCCGCGCATGGTAGCAGTAGCCGTGACAAGGTTGAAGGGTCAGCGGCTTGTGGCCCGGGGGTGTATGTGTGGCTGCAGGTGGGGCCGGATGGTGGTGACGCGTCATCGTCCACCCAGGCATCCACTGTTGCAGGGCGCCGCCACGTACGCCGCGGCCCAAGGGACACACCACCGCCAGCCACCGCGCATGTGGTTCTCGGTTTCTCGTCAAATTAACTGATGACAAGCTAAATTGGAAGTTTTCAAAAACATGCAAAGTTTTTTCTTGAGTAAAGTGTATAGCCGGTCCCTAAACTTATACGACTGTGTTATTTGAGTCCCCAAACTCTCAAAATGTATATTCAAATCCCAAAACTTGTTAAATTGTGTCAATCCGATCCCAAACTACCATGACACCTCCAGGATCCTACATGGCATGCCACCCGGACAATGATGTGGCAGCATCACAAATTCTACACCAACTGACAAGTGGGCCCCAATAAAAAACTTTTTTTAATATCCTTTTTTGTTCATTCCCATCATGTCCTTTCTTCGTTTCTCCTCTTTTCTTCCTACTGCATTGACCGTAGCCATGGCCTCTGGTCGAGCTGTCTTTTTGATGGCATGAACAGAGGTGCGTCCGTGGGCAAGAAGGCACCGGCGCAGCAGCCGCGTCGACGGAGGCGCTGCAACGTGTGGGTAGCGGCGCCAGCGCAGTGATGGACGCGGTTATGTCCTGGGCATCGAGGAGACTCTGGCCGGGAGCGGCGCGACTGCGTGTGGCTCGGCACGTTTACCGGTGAGGCCGAGGCGGGGCATGCCTACGATGTTGCGGCACAGTAGTTCCGCAGCCGTGACGCAGTCGCCAACTTCCGCCCCTCGTCAAGTCTGACCCGAAGGCTGCCGTCGAGCTCTGTTTCTTCGCCTCCCGGTCAAAGGCCGAGGTCATCGACATGCTCCGCAAGCACACCTACCTCAAGGAGCTCGTTGTTGAAACAAGTGTGCCTTCACCTCCATCTCTCATCACCTGTTCGACAAGACAATGATCCCGAAGCAACCAAACCCCGAAGAGGCCGCGTCGCCGCCTGCCGCCGCCGTCGGTACTGGTGTTGCGCATGGTACACGGCCTGCTCAAGAACGGCGGCAGTGGCGTTGTCATCGCCGCGAGGGTGGCGAGGTTGGTTTGCCGTTGCGCTCGTCGGCAGCGGAGCCGTTCTGGCCGAAGCTTAGGGTTATTGCCGCTGACTTAGACTTCGGAATTCGTCGCCATCGTCGATCCTTGTCCAAAATTGAGGTCTTCCTCATCTTCTCTATGCCAAACTCCCCCCTTCCCCTCTCCTCCCCGAGCCGTCCTGCTATCGGAGCTCACCAGCAAGGTACCCGTGTGCTGCGGTGCCGCCTACCTGTTTGGCCGCCATTGTGTCAGCACGGTGCACCGCCGCTGGGCGTCCCTGCCCAAGCCGAGAACACCTCCGGCTCCAAGTCGACGCCCTGATGCTCCTAGGCAGCCGTGCCCAGTCGGAAGCTCACCGGAGCGCCGCTACTTCGCATGCCCCCGCCGCTTGTACAACAAAAAAAAAAGAGAAGAGAAAGGACAAAAAAGTGAAAGGAGAAAGAGAAAAGGGAGGAAAAAAGAGTTTTTAAGTGGGTCCTATTTGTCAGTCAATGTAGAGGTATTGATGAGGCCACATCAGTGTCCGTGTGGCATGCCACATCAGCGCCGTGTAGGATGCTGGAATGGTGGTGGCTATGTTGGACCGAAATGACATACTTTAGCAAGTTTTATGACTTGAATCTGTATTTTTTGAGTTCGGGGACCCAGATGGGACGACGTCACAAGTTTAGAGACCGGGAGTGTAGTTTACTCTTTTTTTATTTAGAAAAAATATTGGAAAATAAAATTTATTTGAACTTTTTAAAGAATATTTCTATATAATTTTTTTTTTATTAAAAAACTTATCCTAAACTAATTTAGGAAGCGTGCTTATGACAAAGCAGCTTAGCGAAGATTATGTTTAAAACACATCCTAATCAAACAACTGGTACGATAAATTCTGACACTGGTGGAGAAACCATCTTTCGTCGGTCGGCCGAATTCCACAATAGTCCCGGATGCAATAAAAATCGGGGCTAAAGATGATCTTTAGTCCCGGTTCAAAAGGGTAACGGGCATATTTGATCTTAACACCAACCGGGACTAAAGATGATCTTTAGTCCCGGTTCAAATGCTGTCAGGGCCTGTCAGGCCCCCCGGGATCTTTAGTCCCGGTTGGTAGATCGTAACTTTAGTCCCGGTTGGTAATACCAACCGGGACTAAAGTCTCACCCCTATATATATGTCTTCTTCCTCCTCCAGCTGCCTGAGCAAGCTTCAAAATTTCTTCAAAAAAGAGGGGAGGTCATGCTAAAATTTCTAGTGAATTTATTTTGGTGATTACATACAAATCGGAGGTGCCTAAAAGGTTTGCAACTTCATCCTCCAATATTTTTTTGTCATATTACATTTGCAGCTATGTTTTGCATACTTTTTTGTCTCCAAAAATTAGTTGTAAGTTGATGAGGGAGAAAATTTGTGTGGGGAAGAAAGAATATATAGAAATTTAGTTGATTTGCTAAAGAAAGTTTTATAAAATAGTTGAGAAGGAAAACTATAGTGAAAATTAATCTTGAATACTAGAAAACAAACTAAAATGAAAATTAAAAGAAGTAAAACACATTAAAATTAGTTTAAAACTTTAGAAATAGTAAATAAGAATTATTTGGTGTAATATTTTATGATTTTTGTATGAATAAAGATATGTCATTATTGTATGACTGTTGAAACAGTTTGTAATTATCTTATAATTATTGTATGACTGTTATTATTGTAAGAATAATTATTTTTGTATGATTTTTTTTCGACTCATGTAGATGGATCGGCAATGGATGTACGCTGACCGGCGGTCCAAAGAGTTTATTGATGGCGTGCACTATTTTTTGAGAGTGGCCGAAGCTAACAGGCAAAGGGGTTTTATTTGTTGTCCATGCAATAAGTGTAAGAATCAGAAGGAGTATTCTGCATCCAGGACTATTCATTTCCACTTGTTTGAGTCGGGGGTTCATGCCAAGCTATAACTGTTGGACATCCCACGGAGAGCAAGGTGTTGAAATGGAAGAAGATGAAGTGGAAGACGACAATATTCCGAACTTTGCTCAGTACGTTGGATTTGAAGGAAATCAAACGGGCGAGGAGGAAAGGGATGCTGATGGTAACGACGTTGCGGATGATTTTGGTCAGATGTTGCAGGACGCCAAGGAGGACTGCGAAAGTGAAAAGGGGGCCCATAAATTGGACAAGATGTTAGAGGACCACAGAACTTCGTTGTACCCAGGTTGCGAGCAGGGGCACAAAAAGTTGGATACCACTCTGGAGTTCTTGCAATGGAAGGCAAAAAATGGGGTTAGTGACAAGGCATTTTGCGATTTATTGAAACTCGTCAAGAACATTCTTCCGAAGGGAAACAAATTGCCCGAGACAACGTACGAGGCTAAGAAGATAGTCTGCCCGCTAGGACTGGAAGTTCAGAAGATTCACGCATGTCCGAATGATTGTATCCTATATCGTGGTGAGGAGTATGAGAACCTAGAAGCATGCCCTGTTTGCAAAGCACTACGATACAAGATTAGACGAGACGATCCAGGAGAAGTTGACGGGCAGCTAACAAAGAAGACAATTCCTGCTAAGGTGATGTGGTATTTCCCTATAATACCACGGCTAAGGCGTTTGTTCAGGAACAAGGGGAATGCTAGAATGATGCGATGGCACGCTGAAGAGCGTCAACAGGACGGGATGCTGAGACACCCCGCCGATGGTTCGCAATGGCGAAACATCGACAGAAAATTTAAAGAATTTGGAAAGGACGCACGAAACATACGGTTTGGTTTGAGTACGGATGGCATGAATCCTTTTGGAGAGATGAGCAGCGGCCATAGCACTTGGCCCGTTACGATGTGTATCTCCAATCTCCCCCCTGGCTATGCATGAAGAGGAAGTACATAATGATGCCGATTATTATTCAAGGCCCCAAGCAACCTGGTAACGACATCGATGTGTACCTAAGACCACTGGTCGAAGATCTTAAGCTGTTGTGGAAGAAGGAAGGTGTCCCCGTATGGGACGAGGACAAACAGGAGGAGTTTAACATACGAGCGCTGCTGTTCGTAACCATCAATGATTGGCCTGCACTTAGCAACCTATCCGGACAGTCCAACAAGGGGTACAAGGCTTGCACACACTGTATGGATGAAACAGAAAGTACGTATCTTAAGCACTGTAGGAAGGTTGTATACATGGGTCATCGTCGATTCCTCGCAGCAAACCACCCGGTACGGAAGAAAGGCAAGCACTTCGAACATAAGGCTAACCACCGTATGAAGCCTAAACATCGCAGCGGGAAAACAATGTTTGCTATGGTTAAAGATCTTAAAGTAGTGTTCGGAAAGGGGCCTAGAAGCCAGCCTATAGAGAGCGAAGATGGTCACGCGGCGATGTGGAAAAAGAACTCTATATTTTGGGAGTTACCCTATTAGGAATTCTTGGACGTACGCCACGCACATCGGTCCCATGATCCCCAGCCGACCATTCCTCCTGCAATGGTGAGCCCGTCAGGAAACCGTAGCAGCTGCGCCTCAACGGGGCAGGTAGGATCACAGAGCATGGACGCCATACAAACCCAGGACGAATCCACCTGCCCTGTTGATGACATCACTCAGCGGACACCATGTGAGCTGCATATTCCTTTCAAGA